TTCAGGTTTCTATGTTGTACAAATTGCCTGGAAGGATGTTGGTTGCGCTTGAACGAGTGGGCCACTGATTGTTGTCGCGCAGCGGGCTGAAGCTTGCGCGGCGGACCTGGTTTCGTTCAGGTTCAAAGTGCAACCTTGTAACGACCTCAACTAGGTCCCCCAGTCGTGCCCTTTTACCCTTTTTTGGGGAAGGGTTCCCCTACTAAAATAGACTGCAGAAAAAGGGTACCCTTATTCTAACCTCTCTACTGGAGAACCTAGTTGAAGCAAACTCTCCAAAGGTGCCAAGTCTTGGGACTGTTTCTTTAGTTGAACTGTGAGCTGCAGATTCAGGCGCGTTGCATAGGTTTCAAGGGACAAAAGAACATTCAACTCCAACGTTTGGTGAGAGTTCAGAACACTTCTTGGAACGCGCGTGAGCATGCGAGGCAGATGTTCGAGGAATCCAACCACCTGTTCAAAACCAGATCTTTCAACGTTCGTTCCGCTTAGCCCCATGATTCGTGATTTCTGATTTGTACTGCTGCACCAGGAGATGGCTGAGAGAGAGAGAGAGGGAGAAAGAGAGACAACTTAACAAAAAACACACCAAATTCATCACAATGGTAGAGAAAGAGAGAAAAAGAGAGAGAGAGAGAGAGAGAGAGAGACACAACTTTGTTTTTAGTACTAGAGCAGGAGATGGCAAAAAGAGAGAGAGAGAGAGAGAGTGTCTTATCTTCCAGATTCTCTTTCTCTCTTCTTCTCCTGTCTATTTCCCGGGAAATAGATGACAGGGAAGAGATAATGAATCTGTGGTCACTTCTTCCTTGTCCTCCAACCCACCTATGATTCCCTTCATCCTTGAATCGTGGGTTGGGTAAGGAGGAAGGGACATGAGAGTTAGTGAGTGCCCGGTGAACCGGTGAAAGAAGCACTCACCCCGCGGTTCTAAGAATCTGGCCGCGCCCTTCCCTAACGACCAAAGGAGATAGGGCGGGATATCTTATGGTGTCGCATCTAGAAGCGACTGATATCCCTTTCTCCCCGCCTCGTTACCTCTCTTTCTGGCGGGTGGTCTATTCTCTTCCTCTCGCGGCTATGAATAAAGGAATCTCTGCACTCCGCCGCGTAGAGAGACAACTTTTATAACATATATATATATATATATATATATACAATCACATGCGCGCAGGACAATACGTTTTGGCGCCCACGGTCTCCTTGGCGCTTCTGCTGGCCTCCGCAGCTTTGGAGGGCGACGTCATGAGCCCTAAGGACCGAGGAACCTCTCGGGTCGGGTCGACGGATTCGCCGGGGCCAACTGGCCGATGCTTAAATTTCTGGGAAACCACAAGGAGATGTCTATGTTTTTTCTTTTTTAGTTTTTTTGCTGCTTAGTGTTGTTTGTAAAATGACACTGTGATCTTTTGGATGGTAATCGGGATCTGTATTGAAATCATTCTACATTGTAAGGTTGAAGAAATGTGGACTGGAGTCAAACGTGACATTTTGATGGCTTGGCGGGGGGCAAAGCTTAGGGCTGGGGCCCCAACTAGTCAAAGGGCGCCAAACCCGTTTTCTAGGCCCTTGCTTGAAGATCTGAAGATTCAAGAGGTCCGGAGCAGCAAGGGGTCTCTTGGCTGCAAGTAAGGCTCCGTTTGATGTTCCTGTTGGAGAGCTAGCAGCTTGGGTATGACGGATGCCATTCGGACCTTGGTCAGGCTTTGTAGATATTGGTCAGATGTGCCACGCCATGGTTGTGTTGAACAGTCAGTTTGCGTTAGGACGGTCAGCTGTCCCAATCCTTTGTGAACACTTGTTCCTTTTGACTGCTTGTCAGGTTTCCGTGAACTGACTTTTGGTCAGATACGTGGGTCTTGGTCATATGTTTTGAATCTAGGCAAATGTCATGCAACTTGATCATCATACACGTACATGTATTCTCAAATGTTGAGAAGATGTTCAACTATTCGAACACTAAGACATGAGCAGCTTCTAAGATGTTGTTGGAAGGACTTGTGCTGGCTGCGGTTGTCCAAACATAGCGACACACTGCATTCTGGGTCCAACCTTGACCAGCTACATGTCTGCTTTTGACCTTTGCCCCTTCACTATTTAAGCTGTTTGCCCTGCAATTCAACGTTAAGCGCACTATTGTTTGTCAGACTTCATATGTTGGAGCAACCTCTGGCATCTGGAATCCCACATGTCACCCAGACCCATGTTTGTCACGGGCATGGTGTTGGCGAGCCATGCCACAGGCTTTGAACAAAGTGGTCGAGCAACTCGGCGCACTCTGCGGGGATGCGATGCTCATGTCATTACACCCGTTCACCGGAAATTGATAGCATATAATATGTATATGTATCTATATATATATATATACTCTCTGTCTCCCTATGTACGCACATCTCGCACTGTAAACATGCCAAACATGCAGGAGCATTGTGTGCGTTTGTGTGTCTGTGTGTGTGTGTGTGTGTCTCTGTTCGCACTTGCTGCCATGCCAGCATGCCTGATTCAGCCGTATTTATTGGCTCAACTGCAGTTCAAAAGACATTGGCACCTTCACCATGAGGTTTCCGCACCTCTTCGTTCTCGCAGCTGCCTGGCATGCACGGGCAAACAAGATCGGGCCAAGGTTCCTTTCTAGGGGGGCCGATGCTTTCACCGTGGGCTTCGCTTTTTTCATAATTCACTCGGAAGAAATTGCCAGTTTTGACGCATGAGCTGTTTCAGCTCTCTTGCAAGGAGGGTTTTTCCTTTGGCCCTAGACACAAGGTGCGTGCCTGCGTGGACCCCTTTGCAATCTGATTTGCATCTCTTTTTTCACTGAAACCGCTGGACTGCCAGGGCATACTCCCAACAAAAGACCTTTCCCCATACGATAAGGACAAACTTATAGATAGGTTTTGGCAATGCTCTTCCCAGGGGATGAAATCCCCAATTCCCATGGCCACCGTGGAATTATCTCTACTTATCGGACAGGTCCGGCACTTGCCCGGAAGCCTAAGGGAAGCCTAGGAGAGTCTAGCGCAGGCAAATTCCTGATTCAGGCAGCCATTCAACCCAGTTGGCCAGTAGCACACGTTTCCTTTCTGTGAAAAGGCTTCACTTTGACATCAACTCACAAAGAGAGAGTGCTTCGGGTGTGTTTCGCATAGCCACTGGGCTTGTGAGTCAAAGAGAGTGCACGTGCTTGTGAGGAATGACTAAGCTGCGGCAGAAAATCTCTGTTAGTGAAGTAATCCTTTAGCAAGCCTCTGAACTTGTTCAGCCCGCTTGATGAATCGTAGTTCTGAACCCCTTGCTGCCAAAAGGGCCGGATTTTTTGATCGGAGTGGGCCAACTCTCCATGTTGAACAGCCCAGTATTTTGTTCAGTCCTATGCATGGGATCCAGCGACTGATTCAGGGGCCATCGGGATGGGCCATTGTGGCCACCACACTTGCACGCTTCCTGAGGCGAGCCTGGGAACGGTGGTGAACTATTCCAGCTGCTTGGCCCACAACGTCGCATCACATGTTACTTATGTTCAGATGTCCAAAAGGAACCTTGCTTTTAAGTGTTCCTTTTGGGTTTGACCTTGCAATTCAACCTTTCGAATTCCCCTTTTGGTCCCTTTTGAGCCGAGGCGACCTTTAAATTTCCGTTTGGGGCGTCCTTTTCAGCAATCAGTTGTAGTCAAGGGACCATTTATTTCTGGGAGCCCTATGTTAGATAGTTGGCTCTTGGCTTCATGTCGGCTCCCCTTTTCACAACCGGTCTTATCCAATTTGTTGGGCTGATGAACTTCAGACTGCCCAGGTTCCCCCAACTTATTTCATGGCAGCAACACTTTGAGCTTCGGCCAATCCGCCCTGGGTTCGCACCATGCTCCCTATCAAAAACAAAATCGTAACGGGGGAGAGGAAACTCCAACTTCAGTTGTGATCCTCACTGCCGAGACCTCCGGTGGTGCTTTTCGTCGCTGCCTTTTAAGTTCTTAACATGGTTGTTGTTGGGCAACATTTTACATTTTTCTTATTGTGGTTTAGTGGTTGGCATCCAACCACTGAACAGCTAAAACGTATATGTTTGCTCCCCTTCCAACGTCAAGATAAGGAGTAATTCCCTTGCCATGGCCAGAGGTGTGGGCATGCCTGGTGTTTGCCTTGCCTGAGCTCATGGATCCTCTCGGATGAACCCACGGAAGTGGACGAGTTATAGCCATGGGTAAGGGAGCTGCCCCTTGTTGCCCCAGTGATGAACGTGGCCAAAACTCGCTTTCCCAGTGGGTTGAACATCCAAGTAGAGGGTTCAGTCTATGTCCCAATGCACAAATTAGAGAGTAAAAAGGGTTAGAGCAGAGGAGAGGCGAGGCGAGGGCAAACGAGGGTAAAAGAGCGAGTTGTCGATTTGGCTTCCTTGCATTTCTGATGGCTCTCATCTCACAATAATGCATAAGGGCCTCAATCGCAATGACTTGCAAAGCTTGGTCTTCAGCAGTTACTCCTTGGACACATTGATCACCCTGTGAAAACCGGCCTGCAGACACCGCACCCATGCATGCTGCATCAAGCCAACGTCGCACAAGGCGCACCGTACGCGAATCGTTGGCTCAGGATTTGACTCTCACATGTTTCCTGACTTTAGGCCACACACACACAGTTTCATCATGTTTGTATGGCAACTCACCCAGAAAGTAGTATTTCAGCTTTAACCTCTTTTCATTTTACATGTTTGAGGTTTACTGAATATGTGCCAGAATCAGACAATGTCATTGTCAGCCGAGTGAAAGGCAAAGCTGACAAAGTTGCAGAGGCCCCTACTTGCATGAACTTTTGTGCCTGTGGCCGGGCATTGAAATCAGGGCTGGGCAATGTTGGTTTAACCAAGGCCATGGTCCCCTTGAAAGGGACCTTAAACGATGAAACTGCTGAAATAGGTGATCTGCCCAACCCTAATAGGCCCAGCCCTAATTCAACAAGAGAGGGAGAGCGGGAGAGTCCGTGCCGCAAGCGTGGAATCGTGAAAACATGGCGGCGCGCCCCTCATGGCGATCCGCCTTGCGGCGGATGGACGCGGCCGGAAGCGGCTTCCGCTTCCGCTGCTATGCGACGCCGGTGATCCAGGCCGGGCCAAACGCATGAAGATTCCCTTTTGTTTGAAATACCCGCCCACCAACTAAGATGGAAGTGCAAAAAGGCCCTTTCCAAGAGGAAAGTAGTCTTTCCACAGGGGTCTGTGCACTTCCATGTTAGCTGGTGGGAGGGTAATTTCCCTTAACTAGTTTAGTGGCACAAGCACTTCAATTTTTGGTTGTTTGTTGTTGGGCGTCCCCACTGAAAAGCGTTAGCTTTCAAAAGGGTCCCCGCTTTTCTGCCAGGGTCACTGAGCAACTGGGCTTGTGTTTTCGCATGTTTTCGCCTTTGGGCTTCCCTTGCGGTCCCAAGAGTGTTACTGCTTGTTTGCAGGTTTTGCGCAGGTGAGCCATAGTTTCCCTTGAAATGTTGTCTGACTATCCAAGATTGATTCCACTACGCCCAAGCCGCTGCCCAGGGCTTGAACGAGGGTTGAACAGGATCTAGTTGAAGCCACTACGTAGCGGGTACTCAAAGGTAGGGGCTTGGGGGTAGTGTGGTCCCTGGCAAATGTGATGTGAGAAGGTTCCTGGCTTTTTGATCCCGGGTTGGAACCACGGTTTTGCGGTTGATGTTGGATCCCTTTTTGTAGAAAGAAAACCCACTCGGAAATTTAAAGCAAGATCTATCATGATCAATGTATTGTTTGCTACGACTCGTAGTGTTCCTCGAAGTATTTGTTGACAACCCATGTTGCTGTCAAGGAGGGTGACCCAACAAAGAAACACATCGACATTGCTCCAAAACGGGAACCAACAGCGAACCAGCCAGGTGGTTGTCGGAGCATGGCCCCTGAACTCTGGCGCAGTTACAGTGTCCATCCTTTGCGATCGGGCTTCCCAATAGCAGCTCGTTGTTGTTCCGGTTTAACTGGGTCTAGGGATTGATTCTCCATTATTTTCGACCATGGTTCTTAAACACAATCCCACATGTCATATGGCTTTCCGCTTGGCACCAACCAACTCCACGCAGGAAGCCCTCTTTGCGCCGTGCCCCTGCGGGATTGGTTCCTAACAGGAAGCCGCGACCATGGCGGTTCCCAGCCAGAAGCTTAGACTTTTAGAGTTTAAAGGTGTGACATATATGGTATGGTAAAGTGTCCCGTGTTCCCTTTCCCCCCCCCCAACGGTATGGTCCCCCCAGAAAGCCCATTTCCGGGACCCCGCCGCCCGGGAGCCCACGCCTGGCCCGCCGCCCTCCCGCAACCGTCCCTAAACCACCACGCAACCCGCACCCTGGCACTCCCGCAACTCGCGCAATCCAACCCCGAATCAATCCTAACTTGAGCAGAAAGAACCCTAAACCCACCTATACCAACTCAAACCAGCTCTAATCCACCCCAAAACCAACCACAAAATCCCCAAACCAATCCTAGACCCATCCTGAACCAACACTGCACCACAACGCAACCAGAGGACCACAGGCTGGGGGGGGGGGGGGTATTTTACGACCTATGACCATGGGGGAGGGGGGAGAAGGGCGCTGCACCATGTGTACCACTAAAAGCCGAACTTTGAGCTGCCAAAGATCCCCACCCCCTTAAAACTGGAATTTGGGGAGGGGGATTACCGCTGGAATTCCATGCACGGTTCCATTTTCCCTTTCGTGCAAATCACCTAAGTAAATGGACTTGGGCCCCCTCCGCCTTAAGGTAGGGGGTTGGCCAATTTGGAGCAAAGGCAGCCAAAAGGGCCATACTGTGGATGGCCGCACTCGCACGCAACCCAAGGCAATTGTGCTAGCGCTTCCAATGTAAATACCAACAAACACTGGTGGCTGTGGCTTAAAAACATGTACCAACATGGCACCTTGGTAAATGGAACCAAAGACTACATCCTGCGTAACCCTATCTCTTTGCTTTTTGAGCCACACCTTCTCCATTTGCTTAAGACTATTTTTTATTTTCCCTGGTTGGTCTTAAAAGGAATTCATCACTACTGGATATATTTTTTCCTGGGTCCTTAACCAAATGGAAGCCTTGGTTTCAACCAAAAGGGACCTGAAGCGAAACCCTTGGGGCCAGGTGGAGCGGGTGGATCCGGCCACCTCGGTGGCGAAGGCGCTGCGCCGGAAGTACGGGCCCTCCTCCTGGGACGGCCAAGTGCCCTGGGAGCGCGGCTCCATGCGCCCCGATTGGAGAGGAAACACTGAGACGTCCATTTGGTTAAGAATACCGTGGATGGACGAAATCCTACACCACCTTGAAACCATGGTAAACATTGTTTGTTGGTACTTACCAGGGAATCATCATTCCAGGGCTTCTTAGGTGGTGCAGATTTTTTTCCATCCACAATATGTTTTATTGTCCCCTGTTGATTTTAAAGGGAATCTATCACTACTGGATGTTGTTTTTTTCTGTTTCGGGGACTTGAGCAAATGGAGGGAGACGCCGAAGCCTACTTTGGTTTATGTGTTGGCTCAAAATCGCCATGCTTAGGAATGCGAAAGATTATCATATGCCGATAGCATACAATATGGTTCTGTTGATTTCGTTCCTTGCGTTATACCGTAGATATGATATATACATTGGTCTAACCCTGTGCCAATCGCCAAGCCGCCGTGCAATCAAATCCCCAAGACGCCAGTGGTTGAGAAAAACGGCGCCTTATCATGGTAAAACAAATTAATCAGAGCCTCCAAATTGCAAAAAGCCGCGCCAAACAATGGAAGCGACAGCACTTCCATTCATTTGCTTGGGCGCCGGGCCTAGGGCTCTGGGGTTTGGCTGGCTCCGAGTTTGAAGAGTTTGAACGCGTTTCGGCCACAGATGCCCATGTAAATTCCTTCCCCAATCGTGGAGGGGTCAACGGACCGGTCAACAGGTCGGCATGCTTGAAAACTATCGCTGAGATCCATAGGAACGGATTGGACTTTCCGTGGACGAAGCTGGCAGTTTGGCGATTTGCAAGGCGGGGATTTGTTTATCTCCCAAAAGTGATATCGACCCTTTCTCAGGGCCCTTCAGTGCTCGTTGATTCTGTTCGGGAATCGGATCAAAAAGTCCAGCAACTTGCCCCTCGCCCGATCGGCTCTGAGGATTGTGCCGCAGATGGCAGAGGGCGATGTGGAGAAGTTTGTGGAGACGGAGCCTTTCCACTGGGCCGTTGAATTTCTCTGATTGCCATTGGGTGACGGGTCTTTGGATTTTTACCTTGTTGGTCGGAAGTCTATTGGGTTTTCCGAATTAGACGCCCAAGTTAAAGAGTTTTTGCTGAGGGGTCGTTGCAGCAATCAATATGTTTTGACGTTGCTTGAAGTTTGTCATGTACTCACAGGAAAACCTAGAGGTTCTCGGCAAGATGTAAAAACATTGAACACCTCAATCGTGTTTAGAGAATGAGTGCACTCATTGCTAGCCTTGCATAGCATTCAACCTTTAACAGCTCTGGTCAGCCTCGTGCTCACCAGTGTTTTTGGCATCCAAGGGTGGTGTCAGCCAGTCAACCCCCAGCCAGCCGGCAAGTTCACACAGAAGAAGCAAACAATAACAATGCCTCACGTGTTCAACTCAACACGTGTTGGTGTGCCTGACATCCAAAAGCTGTTGAATGTTCACATTTTTCAGTTGAGTGTGTCTTTCTCTTGCGGAACCACCCCCCCGACAGAGAACATGGGAGGCTTTCCTTTTGGTGTCCTCACCAATGAATGGCTACCCTTCAAACACCGCACACCCAGCTGAACTCCAGCCAAGTGGCAAGTTCACTTCGAAAGCAAGGCAGCGCTTTTTTTGCATGTTCAGGAGTTGGACTCTTTCGTGCCCATGCAGCCCCGGCCCTTGAGCATGCAGGAGGCAGACGATGCGACGGGGGTGGCGTGTTTGAGTTTGTTTTGCGTGGAGAACATGGCCCAAGGGCCACACATTGGCTGTGGTAATTGGTGGTTTGGGGATTTGAAACCACCCGCTCCAATCAAGCAATTAGTAAGCTAAGTCTTAGCAGTCAGATTTGGCCTTTGGCTCTTGATGCCTTCTCTCAGGTTCCATTTGGTTGGTGGTTTGGTGGTTGAGGGGAGGTTTCCCATTTGTCCTTCACAAGAACAAGGGTTCAAGTCCCAAACCAGCAGCCCAAACTATCGGTTAGGGGCTGCCTGATTCCCCCCAAGTGGTTGGTCTGTTGCGATTTAGTTGCCAGGTGCTCGACATGCTGGACCCTGCTCGCATCGCCAAGTTCCTGCACGTGGAGGCGCAGTTCCTTCTAAATGCGTGTCAAGGGGTTTTCCACTAAACCCACCAAAAAGTAAAACTTTTTGCTGAGGGGTCAACAGCAACCAAAGTCAATCGACAAACTTAACTAACCTGGGTTGGGCAAGCAATGATTAGACATCCAGATCCCAACCGCCATTCGGGAACCAGGAGGAGCTTGTGTTGCCGGGGCCTACTTTTGTAGGAAGTGACTAAACACCTTTGGAAGCATTGTCATAGTTACTTAGCCATCCAGTTTGCCCTCGGGGTTTTCGTCATTTTGCCTTTGAAAGCAACAGCTCGCTTTTTTGTAGGGGGTTCAAGTCCGGAAAAAGTGGGGCTGACCTTAAGGGAAAGCAAGTTTAGGCAGGTTTCAAAGGGAAGCCCAGAGAAACAATGCATTTGTGGTTTGTGTTGTTTGTTGCTTGCTTGTTTGTTGGGCTGGTTGTTTGCTTGCTTGCTTGCTTGCTTGCTTGCTTGCTTGCTTGCTTGCTTGCTTGCTTGCTTGCTTGCTTGCTTGCTTGCTTGCGTGCTTGCTTCTTTTTGGGAAGACCATTCTGGTGCTAAACAAAAAGCTTGGATTTTTGTTTGATCCATCCACTCAGGAAGTGAATAGATGAGTACGGGGGTGGGTTCCAGTGGAAAAGGCGAAGGTCACCATTTGCTTTTTGTTCGCGGGGGGGAAGTTCACTTAAAGGCAATTTCAGCCTCAAACCCCCAAAGCACCAACACACGAAGGACGAAGGTTGCGAAAATAGACTCTAAGTGTTTGCCATTTGATCATTTGGGGGCCTGCTTTTGCACGAGTACCCATCAAACGTTTCAAAGCGGAATGAGAAGGAAAGGCCACCATTTTGGTGAAACCAATCATGAGGCTGCAGAAGGAGCTCCGGACAGATAGCCCCCATACTTTGGATGGACGAAATCCTGCAGCTCCTGAGAAACCCTGGCTTTTAGTGATCCCTGTAAATACCAACAAAGAATGGTTCCCATGGTTTCTTAGGTGGTGCGAAATGGATTCAGTCCATCCACAGTAGCGCCACCTCAGACCTATGAGCTTGCTTTTGTCTATTTCCGGACAGGTGCCGGTCCGCTTTGCTGAGCGTATCCGCTGGATCCGGGACATTCAGGCGTGGGGTTCGCGACCTGCCGGCGCATCAGACTTAGCCTGTGGATCCAATGACCTGTACATTGGGCAAATCCAAAGGAGCCCTTGTGCAAACAGGCGCAACAAGCGGGGAACCGAAATTTGGGTGGCTTGCCTTTGGCGCTTCCTCTTTTTGTCAATACCCCGAACGCCGAATCCGCCGAATCCGCGCGGAGGATCAGACAAAGCAGATTCCCATTGGGGTCTTCTAAAACCGAAGCCCAAGGCTTCAAGCCCTCGGGCGCGGCTCAATTGGCTTGGGACACATTCAACGACAGCAAAACCCAACACCCCACTGGGGCAGCCTCCAACTTGGGGACCCTGTTGGAACTTTTGACTAAGAGAGAGGAACGCTGGGAAGACCCCTTGTTCTTTGAAGGGCGGCCCTTTTAAAGGGGTCAAGGTTCTGTGTCCCGATTCGGAAGGTCGCCGGTCAGAGCTCCTCCTTGTGACCTACCCCAAGGTAGATTTAAACCCAGTAGTTGACTTCCTCGAAAGGTGAAGTTCAGTGTTTAGGTCTTTGGGACCCTTCGCCGCGTTTAGCTACGAATTGAGAGACTCTGATAATGGACAAAAAACTGACTTTACTCAGGGACCCCAGGTTCTTTCGTGGTTCTCCCTTGGGTTTTCCTTTGGTGCCTTGCAACCATCCCAAAGAAGGGCTAGGTCCCCCAGGGTTTCCTACTAAAATAGGAAAAAAAAAAGGTACCAAGCTTATTCTAAGCTCTCAAATCGGGAGGACCTCTCGAGGGTCATTTCCCAGCACAACGAGACGATCATTCCCACGGCCGCAGGACTGGCAGCAGATCCCCGAACTGGTGGAGGTGGAGGCGGCGCACATGCAGGCGGGAAGCCCAATTGGGAGAGGGGGGGGGGGGTTTGGATCTTTTCAATAAAGACATGAACATGCATATCGATAAAGACAAGCTGAATCGCCAAAACGTGCTCGTGATATGAACTTCGATGAACCTGGAGGAGGAAGTCCGCGCAAGTGGATCCAAATCCCCACGGTCTCACTAGGCGCGTGCCAACCCTGATTAGCGGGGTCTTCTGGATTCCCAGTTCTTCAGCGAACCTGGAATCAACCACAGGGCCGAGGAAAACACTGGTTGCCCGTTCTGTTTTCTTTTGGACAGGGATTCTGTGAACTTGGGTTCGTGTTTGTTTGAGGCTTCGTAACCTCTTTGCTTGGTTCTAAATGGCAAGCAGTGTTCCAGCCAAGACATTGGTAACAAACAGTCACCGCCCAAAGCCTTCGTGTTTTTTGTCCTTCCCCACAATTAGCTCCTTTTGTTTTTGTTTTTTGTTTTTGCGTTTTTGGTGTTCCTTTGTTTTTCCACTGGCAAAAAATATATTTGTTTGCTGTCCTAATTCCAGCCTAGTCTCGAGATCTGGAGGTCTTCCGTGACCTGCGCATGGTGCAGCGGAAGCCCACCTTGGATGCCTTCACCGCGGTAGTGGAGCGGGCCCTGCAGCGCCAGCAGCCCGTGAGGCGCATGGATTCGAGCGGCGCGGGAGTGCTGGAGTGCTGGGAGTGCTGGAGTGCTGGAGAGGAGTGCTGGTCTCTGGCGAGTGCATTGGTTGTTTACCCAAAGGGAAACCAACGGGGAATGGGACTCAGTCTGCCAATTTTATTGGCCGATTCAGGGGTATAACGAGCTTACCATGATAAAGGTCCTTCACTTGGGGATCCCTTATTTCAGGGTTTGGACATATTGATCATATTGTAGATTTTGCAGATGGGATGTGTTTCTCTCACTTTTTTTGGGTTGGACCATTTAATTGCAAGTACAAGGTTAGGCGAAGTTAGGTTACTTGTTTTGGGCCATGCACTGGGGAAGTGAGGACCTTTTTTTTAACCAGACTTTCGAGGGTTGCAAAAATGGGCGATCCTCCCGAATTGTCCATTGGCCACCTTTCCGGGCTTGCTAGGTTCGAAGCTGTCACCCCAGACCTCCAGCGTGTTTTGTTTGTTCGATTTGTTTGGAGGTGTTTTTTTCTTCTTGAATTCAGCTACCAGGCAAGTGGACGATTTTCCATGGCAATGGCCACCTAGGGGTTGGAGGGGCCCTCCCGAAATGCTCAAAAAAGAGGACCCTGGGCTGATGGCGCCCTTGTGCAAAGGAACCACAATGAGCAGAACCCCTGCACACATTCCATCTATGTTTCACCAAAGATTGGGCCAAACTGGTTCCTTCAAGTATTGCCGGGGGATTCTCACGATTACATTGGGGAGGGGGGGTATCCCTTACCACCTTGACTAAATAGGGTCTTTCTGGAGTGGTTTGAAGGGAAGCCAAAGGAAAAGCCATTGGGGGCTCCCCCAAATTTGGCGCACACCTCACTCCCGAAACTTTTTGAGAAGACAGTTTCAGTGGTAAACACATATGTTAGACTTTGTTTGGGCAATCCACTCAGGAAGTCGAGTTTGACAGCCTAAATTTCACTTTATGCAATTATGCCATTTGTGTCCGTTTGTCACTTGCGTGTTTGGTTTGTTTGCTTGTCTGTTTTTGTTGTTTTGTTTATGTGTTTGTTTGTTTGTTCGTTCGTTTGTGTTTCAAGGAGGCGTAGTTACACTGCCAAGACATAAAAAAAATCATCGCCTTCAGGCTGAAGGTGGCCTTGGCGATGCATCGCCTGAACACGGAGAAGGAGGGCTTCGACAGCGACTTCATCGACCCCTGGCTGGACGACTTCCTCCTGACCCTCGGCCCAGATCCGAAACGGGATTTCCCTTTGGTGGGATTGGTTCACATAGTTGGTATGTGCCAAAATAGGGAATTGGACTCTGAAAATGGAACCCTGACAAGGTTACCCTCAACAAACACACACGCACAGACACACACACACACACACACACACACTCACTCAGCTGAGGTAGCAAAAGGAAAGGGTGGTTTGTTCAGGGCTATTCGCGAAATGTTTGCGTTCCCCCCCCGGATTGCCCTTGGCGGTCTGGAGCCCACACTGACCTGAATTGGCGGTTGGTGGCGTTTGAAAGTATGAAAGGCCCATGATTTGCCGTGTTTTTGCGCAGCCGCAGAGCTTTTCAAAAAGGGATCAACTCAAGAGCCAAGGAACTGCATTGGGACAGAGATGCTGATGTCCCAATATCTCGCGTGTGTGAACATGGACCCTGCCGCCAACAAGCCTCGGGGTCTCGCCGGCATCATCGACCCTGACTGCGACGTCGCTCAGATTTGCCGAGAGACTGCCATGCATGTGCAGGCGCAAATATGCTTGGGAAATGAGGTTTAGTGATCTTCTGCAAGTCCTACGTAACTTTCACACGTTCTAGGGCAGTATAGCTGTTACTTTGTTTCCCCGGGATTTTGACCAGACCTGAGATTTTCAAGCCACTCAGGCAGCAGAAGGGGGTTTCTTTCCGTGCAACACTCGGCCTTAGGTCTTATTTGGAGGAAGCCAAGGGGAGTGCTGGGGTTAGTCGTATTTTGCTGATTCAGAGCCATGGCAAGGCGGGGTAGCCATTGCAGCCTAGCGGATTTTAATAATGGGCCAGCGGCGGGAGCATTATATGTTCGGGTCGTTTTCCTAGTATGGCACCCTGCCAGTTGGCTCTGAATCACTGGAGTTCAGTTGGGCGAATCCCCCTGTCCAGGAGATCACCGAGGAGCACACTGGCCGCTGTCCTTTGATTCAGGTGGAGGTGTTCCAGGAGGGCTGGGCAGTTCAAACCCTTGTGGCAGTGTGTCTTTTCGTGGTACTTTTTTCGGGCTGGTTTCAAAAGAAAGCCAATAGCAAGCCAACCATTTTGGCGGTCCCTCATTTGAGACAAACCCGTTGTTCCTTTCCTCAGCATGCCATGCTTGTCCAGCGTGATGACTGGGATCTGAGAAAGACATACCCGCCCACCAGCTAAAATGGAAGTGCACAGACCTCTGTAGAAAGACTACATTCCTCTTGGAAAGGGCCTGTTTGCACTTCCATGTTAGTTGGTGGGAGTACCTTGAACCACTATTGTGAACCTCCTTTTGGTGTTGAGGCGATCCTTTTGGGCCCGGTTTGCAACAAACATTTGATACACTCCTCCAGGATCGCGCCGTGCCGCGGTTCTCATACATCCCGGGCTTCCTGCGGTTCATCATGACGGAGGCTTGCTGGGGCCGTTTTGGTGAGTGAAAGCGGCCGTGACTGGTACTTCTTTGCAAATCATGATGTTAACATGAAGACACATCAAAAAGTGGTCGCGCCAAGGGAGTTTCCTGCATTCTGAATTTGCACAATGTTTTTGGATTTCATCTCAAACCGCAGGCGTGATCGTTGCAAAAATGTCCGCACTTGTCCGGGAGGTCGAAAAAGCTACCAGAGGGGAAAGGATCTCACCCATGAAGGTCCAATAGGGGAATTCGTATTTGCAGTTGAGCAGTGTTGTTTTTTCTTTAGCAAAATCATTCTAGTAGTTGCAGTAAGGCCTAAGATATTTATGACTGTGTAAGTAGTAGAGCCAGACTCGTCAGCTCGGGTTTGGGCATTGTCAGTTGGTACATTCTCTTTGGTCCTAATTGCACATCCAAAAGGGACATACTTTTCTACCTACAATCCCCATGTAAGCCGCTTATTCTTGGGGTTCCCTGCATTGTGCCTGCCTGTGCCACCCAGACCTCTACTGATGTTCGGAGAATGCCCATTGCAAGTAGAACCTTGGTTTGCCCAGAACTATATGTGTCTTTGTTGAAAGATACCCATGTTGGAGTGGATTCACGGGGAAACGCACTCGGCACACCCACATGGCATGGGCCCCGGCATGGGCCAAGGCACCCAAGTCGGGGCACGCCGGCAAGCCGTCGATGTGCCATCTGTTTGGCTTCCCAGCATTTTCTTTGGAAGACAATTTTAACGGTAGCAAAATAGACTCTGTGACTTTGTTTGGAGAAGCCACGGAAGTGAGATATGGGGGAGGAAGGTAGTTGGAGAAAAGCAGATTGGTGGGTGCGACTTTCTGTGTTGCATTTTGGTAGCTTTTCGCTGTTCAAGATTGAATACCTTCCTACCATTCAAACTGCACCTTCGGCCCCTTCACGATGTTCCTGCAAGGAAACAGGTCACCCTTCATTGGTGGTTTGGATTTGTGATTTGGGTTTGGATTTGAACCCTGGGTCTAGAGGGTAAATGAAAGTTTCCCCTCTTGAACCATCCAAACCACCGAACAACCAAACCAGCAATCGGAAGGAAGCTGACTTCCGTAGCTTGGTTTCAAGCGAACGAAGAAAAACCAAACCCTTTTCGGGTCCAACTCCCTGGGTCCCTCTGAGGCAAGAGGTGCTGGCAAAGCAGGCAAGCCAGGCAATCCCCTGGCAGTTTTCTGCACCTTTCGGGTGCCGTCCCCACCCCCCACCCCGTTTACTTGGATGTTGAATCTGCGTTGTAAGTACAGTGGCTTACAGCCATCATATTTGAGGCAATGGAGGTTGGTTCCCTTGGTTACAACCAACTTTTTGAGTCAACATTCAGTGAGAATGAAGCAGAGTCGGCTTTTTTCTGCACCCGGCAGAATGGCATCATTCTGCGCACAGATAAACGGAGCGAATGGAGTAAGCCCCATGTTGTGAACAACCCACCCCGATGGGGGGGGGGGTTCTGAGGGTACTCTTTTAGGGGTCGGTTTAGAGGAGAATGAAAAGGAAACAAGAACAGATGCCAGCCATGGCGAGGGCGATTACGGTGCGTCAGCTGTCTGGGGAGGCAGACTCATTCTTAGTGTTTACCGGGATGACAATCCGTGAATTCAAGAAGCAGCTGCACACGTGGCTGCCCTGCGAAGATGAATCGAAGCGCAACATGAGTTCGGCAGAGGTCGTTGTTGGAGACAGGCCCCTACTGGACAAAAAGGAACTAGTGTCAGAGGCCATTCCAGGTGCAGAAGTCCTGGCTTTCCTCAGCATCCAGCCGGTAGTGTGCTCAAGCCTCCATTCCTCCGGCTGCGAGGTGGAAGACATTTTGGTGGTGGAAATTCCTGGAGACGTGACTGAGATTGGAACAGGCGCCTTCAAAGGCTGCAGCTCATTGGTAAGCCTGACCATTTCCAACTCCGTGACTGGGATTGGAGCCTATGCCTTTGAAGGTTGCAGCTCATTGGCAAGCGTGACCATTCCCAACTCCGTGACTGAGATTAGAACAGGCGCCTTCAAAGGCTGCAGCTCATTGGCAAGCGTGACCATTTCCAACTCCGTGACTGGGATTGGAGCCTATGCCTTTGAAGGTTGCAGCTCATTGGCAAGCGTGACCATTCCCAACTCCGTGACTGAGATTGGAGCAGGCGCCTTTAAAGGCTGCAGCTCATTGGCAAGCGTGACCATTTCCAACTCCGTGACTGGGATTGGAGCCTATGCCTTTGAACGCTGCAGCTCACTGGCAAGCGTGACCATTCCCAACTCCGTGACTGAGATTGCAACAGGCGCCTTCAAAGGCTGCAGCACATTGGCAAGCGTGACAGTTCCCGACTCTGTAGCGGGGATTGGATTTTATGCCTTTGAAGACTGCAGCTTATTGGCAAGCGTGACCATTCCCAACTCCGTGACTGAAATTAGAAGAGGCGCCTTCAAAGGCTGCATCTCACTGGCAAGCGTGAACGTTCCCAACTCCGTGACTGGTATTGGATTTTTTGCCTTTGAAGGTTGCAGCTCATTGGCAAGCGTGACCATTCCCAACTCCGTGACTGAGATTACAACTGGTGCATTCAAAGGCTGCATCTCATTGGCAAGCGTGACCATTCCCATTTCCGTGACTGAGATTGGGTTGTTTGCCTTTCTAGATTGCAGCTCATTGGCAAATGTGACCATTCCCAACTCCGTGACTTACATTGGAGAAGGAGCCTTTGAAGGCTGCATCTTCCTTTTGGAGTCACATGGAACATGTATGCCAGTTGGATTTGGTTGAACCGCGGTTCCCAGCAATGTTGTTGTGGCTCAAGCGAAAGTTGTGTTTCCCCCAGCCCCCAGTTTGTAGAGAAACAATTTTATGCGATCCCTGCGTTCAGAATCTTGAGCTGCGCCACTACGCCCTATGTTGCAGCGCAAGCGCTTTCGCTTCGCAGAAAGGGAGAGCTTGTGCGCCCCCGGAGCCCCGAACGAGGCTTGCATGACATTGGTTGGGGCCGTGTGAAAGAACACCAGCGGTGACTTGTACTCCTTTACCATGTGCGAAATAGCATCCACAAGGGGTGGCCCAGAAAAGAATCCATATGAATCCATTGATTTTACACAGTGTTTGTGGATTTCATGTTAAAACACAGGGGTTGGCAATGTATCTTATTTATATCACGCCCAGAATCAGATTTGCTACCCCTCATGGACACATTGTTCAATTTGCTTAAGTTGAGTTCTTACTCCCAGGTGGTAGTTTAAAAGTGAAGTTATCCTGACTGGCAAAACTTATTGGTTATTCCAAAACCGTTGGATATGCGACTCCTTGTATTTTCCCGCTTGGACAATCCAATTGTTGTAGTTTCTCAAATGCTGCAATTCTTGTGTAGGAAGTAGAATCCTTGATACATTGCTTTGTTTGAAGCGCGTCGAGCTTGCACCCCTCAGGTCTTTTAGGTATAGTGCACGCGTGAGCTCTGATCAAATGAGCTTACCAGTGTGTATGTGGCAACATGGGAATTCGGACCAGATGGATTTTACTGTTGGTAAACCCCCTCAAAAAAAAAAGAAAACAGCACACACTCAATTGGTTCCAAAGGGAAGTCTTGGGCGGCGACCCTCACCTGTTTGCAAGCCGCTGCGGAAAGGTCCCAAAGAACCGGCCACGCCTTCGGTTGAAATGGTCGTTTTTGTTGGGTACCCTTTTAGAGGTTTGAAGGGAAACTAAAAGGATACCAAAGCCCATTTTGGGGGGTCCAACGCCTAGTTGAGACAACCCAAACCTCCAACGATGCGTAGTTTCATTCGGCCGGAGCGGCCGTTGGATATTTTTGGTTGGGAAGGGAGGGCCACATAGGCGCAAAGTGGGGGACCGCCAAACCCAGCCCCCCAAACACACCCGCTTAGGGAAAACTGAAGCAGACAAAACATGGAAATGTGTTTGGTGTGTTTTGGGGCTGGTAGGAGCACCTTGATGAGAGGCGAGGGTTTTAGATGTTCACTCCAGGGATTTTCAGATATGGACTTCGGCGTTATGGAGCTTATACTTTGACAAGCTTATATTGGCTCTCTGCCTCGACCTAAAAACGATTTAAACTTACCAGAGTGCCTTTGAACCCTGGCCATTCGGAAGGCGAAATGAACCTGGGAGCATACTTTTTGTTCAACCAGCTGAATCCGTGGATTGTTAACGTGGTTGTAGCCGAGGCTTGTCCCTTTTCCATGATTATCACCTACTAAAAAGGGGGGGGGTTCCCCTCCCCAAAGCCAGCATGGACCAGTCAGGTTCCTTTCCAGCCCAGGAATCTCCACATGTCTGGCAAGTACAGGGATAGCTCCCTATAGTTTGGAGGTCCGTGACCTGGGTCAAGGCCTTTCCAGGTATGAGAGGTAGGAGGTACACGAAATGAAACCACTGTTGAAGCCAGAACCTTTTTGTTGGTATTTGCACGGTAACTCGTATCATTCCCGGGTTTCTTAGGTGGCGCAGGATTTCGTCCATCCACAGTAGGAGGTGATATGCAACGTTTATAAGCGGTATATACTGCTTGTTGGTGATATAGGCATCCATCCAAACCAACAATGTTGACTTCGGAGTAGTCCGGAGGACCCTACTTGTTAGAGGACCCCATGCTGTAATTAGATCGTTGCCTTGCTAAATGAAACTCGGAACCCAGTTGCCCAGTGAATTCCCCCTCGTTTCAACTTGTGTTTTTGGGAAGGACCAACCAGCAAAGCATGGCCGTGTCTTTCCCATGGAAATCCACTCGGAGGGAACATCTGTGAGGTCTTGAAGAACAGTTGCCGCGCCACCGCCGAAGTGGCCAAATCCGACCGAGACGTCCAGAAGAGGCCGATCAATGTGATCGTGTGCGCGGACGATCACGAGGCAGGCGGTCTTAAAAGACACGTTGGAAGAGCCTAGTCAACGAGAAACCCAAAACGATGATATTTGCACTGGAGTTGTTTTTTTCTTCGCGTTGATTTACTTACCGATTTTTTCTTCGGACGATCATTTAAGTGGTGTGAGACGCCCATGGAACCAGGATGTTGGACAATCATTGTGCAGGGTTTCTCTTTTTCTTAGCAGTTCCCAGCCATACCTTTAAACTTTAAGACTCTGGGCGTCGCTCATCCCAGATCCCACTAAGGTTCGCTAAACGTGTAACTTTTAGCATGGGATCAACGATTCACTAAGTTTGTTTTGCGTGATTTGACCTGCAGGTGGCCATCCGAGTTTGCGACCGCGCGCGGGGGATTCCCTTTGGCGTGGGGCAGACCGTGTGGTCACCATGCCATACTTAACTCGCCTTTGCCCTTCTTTTTCTTCCCGAGTTCCGGACTTGGCACTTTTTCCCGAAGACCATTTTGAGGGCAACGGGTTGTGTCTTTTCTTCGGCCAAGCTGCGGAAGTGAGTTTTGCTCTATTTTTCCCTTGTTGCCAAAGAGCGCTCATCACTGTCGCAAAATTCGTCGAACCCGGATCCAAGGTCATACTTGTACACCACAGCGGGTCGCAACAAGGCCACCTACGCGGAGAAGGCCACGTCTCTGGCTGGATATGGCATCGGGCTTCCGTTGTCGCGATTGTATGCACGCTATCTTGGTGGATCTTTGAACCTTGTGTCCTTGCCTGGCTATGGCACTAGCGTCGATCTGTTCCTCCGGCGCGTCAATGCCAACCAAGTGGAGATCGTGCCAGACAATGATGCCTGAGACCTATCACAAACGAAACCAGAGAGAGGTCCATTCAAAACCCCTGGCAAGGGTTTATGGACAATAGCTTCAACCATCCTTTGTGTTTTCTAGGTATCATCCATGGGGAAGTTTTGAATGGATCACCAGAGTCAAGGCGAGCGTGCTCGTTAAGGCCCTGCCCCAATTTGTTGGCCCTCATTCCCTGGGACCGCGGTGCCGGTGTCAGCAATTCGCGGGGCTTTGGGCCTCGACACGCTCCGAGGTATTTGAAACCACCTAGGCGTTCCCAAAGGTTTAACTCAGACTCATGGGCTCGGCTTAGAGCCCAGCCCGGTGACTCACAGGGGACTTGGCAAAGTGTCGCATGTCAGACTTGTTGCAATGGATGTTTTTTCCTTTCAAACTCCAAGAGGGGAACAGCTGGCGTTGTGTAGGACCAATGTATTTCAGGGTCAGTGCACACATGGCATGCTGACAAAGCCCAAGACCCGAGAATGCAGGGCTCCAAAAGCAGAGTTGATGCATGAAGGGGGTGGGACAAGTCAAAACTTGCACAGCTTGACGGGGGCGGATGTGCATTTAGACGAGGACTACACCGCTTAGATGATCCATTCTTCTCGAGAGAGTGTCTTCGCACCCCTGGTCAAGTCGTTCCTCACCAGTTCCGCGGAAAAGGAAACGCCAGGAGCGCGGAGTGAGCTTTTTGCTAGCTTGCACCAGTCTGGTGGCTTATGTCCAATTGAGGTCCAACGAAGCGGGCGGGGCGTCGTTTTCTCACTTCCATAGTTAGTTAACTTCTCTGTTCTTGGCATGTTTTTTGGTTTTTTAGTTTTTTGGTTCTGTTCATTTTTACTGGGGGTCTGCAACAATCAATGTTTTTTTGCTACCATACCAAGAGTAGAGATGTTAATTTTAAACTTTTTGGAAAGACCATTTGAGTAGGAACAACAAAGTGTTTTCTATTTTAGGCCAATCCACTACATCCTTGGGCTTGGAGAGGCGCTGATGTCCCCTTTGTGGGTTGATGCAAAGGGAAAACCAAAGGGACACAACCCACTTTGGGTCCAAATCCCAAGCGAAGAAGCGAGTCGACCCCATTTGACCTGTGGGTGTCCCTTGTCGTTCATCTTAGTCACGGTCACGGATATGCCAAAAGGTAAGCTCTTCGGGGCAAATATGTTGTTTACCTTCCCGAGAGGAACCACTCTCGGTGATCCGGTTTTGCACTTACTTCTGAGTAAGGACAAGTATGAGAAGTGAAGGGTGTCACATTCGATTTGAATCAAGGGACCCCATTGGGGGAAGACATGCCACACCGGGGGAAGATAAGCCAAACTTGGGACTTCCTTGCTAGTTCTGCCCTTTGGGATTCACGACGCCCGCTAGAAATTGATTTGTTGGGATTGTTGGGCAAGCGATCATGGAACAGGCACAAGAGTTCGGGTGCTTTCCTTTTTAACCGAAATCGGACCTCGAAATCCGTTGGCCAATGTTCCGCCTTGGGCAACGTTGCGTGAAGTCACCTGCCCGAGGTTACTTGGTGATCAAATCCTGTGGCGCCTTGAGCCTGAAAGTCGTGCCCCTCGCCAGCAGGTTATGGGCCTCTGTCAAGCGCATTGGAACATGACTGCAATCTGGTTGGATCAACCACTCACTCCCTTGGATTAGCTGAAGGAACCGCACAATGCTGGGGTGGGGGGGCTCATTTCCTCTACAAATAAGGGTTTTCTCAGAATTGCGTTCAGCCGGTTTCCACGACCGCGCGCCTGAAAGGTATTTTCGAACTAATCATAGCAAGCTCACAGGATGGGGGTGAAGCAATCTCACGCTGGATGAGAAGTCCCTCAGAGTTTCCCGAGTTCAGGTTGGTGAATGAGGGCAGGTTAGAGCACTTGGCAAAGGTTAGGAAGACTGCACGTGCTGCTGACCCCTGACGAAGCACACAACTTCTTTGGCAAGTGCTGGTTGTGTTCTACTTTGATGGTACCAATTCCTTTCATGGTTCTGCTTGCCCCTTGCATGGTACCAATTCCTTGGGTGGTTTGGCCACCAAACCATGATCTTAAACTAAACCCCTCGGGTAGACTTAGGCCTTGCGCTTGGCACTCAAAAGGGTGAGCAACTGGATGATCCCTGGATGTTGAACCAACCTAGCATTTAGGTCATGACCATGTTAGCTCCTGTTGATTCCCCTTTCGGGACAAATAGGGACCAAGAGGCCCTGAAAGACTAATTGTGACCTCTGAAAGTAGAGTCCTACACTCCCCTTTTCGTTTGCAAGGTCATTTGATATCCAACCCATGGAAACAAATCGGCGCACCCCGAGTGATAAAATGTTTATCTTAGGACGACTCTTCGGAACATCGCGCTGGTGGTGCATCTTGGCAATAGCTTGAAGCCGTTCGTGTTAGAATCTGAGAGTCGCCAGCTCCAGGCACAGCGTGAACCAAACCAAAACGGTGTGTGTCGGATCAGGTAGGCCAACTTATGATGGGTTTTAAGCCTGTTGAAGCCGCCCTTTGGGAACAGAACGCTTGCATTGCCCAAACCTTTGACAGTTGTTCTGCTTGCTTATGTCAAACTCTACAACTGGTTGTGCAAAACTCTTTTCAGAGTACCGATTTGCACATGATGCTGCTTACCCTGACGAGAGACTGCAAAGCCTTTTGCACACATACAAAGTGCATATGGCTTCCTGTCAGCTTTGGCCAACGTTAGGCCATCTTAGCATCAGCCATCCAGGATTCAACCAAGGGCATGACCCATACCCTTGCCTTCAGAAAACCCACCCACCGCCCTTCTATGCAGTTCCCAAGCGTAAGCAGAAGAAACCAATACGGCCCCAGTAGCCCACAAAAAATGACTTGATTTGTTCGTCCTGTCAAGAGGCCAATCCCATCGGTGGCTTGGGTTCTTGTAGAGGGTAGATAGGAAAACATCCCTCAACCACCAAACGGAAAGCTGATCAAAGGGTTACGCTCCCTCAGGCTAACATGGAAGTTCCCAGAAGGCCTCTGCAAATACCAAGTCTTCCAAGCTTCCATCTTAGTCTGGGGCAGGGTAAACCCCAAATATATTCGATAAAGGTCAGTTGCAACTCTTCGGCCCAAAGGTACGGAGCCTTGGTGCTGGGTGAAGCGGTGTCCTTCCAGCAGGGCGCAGGCGGGTCGCTTTGGCCGGCGGGCGAGTGGCGGGTGTCACCTTGGTTGGTCCCGGTACTTGGATCCGAATATGGCCTTAGTTGGGGGAGGGTTGGGGGTTGGCATCCTCATGGGAACCCAGGATTCGATACACGACTGCCGAAGAAGCGGGTTGCAATATTCACTGTTTTTGGGGGAACACACTTCTGATCATTCACGGTGGGGAATACTTGAAAGACGTGAACGCTGGTCATCGTCCTTCCTGGGGAATCATGGGCTTCCTCCAATTCAATTTGAAATGGTTCTCTAAATATGTTGGATGCTTATTTGCGTGTTTCCCGAAAGATGTCGTTGTGGGGATAGATTAGCCACAACCCATGACCTCCCCTTGACCTTCGCCAGGATATTCCCTGGCATTGGCTCGGCACTCAGAGACTCCTCAGGCATTTCTGGCAACGGAGGCCACGCCACTGAGGTTGGCTTTGTGGGCTACACGTCCTCCAGCGTGCCCATCGCGCCCAAATCCGTGGAATCCCCGCGCCCGAGCGAATCAAAAAAGCGCGAAGCCGGGATCGATACGCATCCGCTGATGGGGGAGCCAGTGTTCAAACCACCACTTAAAGAAGAGGTTTTATCCATGGATTTGAAGGGACTCACCTTGGTTGGCCCACTTGACACGGAGGCTGGGACATACTTACCAAGTTCAGTTGGTTGGCAACTATTCAGGCTTCAAGCAGGCAGCTGAGCGCTAGAAGTGTGACGCTGGTACATGTGGCCTCATGACAGGGAGGAGAACGTGTTTGGGATTCTTTGAATTCGCTTTGGGGTGGAGTTTCTTCCACACCATCTACAATCAGGTTATGGGGAAGTTGTCAAATAATTTCTTGAAAGGATAAAACTAGGGTCCGCCCTGCTTGCCTTCCTGGGTTAAAATAGTGCACGAATGAGCTCTTTGGTTTTTGTCAGTGCTGTGGGGACTGATGGGGCGACCCATGATGGCCACCGCTGAAATGGCATGTGTATAAATAAACATGGATACCTGTAGATACATAATGAATATATGGGGGCCGTCCGGAATTGCATGTCTAAGGCTTTTGAACAGCGGCAACTTGTTGAACCGCGCGATGGGGAATACTCGAGCCGCCAAAGGCCGGCGATTGGACCGTGAAAGGGCAATTAAGTTATTTGTGAATTTAGACGCTGCATTGCGTTTAGATTGTGGTGTCGACGCGCATCTTGCTCATTTTGACTGCGTTTGCGCAGGCCCAGGCTGTGGATTCTAAATCTGCTTACTGGCAAAGGCTGGAAGCTGCAAGCCGAAGTTTCACCGCCGAATTGCGCGATTGGACCGCGGTAGGACGGCGATTGGACGAGTTTCACCAGTGAGCCCCTGCCCATCCGAGCTTTGCTACTTCCTTCAGGTATGAATGGAGGAAGGCCAGCGCACGAGAGAAAACACCAGGCAAAGTAATTTAGCACAACCCCCATATGGACACATATCGTGGATGGTTTGCTGTTGGCTGGTGGTCCCACGAAATACAATATCCAACAAACATATACCAACGAGTAACAATACACAAATACATAAACTAAACATATATGTGTATATATAGGTCTCGAGGTACTCCACATTTGCCCAACGTCGTGACCAACATGAGGCAATCCATATGCTGGGATTGCAGCGTGCCTGACAGGACCTGGCAACCGGAGTCCTAATTTTGACAACGAGCCAGACATTTCACCAACATCCACAAAGAGACGGGACCCCAGGAAAGAATCCATGGATTCTCGGTCGCACACCCGCACAGCCGTGGTCCAGTGCGCACTCCCCCCCCCCCCCGCCCCGCCCAACCCCAACCCCGGATCCCCACACCCGGCTGCTACGGTCCCCACCCCTCCTCGAGCCCCTGAACTCGCACCCTTGCATCCTGACACGGAGGACAACTCAACCCACAACCAACCCCAAACCCCAATCCTACACCCCTAACCCTGAACCCTAAACCAACAAATCAACCTTAAACCAACCCTAACCCAAAATCCACCCTAAACCCACTGTAAACCAACCCTAAACAAACCCTAAACAAACCCTGTACCCACCCTAAACCAACCCTAAACCAAACCTGAATGAGCCCTAAGCCAACCCTACACCCACCCTAAACCCACCCCAAACCAACCCTAAACCAAGCCCTACCCACCCGAAACCAACCCTAAACAAACCCAAACCACCACCCAACCATCCAACCACCGCCTGGTTATTATATATATATATATATATGTATACGCACCCCGCGCTCTAATGCCAAAAGATATCTTTACCATGGCATGGACCAGCCTTCATGTGAAGCTTCGAGCACGTGGGTGGCCAGGTGATCCTACTTGCGCTGATTTGCGTGGCATCCATCCACCAGGCCGCGCGGTGTTTGATGCACGTGTTTTGCTCTTTACGGCGGAGGGGTTGATACTCTTTAACCCCATTTCCTCCGCTCGCCGAGGCAGATGCGGCCAACAACACAGATGATTGTGTTTGCGAGCCGGAGGCCGGGCGAAGTGGCAAGGACCCAGGATTGCGTCCAAAAGATTGAGGGCCTCGAAAAGATGTTCTTACTTTTAGTCTCCCTTTACAAGCCATCCAAAAGGAGCCCCTGTTGGTTTGCACCCACTTGTCCAACTTTTCACGTCTGGCCAACTGATTCAGAGCTGACTCGCAAGGCGAGACGGGGCCGGCTCGGAGGTACTGTGGATAAGCGAAAGACTCAATCCATTTCGCATCGTTTAACAAACCCTGAAATGATGATTCCCCTGTAGATGCCAACAAACAATGGTTCCCCATGGTTTGCTAGGTGGTGCAGGATTTTATTTTTCCACAGTATGGCTCCCTTGCTATGGCTCCGAGTCAGTATCGCAGTATAGGAGTTTCTGCGCACCCGCAATCATAGCTGCAGTCACCATTGTTCCTTGCTCCGAAATTGTGCATGACCCAGACCAGGGAGCCAGGAGCCATTGTTTACCGATTGCCAAGTGGTTTGTTGGAGCACATAATCCGCGAGGGGTGTCTCTTCGAGAGAGCGTCTTCCAAAGCCCTTCCACCTCCATGCTGGAAAGAAAGGCCAACTTTTCGCCCACTTTCTCCCTCACCCATGTAAACCCCGAGGGACCCGTTCTTTCAGGCCCCCATGACTTGCACGTCGAACAAATTTAGTAGGTTACCTGCATGTAACTGAGATTTCAGAAACACCTTCGCAAGTCACAAATCTGGTAAGCTACTTACTATAGGTTGTTTCTTTGATTTCAGTATGCAGGGGATGAGTGAACTTGCTGGTGCGATAGGCAGGGAATGAGAAATGGAATGACCCCTACAAACTATCCCCTACGGTTTCCTTTAAGGGAATCCCCAGTTTCATTCCCTCATTCCCTGCTGAGCACCAGCAAGTGAACCGGGGTTAAGGAGCTCTCACGCGCTCAGGAGCCGGTCGCAACCGCGGAGCCGTTACCACTCTTCGCCACCATTCCTCTGATTTTGCACCCCCGGCGCCGTTGCCTTTGTCTTCGCCGGGTTTTGTGTCCGGTGATCTTGACGAACTCGCTGGTGTTTCTGGAAGCATGGTCTGCTCCGTGGTTCCGACGCGGGCGAATGTTGACACAATTCCCGCTAGTGAATGCCATCTACTTTCAAATCGTACATGCAAAAATCACCTGCTTAGGGGGGTCTGGGAACTTTTTTCGCGGGGTGGGCTGATCCGCCAGCGCTTGCAAGTCACAAGCACGCTTGTGCTTGGAGTAACTTTGGGAACTGAGGTGTTCAAAAGCATGTTTTTGAGCTACCTACTCTATGGGTTGAATGTTGAATTGGGACCCCCTCCCCCCCGGTCCCACTGGACAAGTACGATGGGAAGGAATCAGCATGGTATTTCATTGGGTCAGTTTAGATGGATTCCACGGGGTTCAGTTTGGTAGCCATCCAGCGCCATTGTTCTGTTCGGAGAACCTCATGGGACCCCAGGGGTCTATGCCAAAACCAGGCGCTGTTTGGTTTTCCTGCCAATTTTCAGGAGAGCAATACTGGCCAGGATGCCAGCCCCGAAGATGCCCCCCCCCCTTTGGTGGCATATATTCAGATACAATAATTTGCATACAGGTGTGCCGTACCCAGCCAGCATCTGGTATGACAAGGAACATTACCATTACCTGGGCCATGTTTACTTCAATTTCCCTTGGGAGGTTTGAATGTGACATGCAGCACTTTGGGAAAGCAAGGTCTTGCGAGGTGTCTTTCATGTTTAGTTTTGTTTCTTTTCCGACCTCTAGGAAAAGAACTACGGGTAATTTGCGACTACTAAAGAGGAGACCCAACATGGTAGATTGTAACTTACACCCAAATTGTAACCGTGGTTGTGACTACTAATTGGCCTTAGCCCTTTTGTAATCTTGTTTGGTTTTTACCTACGAGCAGATTCAAAATCCAAGTGGCTCCCATGAAGCTACTTTTGGAGGGTCCAAGCAAGGTACATGATTAATTAAGGATTCCCCGTGTTCCAAGGCTGTAACCACTATTGCGACTAGGGTAAATGGGGTTAGTCATTGGAAAGCAAAAACTGTAACTTACATAACCACATGTGTAATCTACTTCCCTAACATGGATTGACTACCCCAAGTAGGTGAGGGGTGAGGTTAAGCCCAAAACAAAAGAAGAAGAAGAAGAGAGAAAACACGCTTGCTTTGAGTGGCTTGAACATGCGAGTATCAGCAGACTCCCCTCCTTTTGATGAGTTCAATTTGTGTTTTTCCTCTTCCTGTTGGTTGTAGCAAGGTTTACTTGATATTTCCACTGTTGGTGGCTTCACATATCGCCGTTTCGGCCAACAGGCGAGTTTCTTTCCGGGTGATGCTCACGATCTGCTCACTTCCTGAGGTCCTGGGCTTTCGATTGGGCCATTTGAGTGGCAAACAACTGGCTGGTTCTCAGGGAATGGGGAAATGACCCTCTATAACACCGTCCCTTGTGGCTTGGTTTGAGGGAATCCCAACCAGTTCATTTCCAAGGTCATTCCCTGCTGAGCAAATTTCCCTACCCATCGCGGCAGCAAGACAAGTTGAGGTCATTGGGACCCATCCGTACGGAAGTGAGTTTGGTTTGGCAACGCAAAGTGTTTGCCAATAAAGAGAGTTGTATGTTGAGACAGGGTTTTCTCTGTGGGTTTCCCCAACAAAAATGCAATACAGAGAGTTGAGAAAGGGTTTTTTTGTTTTGGTTTCTGCCACACGTCAGGTTTCTGGTGTTGCTCTCGGGGCTCTTCTCAGGGCTTACTCTGGGCCTCATGGGCTTGGATGCCTCTCGGATCGGATCTGATTCGGAGCGTCGTTTGTTGGTTTGGGTGTGGAGGGAATATGTGTTTACCGTTTGTGTTTTTGTTTGTGGGGGGGACCCTTTGGTTTCCCTTGTTTAACGGCTTTAAGAAAGGAATTTGGATGAGTTTTGCGGTGGTTTCCCCAAAAACAAAACTTGCGTGTGTGCTTGGGCCAAAATGGCTGCTCGTTTTCGTCTACAGTCCATTTGGGAGGGAAGAGGAGGAGGGGAGAACTGATTTCTGACAGACACAAGGCAGCTCAATTGTCCCTGTTCTTGAGGCGAACTGGGTGAGTTTGACCAGGTCTCATTTTTGGGCGTGTGTCAAACTAGGGGACCAACTGCCTGGCTAAGTTGACATTTTAACTATTGACCATGCTGGGTGCTTAATAGCCCATAGTCATTAATGCTTCCAAATTGAAGCCAAAAGGGATGTGTATTTGTTGTTCAGATCGCCTGCAGCTTCTCGGCTGTCTTGTAAAAAATATGGGCATCCACCGTGCACCTGCCCAAGGCTGATTGTATGGACCAGATGATTGATTTCATGGCAATTTTACCTTTGGGCCGCCGCATTCCCGTGCAAAGACACACCCAAATGGGTGATCCAACAATTCTCGCAGGCTTCCAAATCAGACTTGAGTTCCTGAAACTGTTTTGGCACTTACAAGGAGGTGAGTAAAGTCCAAATGGCTGCTTTTGCTTCCTCTGACTTTGCACGGATGTTGGCCCAGCATGCTAAAAAAATCACATCACAACGCGACCATGTGCATAGTGGAGCATCTCTTTTTGGGGACGCAGCCCTGAGGTGTCAAAAAGCAGGTGGTTTCTTTAGCAAAGTGAGGAGCGATGGCGTGAAGAAAGTGCTTGCGCCTAGGTCATTGGATTGCAGATCGTGCAGAAGGGGGATGACAAGGAGCTCGCGAGGCAAATGGTGCACTGATTCCGCTTTTTTGAGGGGGACCCTTCCTTTTTGCAATAAAGTACCTTAGCTACCACAAAACGGCGAACCGTTCAAAGTGTTGAGGGAATTTTGGGAAGCTATATGAAACGAGCTACAACAAGATCAGACGATCGGGACGCAGGAGGTGTTGCTTTGCTTTTGTACAATACTCTTGGCCTGAAGCAGGTTGAATTTCAAGGAGACCATGTCTCCCTACCCCCTGAAAGAAAAACTAAGGCATGTCCAGTTGAAGGTACGATTGAACCAGTACCGTTAACCGCGTTATTATCATAACCAAGTCCCTAGTTTCTTTTTTTCAGCAGTAAGGCTTATACCCTGAGCAAGTAGGACAGTGCGTGCCATGCATACATGCATAGAACCACCTTCATGCCTTCAGAACCATATCAGCACCCTATGAAAAGCACTTTTTGTTGGAAGTATCATTATTTACAATCATTCCCCTTGAATCTTCCGAATGCGGCTGCGCATTTGCAGTTGGCATGTGATATAAACAAATATTGACATATACGTATTGTCAAATATTACCTGTTAAACCTGCTGCTGATGCCCACAAGTGTGCACATGCATATTACACTCCTGCCTTCTGACACGCATTCACGTTCACCCATGATTGCACAATGCAGTTGTTTGCCATAATTTTGATACGGTCGCTGTGTGTGTTGGTTGTGTTTTAAGGTTGTTTAATGCCCAGACATGTTTGATTTAGTCGGTACACGGTTGAATTGTATGCTTTCTCAGCTCGCGTTCTCAACCTATATTTCTGCTTTTTTACTTGCCCAGTTGTACCCTTGTTTCTTCTGTCTTGGACGGTTCACGGGGCACGCAAGCTTTGACCATGGCACAGCTGACTGCTTCAACACCCCCCCCCCCCGCAAGTTAGCATGCAGCATGGAATCCAACAAACCAGAACACGTAAAACAAATATGCTGGAATGGGCGAGGTGCACGTCTCATTGAATGAGTTCCCAGCCGCAGCGTTAGTTTCAGGGGTCGTTCTTTGTGTGTGGCACTTAGTGGGCAGCAGAAGTTGTGGGCACACCCAAGTTCTGTGCGTTGAGCAATTGCAGGTTTGCTTTTGCACACCCCGTCCAAATTCCGAAGCTCGGAATCTTCGTTGGAGGCAATGAGCGGCCTTCTCCATACGTTTTGCTGTTTGTATTTTGTGTCCATGTCTAATTTTTGGTTTTTGTGGGCCTCTCAAAATGGGGACCCCCTTTTTCGGATCCTCAAAGTTCTTTGCACAAGAACCACTCCTAAACGCGCAGGTGTGCTGCCAAAATCGCGCCCATCCGGGAGACCGGAAACCAGCTCTTGCGACCTTGGCGGGTTTGGCGTCCGGTGCCCACCGCAAATGATCAAAAACCGGAGGTGGGCTGAGGGCATGGTTTTCTTCAGGGGAAGAGAAACCTTGTGATCAAGAGTTTAGGCGTCCGAGCGAGCCCCAGGAAGAATATATATATATACATATATTATACGGTAATGGACTGAAGCCTTTCATCTTAACATATATCGCTTTGTGGGATCCTAGAAGATGCCAGGTGTACCTTGCTGCTGGGCAACGTGGCGGTGAACTCGGCGCAGCTGCCGGGAGTTCTGCTTGGCTTGGGTCGGGGTGGCCCTAAGGCGTTTTAAGGAACCCTATGGAACCACCCTAGGCTAGGGGTGTCAGCTACCTGCCTTGTACCTACACCGTTTTGGATTGGTGGTGTAGATGTGTGGTTTGGTTATGGGAAAGTTTTGTGTTGGATTTGAATCCCTTCTTTTAGAGGGTAAATCGGAAACCAACCCTTAAGCACCAAGCCACCCATGCAAACCACTCGCTAGAGCCAAGCTGAGTGGGCCATGTTTCCTCAAGTTCCTGGAAGGTTCACCAAAATGATCCATCAGAAACGCCATTGTCTAGTGGTAAACAGGTAAAACACAAATTGGGGAAGTGACTACACAAAAGTCCCAACCATGAATGGGTGCGGAAATCCGCCCTTTTGATACATTCATGTGCGGATTCGGGTAGGGTTTGTATCGGGATACATTTGGGGAGGTCTCACCACATTGCCGGGTTCTTTCAACCTTGGCGCTGCCTTGTGTGCCCCTTCCAGTGTTTGGCTTTCGGACCCTTTTGCAAGCCTGAGCGAAAGCCATTCCAAGGACTGCAGAAAACGGGAGAGAACCGAATCAGAGGCTGCTCTAAGGCTCCAGGTGTGTGTGTGTGTGTGTCTGTTTTTCAGGGTACGCCTTTCTGCTTGGCTCACCCGGAAACCGGAAGAAGCTCTGCCTTGTTGGGAGAGAAGTGATGCCCCCTTAACGCCAGGCCTTGTCCATCCTGACAGCTGACATCGCCAGTGGGCTGGTGGGTTTCCTTGCGAGGTCCTCAGCACAAAGCCCCAGACGTCCTGTAGCAGCCTTGGTAGCCTTGTTTCTCCTTGGAAGGAGTTTCTTTTGGCATCAGAACAGCAACTGTCCCCCAAGAAGTGCTGTGTTCTTCCTGTCTTGAAAGGTCCCTTGTCCTCTTTTCACGGAAATCCAGAGGTTGGGCGAATACTTGATCTTGTTTTGAGAACCCACTGTGGGTAATGATTTCAGCTGTTTCTGGGGTTATCAAAGTCAGAAACCAGGATTGTTTCCCTTGAGCCGTCCACCTAGGGGGTGACTTTGAGAATGGAAAGATAAGGCAGCCCATTTTTTGGTGGTCTTCCTGCAGTTCCCTCTTTCAACTACCCCAAAAAGGGTACCCCCTAGGGAAAAAAAATCCATGTGATTAAGAATATTTTCCCCCTGTTGGTTTTAAAGGGAATCTATCGCTACTGGACATGTTTTTGTTTTTTGTTTTGTTTGCCAGGGGACTTAAGCAAATGGAAGTCATACAAACAAAAAAGAACGCGTGGTGCCCGATCAATGGCCGTTCAATGACCAATGTCCGACCACATTCCTTGCGTAGGGTGTGCTTCAGCCGGCAAATGGATAAGGGGCCAGAGGAACACGATGGAACACGCCGAGCTACTTGCGACAGGTCTCCACCGCCCTCATCGTGGTCTTCGGCGAGATTCTGCCGCAGGCGCGCGCGCGCCTTCCTCGGGGTCTTAGCATTTTTTCGTGTTTTTTTTTTTTTTTTTTTTTTTTTTTTTCCGCGCGCCTCGTTTTGTTTCTTCAAAAAAACCAGCTACAGGACATTGGCCAAGTACCTTTTTTGCGGTGTTTCTGTCCAAGTTTGGTCGCAGGGTCCGACTCCTCTTGGTTCAGTTTGCTTTGTGGGCTTCCATGGCTTCCCATTCAAACACGGAACCCACCTGAGCCTTGATAAAAATGCTCGTGGGCCTTCCCTGCAGCTCATGGTGGCAAGCTAAATTCATTAGTCATTAGGCATATCCTCCCACAAGCAAGCATCATATGGTGGCAGGGGGAGGCGTTGGCGCGAGAGAGTCAGCTTGTTGCAGTTTTCCTTATTTAAGCCCTGGGTTCATTGCATACCCCGCCTTTTCTTAGTTGCTCATGAATTACAATTCTGTCAATAACCATTGTTCCGCCTTGAGGTGTTCTTTTGTTAGGCGAGCCCGCAATTATTATCTATTCATTGGGGGAAAGGGCCTACTCCCTGCAGAGTAGCTTAGGATCGGACCCCTCTTCCAGCTCGGAAACTCTTTTTCTTGGGTTGCTCGTGTTCATATTGGGAGCCACCTATCAAAACATGCAGTTTTGTTGTCGCAGGTGAGCACGAAGACGGATGCGATCCGTGCCCAAGAAACTCCTCGTTCCCCTACGTTCATTGTGCTGGATAGGGTTTTATGGGGTTCCAACGTGACCTGCCACCAAACCCATCAAAATCATGGGCTCAATTTCAGGCTTCAGAGAATCAGGGGCCGTTAAAGGGATTAGTCCATAGTTTTGGACTTCAGGCCTTTCATGCCGCTCCCAACAATTTGACGCTGGGAATGCAACTTGGAACAGGCGTGTCGTGTTGTGTTCGCCCCCTTGAGCTTCCATTCGCTGCACTCGTTCCGCAACTCGGGCTTGGCGCGGATGTAGCTTTTGTTTGGCGAATTGTCGGCTCAACCCGCGGCTGGAGGCAGTTGTTCAAGCCAAACAACTGCCTGGTTCCCCGCAGGAAGCTAAGTCATTGGTCAGACCTTGCATACCTATGTTTCTACATACAAGCACCAAACCAGACACCCACACTTCCAGTAATCCAGTGGCGCCTGGGGTTTCATGTGTGCCGTTTTTTTTTCCACTGGAAACAAATTGCCCACCTCAGGGTCTGGTAAGACCATCTGGGCATCCAGGCGGCGTGCTCCCGCTATGCCTTGCAGGTTCATTGGGGTTGGGGGCGGGGGGGGGGGGGGTGGAAGGCCGAAATGGACAGACACACCTCACATACGATTTATAGGGCTGCCGTCTTGGGGGAACCTTGTAGGTTGTTTTGCAGGGAAAGCAAACGGAAACCACCAATTCCGGGTTTCGCATATTTTGAGAGTCAACCCATATGTAAGATTGGCATGTCCACTTGGAGAGTAAGTAGCGCCTCAAAGAGAGGTGCTCGGTTATTTTGACCCCAAGTTGTGCAGCTCCAAATGGGGTATCTTGTTTCATATATATATATATATGTATAGATTCACTCCATGTGATCAGTGGATGTGGCAAAATAGAAAGTAGGTCCATGGCTACGGTTGCGCATGGGGTGGTTCCCTCCTGGCCATGAAACCTTAAGGCGTGGGCCTCGGTCCTCCACTGGATGTGGTTCCACATGCGACAGAGCTACTGCACCCATCGTGGATGCTTCCTAGGTCCCCCAGTAGTGCCCTTCTCTCCCTTTTTTGAAGAAGCCGTCCCCCTGCTAAAATAGACTACAGAAAAAAGGGTACCCTCATTCTAACCTCTCTCCTGGAGGACCTAGCTTCAGAAATGATATTGATAGGGAAGATTGAGGTGCCTTCAAAGGAGACCTGGATGGCTGTTGAATGCAGGAACCGAGATCAATGCGTTGAGAAGCATGATTTCTTCTTGAAAGAACACCCGGTCGGTTGCCTTTTCTTTATTGGGAGGAAGTGTTTGCGCCCAGCTTGTACTTGATACAGCTCCCTTGGCCCAGATACAACTTTGTGGCCAAGATACCAAAGAAGAGCCAGAGACAAGTACCAATCAGTGGACGGTGCAAAGTCGCCCAGTGGCCTTTGATCAATCGCCGAAGGGTTTGACCCTTCTCCCCCTTTTGGTACACAACGTTGCCCCCCCAGATGTACAATGCACACAGGCTTCCACTTGTTTGCCGGTTTCCCCCTTTCGGCTTTCAAGGGGCACGGCGAGGACGGGTAAATGGGGCGTGTCTCTTTTGAGGGTGCTTTTTTCCTGGGCTGTGCTAAGGACCAATTACCGATAGGCACCCCTTTCGCTGTTGACCCCCGGCTTTTTCCCATGGCGACGGCCATGGCCGCATGCGAATCGACCAGGTCGGAGCACGGACCGTGCCCATCGTGAAGTTTTTGCTGCGCACCTGGCTGCATTTCGCTTGCCGAGTGGATCCAGACCTCGAGTGGGGCAACTTCCTTTGGCTACTTATTTCTTGGATACTAGATCTTTGTTGCATTTTACTTGGATGTGAGGACTTTAACTTTTTTGCCAACTATTGGGTTTTCCAAAAGTCAAACTTTGAGCAGGGGAGCAGAAAGCAACCGAGAGATGGCTGTTTTTTTTGGACAAAACAAGTCCCTACAGGGAACCAAAAGGGGTGGATAATCCGGACCCCCCCCCCGCTTTGCACCCTGCTTACTTTTCGGGTTTCCCTTGGAAATCGCTGGGCTTTTTGAGCAGCTCATCAGCTTGCCCCTGACATTCCTGCCTTGGGCCGTGTGAGGGGGGGCCTTCCCATTTCGTTTCAAGGGCCTTCCGATCCGCATGTCAATCTAAACCTCCAATGACAAGTAACACTCAGCATACAACCGCAACCTGCACAATTGCGCACTACCAATAAACCTTAAGCTATATAAAGTCCAAACCAGTAAGAAGAGGTAGGGCAAATCAACAAAGCAGCCTCCCAATCCACCACCAACAAGAAGAGGACTGGTATTTTCAAAAGAGGCCTTCCTCCAAATCCCATTTTTGGCTTGCGACTTTCAAAGCTTTTGAAAAACCCTTCGCCCAAGGGAAGAAACCGCCTTCGCATTGGCTTTTTCGCCTTCGCCAGGATATTGTTCTTTGTCATCACCAAGCCAATGAGTATCATCCTCGACTGGATGCTGGGCCGGGAAGTGGGCACCATCCACAGCCGAACAGCGCGAGCCTCAGGGCCCCCACCCGGGCCCCCCCGGGCCCTCGGCCGGGGTAGCCAAACCGACGAGAGTTCTTATGATATATCACACGCTCAGTCTCTGAGTTTCAGGGGACTTTAGTATTTTTTGGGGTTTGGATGTTTCTTGATGGAACAAAAGTTCGGACTTGTTTTGCCCATCCAGTCAGGATTTGAGCGCTAAAAGATACTAAAGCTTGTCTGCTTGTACGTGACTAACAAAGCGGCACGTTGATGAGCTTCCCATGGTTATACCCCTGTTCAGAATCCTGTTTGCAGCCCAAAGAATCGCGAGCAAGTCAGAAATGTTGAGGACTTTCGCCAGTGTAGTATTTTGAAGCTTGCAGGGTTGGAACGGCCGGGCCCTGAAAAGATTCTGTTGCTGCGATAGTCTAGCCATACTTGTCGCATTCTTATCAGGGATATGTTCTCCACAACATTGCTAGACAATGGGACTGTGTGGTATTTCTGAAAAGAAGGATGCACGGCGCAAACGGGAAAACAAAATAAAAAAGACAACAAACAAACGAAATGCGGCTCCAGACATGTTTCACGCGGTGCTGGGCCCAAACCTCGCTTTGAGATCCCCATACTGGAGGATCAATCATGGAGAAACGTGCCTTCTTCAGGGGTGGCTTCTCTTTTTTGCAAGGAAACGAACTATTACAGGGGGTTCCTCTTAGTAGGGTCCTCTAGATCCTTTTTTGCAAGACAAGGATCTATTTCAGGGAGTTCCTCTGATTCGGGTCCTCCCGATTGGTCAAAAAAGAGGTTGAAGTTAAGTTTGACGCCACAGACACGAGGAGCTCATGGAGATGTTGAAGCTGCAGATCTCCCTCGGAGCGGTGAATGCCGAAGAGGGCAAGATCGCGCAGCAGGCGGGGCGCCTCAGAGCTGCTCCTTGATGTGGTTTTGGAAGGGGCCATGAGGCTATGCGCCAGAAAAGGAAGCACCCCCCCCCCAAAATGGCCCCGTTGATTTTTGATTTATCTTTAAGCCCTGAAAAAGGGGCGCCTCAGCCTCATATTGGGAACCCTGCGCTATTGCTTTCGGCCTCGCCAGGTCGCCGAAGGAGCTCTCAGCTTCCGCGACAAGCAGGCTGTACCCGCGGGTTGGTTGGGTCGATAGGCGGAAGGCGTGCAGGATGTCCTTCAAAAACGTGCTAGTTTGCCCGGATGTTTGGATTAAGCAATCCGGTGAATTAACAGGGCGTGTACCCAAGGAGAATCTATCAATGGCAGCAATGGTCATGGTCATGTCGTAATGCCAAAGCAATGCCACACATGCGCAAGGAGTGCAAGTTTGGCCCAGCAGGATTCCGTTGTTCGACCATTTTGTGACTTGTAGCGAGCAGGTGGGCGACATCATGACCCCGCTGGAGGACGTCGGCCGCCCAAAGTGGCCCAAGGGGCCGAAAATCGATGGCACCCTTCCCTGCGGAAAATCTGGCTATTTTGATAGGGAACCACCTACAAAGTTGGTGAACATGAATCCCCCATGGAATGTTGATGTCCACCAAAGTGTCCCTAATATTCATGCCCAATCTGTCATTTACCTCAAAGCCTTGAAGGGAGCCAACAGATGGATATGTTGTTTTCTTTAGAGACTTGCACTTTTCCTTTTTTGCAGCTTCCACAAAATCGCACACCTAGAAAAAGGCACTACTTCTCTTTTGGACCGCCACTGGAGGTTCGGTATGTATATGCAAAACATACCACATAATAATACACATTCAGATACTCCGGGCAAAGTGCAACGAGATCGCCTAAGGCCAAAACCTGCTCGCCCTTTCGTCGATGGCTGGGCTTGTCTTCAAGTCTGGCGAGTCAGGCATATCCCTTTTTCCTGTCCTAACAGTGGTCAGATTCTATTTTTGTATGTCTTGTCTTAGCTCCCCCCCAATTAAAAAAGAAAGCGTAGTTTGCCTGTTGGTTCCCCTGAAAAAAAACACTTGCACAAGGGTACCCTCACAAAACACATCCAAGTCATTTCCCTTTCGACGGGCCCAAGGAGGTGCCCTTTGGGCGCTCGGCATCCGGCTTTGGGGCTTTGGTGCTTTGGGGCTTTGGGGCTTTGGTGCTTTGGGGCTTTGGGGCTTTGGGGCTTTGGGGCTTTGGGGCTTTGGGCGGCGCCCCAGCCTGGCAACAAGAGTTGCGAATGATGCATAACTCACCACGTGCTATAAGCTATGGACGGACAAAACCGGTTTCGCAACAGTTGGGATGCTGGGTGCCAAATAGCCTATATCGATCTGTTTATTTGCCCGGAAAGGGAAATCACTAGCTTCGGTTTTTTCTAAACGTTTTCCCAGACCACCTAATTAGCGCCCAGGACGGATTTCCATGCACAGTATGAAGCTGGGAGCCAGTTGGAAACATGTTGATTGGCATCCGCATTCCGGGTCTTTGGATGAGGTTGGGTTTGCTTGCGAGGGCGCAAATAGCAGTAAATAGCACTTTTCTTAACGGCTGAGCCGGGATCCCCTTGCAAATCAGGTCGTTTCGAATGTACCCTTAAAGGAACCCTGTTCCTATCGTGGTCACGCAGGGCACTTTTTAGTTAATGCACAGTTGAGCAGTAACAGTTAGTTGTTTGTGGCCTTTGTGTGAAAGGCAGGGTTTGCAAGCCTGATTTTTTTCCAGCCACGGGGGCCCTGGGACGTCTGTTTTTCCCGAGGTCCTGGGGGTCTGCGGGCTGCCCCTTGAAACTCAACGAGTAAAGTTCTCAGGATGCCCCTTTTTCTCCCAGAAATCCACAGGTACGTGGCTCACCCCGGCACAGCGCCTTCTAGGCGTACTTCCTGAGTAGCCACACCAAGCTGGGCTACGACGCCATCCGCGAGATCTTCGAGACGGGCTACAGTGCCTCGTTTTATGCCGCATGGGGGGGGGATTCGCACGGCCACTCCACCGAGTTTGTGTTCTCCCGACATGGGGTGCAAAGACCTTTGAGAATTCGAAATGAATAACAAATAATTGGAATGATAGTTGAAGTATTCTCACAGCACATCCTCACTGTGCACAGTTGTCGGCTCGAGCGTTTGGAAAAGGGCGATGCCGTGCTCTTGGTTTACAGGTTTCACACCAGCTGACTGGCATCCCAAGAAGCCTCTACCTCTTGCAGTCGGCGAATATTTGATTTGTCTTTCCACCCAACCTGGAACCCACCAAAGGATTCATGGTGCAAGAAATGGTTTTCCAGTGTTCCAGAAGCCCCAGCTGGAACATGTCACCGCCCAACTGGTGGGCCCGAAGGTATTGGGTCAACTTGTCAACTCAGCGCTGCACTCCTTGCCTTTCAGCCTGTTTATGCATTATTGGTTGAATCTAGACGGAATCCCTTCCAGAAATGCCACATTCTTCCGGAGCCCATTTATACCAAGGCCTCCAAGCAGGGCATAGGGAGGGGTTTCAATTCGCTTTGGTTTTCCTGCGAATCGCACGTCGTGAGGTCGGATTCCCATCTACGGCCGGGACAAGCACGACTACCGGGGTCTTTTGTATACCAAGGCCGGGTAAGCAGTAGCCCAAACGACCAGTTGCAAACATCGGGGAATGCCCAACCTTGTTTTGTTACCCAAAACAGTCCCTCTCCCCAAACACTTTGGTTTGGTCATCAGAGGCAGGTGTCTTCGGAGGAATGATGGGGAGTTGAGGCATCCCGCAAGAGGGGCGATTTATATGAACTACTTCAAAACTCGCCGTTGGGACCGAGTCCAAGTTAACATGAGTTGCTTTCGAGTGCTGCGCGAAAGAGGGCTTACCACCAACGAAAAATAATCAATTTGGAAAAGTGTCAAGTCAATGTCCACGCAAATTCGCTGCTTGCCCGCGGGGTGATTTAGCACTGACAGGTGCTCTTCTTCAAGGGGCTCCCAACCTCTAGCCATCAGGTAGCCCTTATAGTTGGTGATAGTCGGTATTTGGATTGGTCGGAGTGGTTTGAAGATTTGAGCCCCTTGTAGAGCCTAGATAAACCACCCCTTGGCTTCGAAACAAACTCAAGGCACCAGTCAAGAAGCTGAAGCCAGCCAGCACTTTGGGCGGTTCCGCCCCCCCCTAAAAAAAGAAAGGGAAACAAGATATGTTTTTCTTCCTGCAGCTGTCCCAAACACGGCGCAAAGGGAACATCCTGATGTTACATGGGGTTTATCTTTCATGATTTTCCACGTGACTCGGGAAGCCTCAAGATGCAGACTTTCCTTGGCTTCCCTTTTGAACAATCCCAGATACCAACTCCACACAAATCAAAGACCATCTCGAGAGTGTTCTACACACTTGTTACACAATGAGGGCTTCTTTGCAGGGGCTCCAAGTTCAACCTTGCCAGGATTTGATGCTGGCAGATCCGGAGGACGAGATGCAGGCAGTTTTATTTGCGAAGCCATGGTTGCATTAGACGGCAGCCGCAATGGTTGACTGGCACTCTGATCCGATTCAACATTTAAATCTGGCACCATCGTTGATAGCAAATATTAGAACATATTTTAATCCAGGTTCGTGGCAGGGTTGAACAATGACCAAGTGACGGTTTTGACCAAGTGGGCCACTCGGTGTGGACAAGAACGGAGCTTTGCCTCAGTCGCAGAGAGGTCGACGTGTTCATACACTCATGATATTCTGGATGCTGGTAGGCAGCTGTCACATTTGTTCTTTTCTAGCCTTGCCTTTCCACTGTCAGGAAGCCTCGTTTTGCCAACGAGCAGTCCAGCATGCATAAGTTCCTTTTTACTCTCAAACAAGAATTGGAATGCCCACAGTATTGCTCAAGCGCTGGAAGCATCAGAGCCGGAGTCCTGTAAATCCAGGCTCCAGGCAGGAAAGTAACATGTTCGAAGAAACAAGTGACTTGTAACAAGTGTTATGACTTTTGAGGAGACCCCTTTCGGGGGGTGCTTTAGGTTTGAATTGAAGGGAAGCTAAAGGGAACTTGAAAGTGGAGACAAATGCAAGTCACATCAGGGAAACCATAGGGGGAGGCCCCTGATAGACAAACTAACTTGCCCAAAGCCGTCCTTAGACATCTTAGTTTCTCTTATTTATCCATGTTTCTGCAATTTACACTTTTTGGGAAGACCATTTGAGTATAGACAAAAGATGGACTTTCTGAGTTTAATGACCCCAAATTCCTTTGTTTCTGGGTCCTTTGGGCAAACGAGAAAGCCAAATTTTGTTTGCTGCGAGGTGGGAGACTTCATCCAGATCTTCAGTCGCAAGGCTGGGGCAACCGCGCAGTCGGCTCTTTGTGCAGCTTGGGCAGGGGTTGGCTTGTGCAGGGATTCCATGGGATACCCAATCGAACTCTGTTTGTGCGAATGTCCGCAAAGATCCATGCATTTACGTAAAATCAATACATTTGAGAGAAGAAAAACAACATTTTCATTTGGGCTAACATATCGTTAATCGCATTGAGCATTCAACTACTTTTACCCAACCAAACCTCACTTTCAACTCCGGAGCTTCCGAAGAGCCCTTGGTGAAGGTGTGCAATTCACCAAGGACAAGCGGTGGGCAGTTCTCCAGGCCACCAATTTCCGTGTGTTTCCAGTTTCTGCATGTTGGCTCAAGCTGCAAACTTGCAAACGCGGCAAGGGAACTGTCACACGTTGCATCACGGCAACTCGAGATGAACCGGAGCTTAGACTCGTGTTTCAGTGATTTCAGGAACACCGCAAACGCTCACAGCCTGCTAAAGGCGAGTTCCGTCAATCTGTCTAAAAGGGTTCATCTACGTATTTACGGAAATGTCTATACTTTCGGAGGATCCAGGTATCTAACAACTTGTTTAAAGCCACCGTACAAGCTTGTTTGATCAAGATCAATCTGCAAGATCCTTGTGCTATATGGTGGTTTTCTTGTAGTGGTGCCACAGGTTATATGTTGAACAAACCGAGTGTGAAAAATGAATAATTATTTCAAGTGTAGAAATCCGCCCTGGGTCACACTTGAACCCATAGATGTGCTGCATGTGTTTGTTCTCCTTTCTCAGCCTGCTCTTGAAACTAACCAATCCAAGGGGCATTATGCATGTCCCTTTGAGTGTGCTTGCTTGTTGGTTTTTGGCTGCCACATGTGCCATTGTCAAGAGACCTCGTTACTTGGACTGAGTAGGGCCTGTTATGGACCCCTGGGAAATTAGACGACTATTGCAAAGCCTAGTTTCAAGGCTTTCAAGGGAGCCATGACAAAAAAAACATAATAATAATTGAGGAGTTCTGATCATGGAGCACGTGTCAGCCTGTATCACTGTGGCACTGGTGTGCGCTTTTGCGAGGGCTGGGCCGAGTATGCCCGGGTACCTTCGCAGGTTGCACCAGTAGTTCCTGCTGGATAGCATCCCAACCCCCAAGTGGATGGAGCGGGGCGTATGCAATGAAGGCCCGTTCCCCATGCCCCTTTGGTACAAAGGGAATCTTAAGCCCCACATCTTTTAATCACTGGGGGAGGGGTGTTAATCCAATTTGCATGTGTAAGGCATTGAGTTTGTTTATAGGAGGATGGGATACCGAAATCCATTTGAGCACTAGCAAATCGTTGGTATTCAACGGAGGAGAGTGGAGGGCCACCCAAATTCCACACAAACACGAGCGAAACCCCAATTGTTTTCTCCTTGGGCAAACGATAGGTAATCCTCGATTGTTGGTTTTGCATTTGTTGTTTGGGGAGTTGAACCCAGTTCCAGTAGGTACCAAATGGGGAAGGTACCCCCCCCCCCAAACCAATCCAAACCACCAATTGGAGGGAACCAGAGAGGAAAGCCCATGTACGCTTCCCACACTCTTAGGCTGAATTTCGCCAAATGGTCCAAGCCAGCTTAACCGCTTCCCGGAATTTCGACAGGTGGAGACCTTCTTCGAGGACTTGGGTTGATTTCGGAAACTCAATTGAGCAGCAGGGCCCCCACAATCGATTCCCAAGGCCACTTCGTGGGTTCGGTTCCTACCTGGTTTTTAACTGCGGTTGCAGTACAGCTATATAAACATGAATCATGTTCGTAGAGGCAAAAGTCAATCAGGTTTTGCGCTGCTCACGTGGGGTGCTTCCCTTGTTCAATTGGTTATTTGGAGGGGAGTACCTGTGAGATCAACTGCCAAACAAGTGGTGGCCTGTTGAGTTTTTTGGAGTGAGCTTCCCCTCGAAGTATGGTTTAACCATGTGCCATGCTAAGCAACCCCAGCTTGACTATCGGTCGAAAGGCCCAAGCAAGAGAGGACGTTTGGAGACGCTGCGGATCCAGTCTGTGGGGACCTTGTCCTTTGCCTTGTGGCTCGCGTATAGTGAAGCAACAGCTTGATCCGAGTTTCGCAGGAACCCTTCGGGTCACACCACTTCTCAGGCATCCAAAGAGGGCACTAGCCTCTAGGTCGTTGGTACCTTCGGGCAGGTTCCGATTCCCATGCTAATGGAAGGGTACTTTGTCCGTGCATGTTGTGCTTGTCTAGGAGTCCTTGCCCCCTAAACATCATCTCGCCCAAAGGAAGCTGACCTTGCGATTTTAGCGCCCCGTGCTCCCAGCTCATGTGTTTGTTCACATGGGCCATATGGGTCTATTCGCTGTTCCAGTGGTTTGCCTTTGCGCAGCGTTCAATCTTATCCTGGTGCTAAAGTTATCCTCGCACCAACAACTTGGAACCTGACTGGTGTTCAAGTCATGGAGTTGTAAGTACAGTTATAAGTTATACGGGGACGAAGCCCAGTTATATACCGCAGACGCAGCCCGAAACGAAACACTGTTGTGTTTCTCTTTTTTCAAGAGGAGGGGCCACGCCTCAGGTTGATACAGCCGGATTTTGCTAGTTTGCGCCCTGTCTCTTTTTGCAAGAATCGGCTTTCTTAGCGGAAGAACCCTTCCCAATGCTTTCGGGGATGGAAGTTGATTTTTTTTTGTCCATTCCATTTTGGTGAGTACTCTCTGGCGGAGCGTGCGCTGCCGTAGGAGACGAAGTTGGTGAACTGCCTGAACGCCTTCAAAAAGGGAGGGACCCACATGGGCCTCGTGAGGAAGGCTCGGAAGGGCCGTGCCTGCAAGACGCACTGCCTGAGTTTCTGGGCTCTTTGCACTTTGCGCGAAGATCATGGATGTGGCAAACCAACATGTTGGGTCAACGTCCATGGTTTGCCCTGCATTTTAGTGCGTACTTACTTCTTCCCTGCCGCAGGTGCAAACAATTCGGGTTGACCCACTATGGTTGCTTTGAGTGGGGTTGGGTGGGGGGTGGCAGGGGTAACAACGATAACATGTTGTACGTTGGCCAATCTACTCCGAGCCAACTGTGACCCTCGAATATCCCACGTGTTGCCATGCAGAGGCAACTTACTGAGAATTCTGGTTTGGCTTCGGCCATGGAAGGCCATTGCGGGACAGACGGGAATTCGGCCACATGCTTTCCCACATAGGAAACAAGGTCCCTCCACTCAGAGTCAACATTAAATAATGGAATGTCAATTGCGCAAAGGAGCCGGCCAGACGTGCCGAGGATTGTGAAATCGGGGGGGGGGGGGGGCAATTTTGCGATGCCAAGCTACCTCTTGGTTTGTACTAATCACTTCGCAGGTTTCCTGGGATTAACACGAGGTTACCCGCGAAGGTTCCTTGCTCTTGCTCAGGGATGGCATAAATCAGATTGGCGAATCAAGTGTAGAGGGTAATTAGTGTACTGAGCCCTGACCTCCCACCAGTAAAATGGTGTGTATAGGTCCTTTTTGGTTGGTGCAGGTTGGTCAATTCGAACACTTAGAAGGCCCGTGCATGCTTCCTTTGGCCAAGCATCCCTTGGGCATCGTCCAGAACCTGCCCCCTTCGCTTTTTGGATGTGCTTTCAGCTCGTGAAGCATGCAGAAAACTCGCCCGGACGTCCTTGCTTTTCGTTTGTACTTGGCAATTTCCCTTAAACATTCCATGCCTGGTTTCTATGAAGCTCGCGCTGCTCTTTTTGGGCTCGAGTTTTTTTCCGGATATGACATCGTCAGAAAACTCGAACAAGTTCTGCGATGTGCACGCCATGAGCGAGGAGACGGTGTTCGAGGATTTGCTGGAGCGCTGGGCACAGAAAGCTCAGCAGCTTCTCACTTGGAATGGGTTTGTTGTACTTTTGCAGAATGTTGCGTGTCCAAATTCCTATTTTCATGCCCGAATTCCGAACCTGTGGGGGCCTTTTGCCCAGCGTTTGCTTCAGGCTTTTGTTTGTATTGGTGTCCCATGTTTTTCTTACTTTGGTGGTTCAAATTTGTGTTCTGCTTTCTCATGTTGGCATGTTTGTATTAGGGTTTCCCATTCTCCAACCCACGCCCCCGTGTTTTGGCGTTCCTTTTTGTCCCAAGAGGCGATCACCTCGTTCCAGCTCGGTATGTCACCTGTCTTCTTTTCCCGCTGTGGGTGTAGTGAGGTTCTACGACGAACGCCATGGGCATTTGCTCAGCTCCATGGACAAGCTGCGGGAACAGGTGCAGCGCTTGGCGGATGCATTGCCGTCGAATGAGATCTTGGACATGCAGCAGCAGGTGGGGTTGGGTGCAGAGTGCAGTTGCTGCCTTGATTCTAGAGGTACCTTCTCTTTAGGAAACCATCAAAAACCCTAGAACAAAACAGCCAATTTTTGAAAAGAACGATGGTTGACAAGAATGGAATTGATTGGTGGTTTGGATTGGTTGGTTAATTGAGGGTTTGTCCAAGTGGTCTTTGGCAAGGCGTGGGTTGCAAAATGCGCAGATTCCCGGGCCGTTGGCATAAATGGAAGCCGACGAGAGCCAGAAGCTTGGGCTGACCTGGAGAATGTCTGTGCCTTACAAGTATGTTGTGCAAGACTCGGATCTGGGCTGTTCAAAGGTAATCCTGAAGCCATCGGCCTCTATTTTGACCAGCCCAGAGAGTAGATTTGGTTCCAACAACATTCTAAATTATATTGGCTATGAGTTTTAATAGCGAACCACAAAGTGGTTGGTGGACTGGACATGAATCCGAACCTAAATGATATCCACGTCCCTAAATAAAATTCATGCCCATTTGGGCCTGTTCCAAGACAGTGGTTGACATGCTCCCTGGCAGGTCGTGAGGCTGAAATCAGAGCCTGACGATGGGCCTAAAGACGCCTCGAGGAGGAAATCCTTACAGTCCTTCGCCAACAAGAAGAATCTCGGCGCGCAGCTTTTCCTGGGCTCATGTTGATGGTTTCTAGGGGATTTCAAATTCCAACACTGGGTCCATCCAGCCATCCAGCTATCCGTCAAACAATCCATCCATCCGCCTTGACAATGGCTAAATCATTGGGCCAGTTTTCACCTGGCTTCCAACATGCGAAAGCCGCTCGAAACACGAAATCCGCGGGCTGGGATGCGATGTTCTTGCAGCCGCGGGGGAGGGGGGGTGTCCAAATGGCTTTGTGTTCTTTGAGGCTCGGCGGCATTTTCAGGCTGGGCTCCAAGGAAACCAAGCAAGCGATGTTGGGCCCCGGCCCAAATCCCTATGCTGAGCCATGCCAGAAGTCCATTGAGCCTGGATCCTGTGGCGAGTTGATCGTTCGTGTTATGGCCATGGCCCCGCTGAACGCTGTGTCATGTACAATTCCTGTGGGCGAGTACGCGACGCGTTGCTTGTTTTTGCGATCATCCCTTTGGGGAGGGACGCATACGTCGGATATGCCTTGCGTGTCCGCTACTTCATGTTTGAGTTGGGACTATACTAGAGAATATATTCTGAACATATGTTCTTTGTACACCAGAGCTGGGCCAATTGCATTTGCACTGCCAACTCGTTCTAGATTCGTTCACAATCTTTGGGACCTGCTCGGATGTTCAAGCAACTTAGCAGGTTAGGTGATAGCCTTATTAACTTATAGCCATGATTATAGCTCGGGTACTTGGTTGGTTTGCCCCTGTTCCATGGGTGTGTCACATACGTGGCTCTTGGCAGACTAGCAACAACTGATTTGAGTTTAGAGTCTGCAGGCTTGGGTCTCAGGTTGGTTCAAAGACAACCCTTTGACCTTTACGTTTTCAAATCTTGGACGGTATTCAGTCATGGCCCCCAAAAGTTGATATTGTAGTTTCGGGTCCTTTGGGCAACTGAGGGGTTCTTCAAGAAGCAATCCGCAACATCCTGGTACCAGACGGTCACGTGGTTTCCCGTAGCCGTGACGCGGTTTACAGATTGGGATGAATTTCGGGCCTGTGTACAGCAAATAATGACACCCGTGTGGATCCCAATGTGGAACGCCAATGTGATGGATGCCCCCCGTATCGCCTCTCACAGTTTGGTCTCCGAGGAAGGGGAAGACAGCTTCCGTGTTCAGCTTGGCAGAGATGGAGTCCGCCGTTCTTCAGGTGGGGCCGTGCCCTACACATGGGCAGAGGGAAAATCCAGATGCAACAGCGCTCGACCCACTAATTAGTTCAACTGTATGTGTTGCCTCACGAAGTGGGCCCTTTTGGATGCAACGGCAGAGCGAGAGAGAGAGAGAGAGAGAGAGAGAGAGAAAGAGAGTGAAACACTTAATGTTGTCAGCGCCAGAACTGAGGTAGTCATGGTCGACGGTCAGAACTATTGTAGCCTAGTGCCGTGAGTGACTGCAAAAGAGTTCCATTCAGAATGATGTGACTCACCAATGGTCTATCCACCAGAAGCAAGAAAGTGCTGATAAGCCATGAGGCTTGAGTAGAGGCGGAGCTATTTGCGGCTTGTTCTTGTGTTTTTGTGTTTTTTTCTTGGTTGATGGGAGGTGCTGACTCCCTCGAAAGGGTCCAAGGCCATTTTGGAGGTCCAACGGAAACCAACTCCGACGTTCTCCGCGAGTCGGGCAAGTGGGAAACCTGGGGGAAGGGGGTTGCTGGGAACCTTTCTTCGGTGCTGATGTCATTGGAACTCCCGCTTTGCTTTGTTCCCAGCCGTCCCCTTGGGTTTTTAGCGGTTGCCGTTCAACCCTCTTGTCAAGCTGTTGTCGCAGGGGGTCAGTTTGGACAGCCCAAGTTTGGCAGAGAAATCTGCTTCTCTTTCAGCACAAATTTAGGCTCTTAGGGTTTAGTGGAGGTTTCCATTCAACCCACTACATAGTCAAACTTTTGTCGCAGGGGATCAGTTTGGACAGCCCAGTTTGGCATCAGAGAACAAATGCGGCTCGTTCAGCTCATAAGTTGGAAGTTCCAAACTGGGCGTGTCTTTTTTAGGGCACCCCCCAAAATGGTTGGTGTTCCTTGTTGGTTTCCATTTATAACACCAACAAGAAGCACGGTAGCCTCGATAAAGCACCCAGGCACCCATATCTTGGTGGCTCCCAGCCATCCCCTTCGCTTTTTGTTGGCCTTTGAGTGGTAGTCTTTTGTTTTAACCCACTCAAAGTGAGCTCACTTTTAGCAAATCAGGAAAAACAAACAGTGTAACAGCCCAGAGATCAGCTGCCCTTCTCGGCGTTTCAGGAGTTGGTGGACATCCATCCCCTCTCTGCGGCCACGCGGATGCGGACAGAACGCTCAGAAGCGCAGTCCGTGGGATCTGAGTCCATCGCGCCGCGGAATCTGAGGGGTACCTTGGGGTCCGGGAATATCGGGGATGTGTTTGTTCTCTTAAATACAAATATATATATATATACAGATATTTATATATATATATATGCATATACATTTATATATATATATATATCATATACATATACATGTATTGGTGCTAGGGTAGGTGTTTTTTGGAGGAGGGCCTTCTTATATATCCATATAGATACATATATGTATATATAAATATATAGTTGGTACCCTGGCCTTCTTGTTTTTACAACATACTCATGCTGTGTCTCCCAGATTAACTTACACACAGGCTTCCGATCTCTTTTGAGGACATTGGCCACTTGGGTTTACTCTACCTTGTGGTCAAAACTTGGAACCCTGGTCTTCTTGGTGTTGCCCTAGCACCGTAGATCAGCACCCTTCAAGGGACATGGGGCATGGGTCTAAAGGATGGGACCCGTCAAAAAACACAGCCAAACAATCAGTTTGTTCTTGGATGTATCCTTGCTGCAAGAACCCTATGGGACACCAGTTGTTCAGTGGTTCCCTCTCAATCCTTTTTTGTATGGTGATTTTTTCAGGTTTGTCATCTGCCATGGGGCCCTACTGGATGGCCCAGGTTTTTTTGCGAATCACTCGAGCTTTTGATTAAAATCGGTCGTTTGGTGGCTTCCTTGAAGCGGGTATATCGAAAACGACCCCAATCTATGCTCGTCATATGTCCTTGTTTTTGTGGCAATGAGCTGCCACTGCAGCAAGGACAAAATAAGGATCACGCATTGATCTTGAACAATCCAGAGATGAGCGTCACGAGGTAATTGTAGGGATCTCCACTTCGCAATGCATTCCGGAAGCTTCCATGTTCTGAGGGAGGGTATGGTTTGCAAGTGTTTTAAGGTTCGGCAGCGACATGTGATAGTGACTTGTGACATGGCACAAACAAAGCAATGGACTCTATTTTATCTAACACAAGGCATTTGTGGAAGGGTACCTGGAAGATGTTTCCTCTTGCATGGACCCCCCGTCCGGTGCCATGTGGCTGTGGCTCAAAAAACCGGTACCAAAATGGAACCCTGGTATGTGGAAACATGGACCAAAACCTGCGTAACCCCTCCTGTTTAATTTTGAGCCACAGCCATGTGTGAGGGTCCACCCAGGTTTGCCTCAGTTCTTCTCCGGGGACCCGAGCCGGGCCCAGGTGCCGCGTCCCAGCCGCACGCTGCACACGAGCAGCGCCCGCCCTGGAAGCCCCAAGTCTCTGCCGGACAACCTGCCCGGCCTTGTGGGGGAGGATGAGATCGAGGATCCAGCCGCCGGGTGCTTCTTACGATTTCTGGGGGCAAACAAACCAGCTAATCACAGGAGTATGATGTAGGAAAGTGGCCACCAAGGGCTTTGCATGGAGTTCAACAGGAAGGATCCCTCAGACTTGATTGTTTTTAGGAAGGATGGACGTGAACGCAATAGGGGCACCTTCTTTGGGCTTATTTGTTGTGGACTGAGGGAACCCAGAGGTAATGGGAGCCCACTGTTCAAACCCTGGTACCGGGGGTGTAGCAATTTAGAGACTGAATCCTACGGCATTTGTTCCAGTTTTTGTTTGTTTTTTTCCCGGGGGACCATGCCTAATCCTACCAATCCGCCAGGTTGATTATCCATCCGGGGTGCAAAGTTGGTCCAAACCGGTTACATGAACATGTTTGAGACACCCGGGTTTTTGCACTTTTCATTTTTCAAGGTTGCTCCGATGCCCGTAACAAGATTACCAAAACTCACGGCCAGGCCTTTTCGCCGATTGAGTCTTCGGAGCAACCCTTTCGGTCAGTTTACGGGCAACCCTCGCAAAGAGTGACATGACCAAAGCCCAGCAGAACGTGCTAAATCCTCACCTTGGGCTACGAAAGGGGTGTTCTAGTGGTACAATAGGGATTATGCATTACGATTGGCCAATACTCCATTTGAACAGCCACTAGAAAGTTGGATTTTGAGTTTCTGCAGGTTCTGTCGGCCAAGTGTTTGCCCGTGTGCCGGTCCCTGTTACCCAAGTCTGTCATCGTAGATGCCCTCTGACACCGGCACCCCACTTGCCAGCCTCGAGTACCTGGAAGTTCTCAGATGGTCTAAGTTCGGAATGGTTCTTGCGTGCGGCAAAGACATGACTGTGAATTCAAAAGACAGACCCCTCAGAGGACAGAAATCCCCATCCACCACAGGGTTCCCAACAGAAAAGTCACACCATGGGTATGTCTTTGTTTTCAGCACCATGCCTCGTTTTCCTTCAGCTTCGGACCGGGACCCATGGATTTTTGTTTGTTGGTTTCCTTTTGGCTTCCCTTTCAACCGACCCCACAAGTACCCTCAAACAACACGCAGTTGGGGCGGCCAGAGATGAGTTAGGATCCCGTTGTTGAGCACCCGCTTTGAAGTCACTTTGAATGGAACCCAAAAAGGTTCTTGTGGTTTGTGTGTGTTTTTCAGGGCACCCGTTTAGGGTTGGCTTTAAAGGGAAACCACTAGAAACCAGCCATTTTCAGGGCACCCCTGTTTTGAGACAATCGCGAACCTACCTGTCAAGCCAGTCTCACAGAATTTCAGACTTCAATAGGGACGGACCTGCGGCACAGGCTGTTTTCAAGAGAGCAACTGAGGACCCAGGATTTGGTCCTTTTGATTTTTCCATGATTTTGTCCATTTCCCGAAAGAGGCAGCTTTCTGCAAGAGAAACCCAGTGATTTATTTTTTTTTTCCCAGGGTCCAAGCTGGTTGCTCTTCGTTTCCCGGGCTTTCGGACAGGAGCGGCAGAACGAATTCGCCGGGGATTCCACCAAGCTGCGGCTGATGAACCAAAGGCCTGGCAAGATTTGCAGTTGGAACACCGAAGGGTCGACCCTTCAAGTGAGCCTTCGGGTCGCGTTTCGTTGGTTTGGTCAAATCAGGTCCTAAGTGACCTTGGTAGTGGGTAGTCCCGTGCTCACTGGGCTTGTTGTGGGCACTGTATCTAAGAGGAGATCCCCCATTGCTGTTGCAACATGTGTTACACTCAGGCCTTGGCTTTATGCCTGCTAGGGCTTGGATCATCCCCCCACTCGACGAAAAACCTTGAATTTCTTTTGGAGGTTGTGAATTCTAACGTCATGAAACGCGCAGAGGTCCCAGACGCGAATCCTGGACGGCTGCGCGGACCAAGAGACGACCAACGTGGACTTGGACATAGGCTCGAAGCTGATCAACGCTCTTCCTATCTTTGTCTACGTCTTGATGGGCGACTTGTTGAGTCAACAAGTCAACGAGTCATGTCATACTTCTGACCGGACTCTTCACAGAGGATATTTGACATCTTGAGATTGACTAAGTCGACCAACTCCAAAACTGCCTTCTCCCCAAAATGGGTGATTTCTCTTTGGTTCCTCTTTTCGGAACACATTTTCCCGTGGCCAGAGTCAGCCAAGAAAACAAGGATCTGGATCTCGCGATGTAGCGTGCACCTTGACCAGTCTCCAGGGCCTCTGGGCTCTCCTCAAATGAGGGAGGGGCATTTGACTTTTCTGAGGCTTGCTTGAACACCAAACCAAACAGACACCAACCCTCTGGGGCCTGGATTCAAGGCACCATTCAGGTTTCTTGCGGAAGGCAAGGAAACGCTCACGACTTAAGCTGCGCGGAGGGACTACCTCCGCGGCCAAGGCCTGCAATCATCAAAGTAGTCAACGTCAACCTGAGATAAAAGGAGGCATAAAACAAGTAAAGCGCAAAAGGCCGAATAGGAGGAATCGTCACGGACACCCGACTCAGTTTGTATAGGGGAACGCTTGCTACAAAACTAACCCCAGCAGAAGCATCCACTGCATCATCTTTTTTGTTGTTGTGTGTGTTTGTTTGATTGTCCCCAGCCGTTTGTTTGTTTTTTTTTTTGGGGGGGGGGCCTGAGAGAGAGAGAGAGATAGACTCATCAGGTAACGGTAATCCCTATATATGTGAATCTCAACGGGAAGCTAGCCGGAACCACTTTAACCTGAGACTGCAATAAGGATCCCTGGAAAAAAACGAATCGAATAAGGTACCCCTCGAAGCCGAGGCTTCATGTCGGCCTGCCAAATCTCTCTGGCGGTGTCCTGCGGCTTCCTGGACTGCCCAATCCATGAGGACTGGCGCCTGCATCTGGCTATGATGCCCAGCCCCTTGGCAAACACGCTTTGAGCTGCCGTTCTGTGGGTTGGGGGTGAAGAGGCTTCAAATTTAAACACAAGTACCCAAAGCGCTCGATTTGTCCATTTTGCCCATGGGCCGCTGAGCTTCTGAGCTGTCCTTTTGATGACCTGGGTTGCTCCAAACCTGAACTACAGGTAAAACAAACATGGAAAAGGGGTCCTATTTTACTTTCCTTTCTAGGGCCTGCACCTTGTGGTTGCCCGGCAAGAGGGCCGAACCCGTGCGTTCCCCTCGCCAAGCAAACCCACTACCGGGATGCACCGTACCTGAAATCAGAAGAGAGGTGTGGGCATCAAGTGAAGTCCTTCCAAGTTCCAAAGATGAGGCCTCTTTCGCTCCTGCGTCCCCATACCCATAAATGAGATCGACCCAGGGCCCCAAATTTTCGACGCTGACGGTGGGGCCCTCTTTCGGGTAGGGGGCCGCTGATCTGAACAAGCGGCTACCACCCCTATCGTCCACAGACTAGTTGTGGTAGAGGGGGGGCCCAAGTCCAATTGTCCAGGAGCGGGCAATGTACGGCAACCCCCACAGAATGAACCCTCAATCTGGCGCTTTCAAGATCAATGCTTATCCCTTGTTGTCTCGGATTCGGATGAGGAATGATCCCCCCATGTTTGAACAGCCCAGTCAATATGTTCTCCAAAGCATGGTCGCGGGGAAAGCAATTTGTGCGGATTCACTTCCTGCAGGGCAACTTCCTGAGTGTATTGTTTGATGGGTCAACATTGTTTGGACGCCGAAAAGACCAGCAGTCCCAGAAAGGTCGGTGTTGGTCAACAAAGGTCGGTGTTGATGTCAAAGCTGCAGTTCATTTGTCCATTGTTTTGTTTTGTTTTAGCTGCTTTCCCCAGGCGCCTGCGGGCTTTTTTCTCGCGCGCCGAGGTATTTTGACGGCCCTCTCGGCCGTCTTGTGCCTCTATTTTTTGAGGAGGGCCTTGCAGTCGGAGGACCTGAACCTTGACCACTCAAGGGACCTGGGGAACCACAGTTGACCTATGGCCCGGACGGGGTAAGGCGACGAGCCTGGAGTTTCCCCACAAATGGCCATGGGGCACAGGCTATGGCTCCATTTTGGGGTGGATGAACTCCATTGAGCCACCTATTTTGATGTTCACCAGGGGCACAGGGTTTTGACCCACATTCAAATAATGGGGAAAAAGTAAATTTGGCTCTCAGTTTGGCTAGTTTGATGACTTCAGTTGGTGCCTTTCAAAAGATGAGGGAAACGGGATGGAGCCTGTTGGATGTGCCTGAAAGCCTTCGAGGAATCTTCACAAGAGCCTTCCTGAAAAAGAGTGCTTCACTGTTCTTGGTGCTGGTGCTTGTTGGCTATTGAGTGGGGATCGGATGAGAGCCATCGGTTTTGCGAACACACCAGGGGTTGGCAGGGTTGAGTCAAGGGTCCCAACGTCCCACCACACTGGCGCCGGATCCAAAGCAAAGTCAGGTACTCCATAGCTGGAGCATGCCTGGCCGGACAGCCCTTTGACTCGCTCCATGCAGGTGCTGAATTGATGTGTTCTTGTTTGTTGTCAAGCGTGTGTTTTTTTGTTGTTTAAGGGTTCCGGGGTTCCGGGCTATTTTGTTCATGCAAGCCCTGCCCAGGAATTTAGCCATCAGCCGTCTCCACCACTTCGTGGCGGACTTTAAGCTGCAATGGAGCGAGGCCGGCGATCGGGGAGGGTTTGGTGAATTGCTTTTTCGCACGCATTGCCCCGAGTCTATCGCATCAAGGCATCTTCAACCATGTTTGTGAAGCGGTTTTTCTCAAAGGTTGCGCGTTAGAAGAGGCGGGTTCAAACATGCGGACTTGGAGATGTCAGATATGGCTGTGTTTTGTCGGTGTACCCTTTTCGGGTGGCTTTGGCTTTAAAAGGCAGCCAAAGTTATCCACATATGCGATTTAGAACCCCAACATGGATCAAGTTGTGGCTTGTCTTCGGCTTTCGCGTGCCGGGCCTCAAAGACTCAAAGCCAGTGGCCATGCGACTAGTCAGAAGTACATCCCACGGTCAAGCGGTGCATTGTGCTGCTCCAACTCATTTCACTCCGCCGGGTCGAGTGTAGGCATAGAATGTCAGCTCCCCAAGATTTACAAGCCTAAAGCAACAACGTGCAAAAAGTGTCGCCGACGCGAACCAAACAATACCTCTTTTGGAGTGCTGTTAAAGGGGAACCAAAAGGCACACACACCACCGGTCCCCTAAAGCAAGACAAGCCTTTCACAACCAAAGGCTCACCACCGGTCCCCTAAAACCAGAGAGGCCTTTCACAACCAAAGGCACACCGCCAATGGCCTAAAACAAGACACGCCTTTCACAACCAAAGGCACACCACCGGTCCCCTAAAACAAGACAAGCCTTTCACAACCAAAGGCACACCACCGGTCCCCTAAAACAAGACACGCCTTTCACAACCAAAGGCACACCACCGGTCCCCTAAAGCAAGACACGCCTTTCACAACCAAAGGCACACACACCGCCGGTCCCCTAAAGCAAGACACGCCTTTCACAACCAAAGGCACACCACCGGTCCCCTAAACAAGACACGCCTTTCACAACCAAAGGCACACCGCCAATCGCCTAAAACAAGACAAGCCTTTCACAACCAAAGGCACACCGCCAATCGCCTAAAACAAGACACGCCTTTCACAACCAAAGGCACACCGCCAATCGCCTAAAACAAGACAAGCCTTTCACAACCAAAGGCACACCGCCAATCGCCTAAAGCAAGACACGCCTTTCACAACCAAAGGCACACCACCGGTCCCCTAAAACAAGACACGCCTTTCACAACCAAAGGCACACCACCGGTCCCCTAAAACAAGACAAGCCTTTCACAACCAAAGGCACACCACCGGTCCCCTAAAACAAGACACGCCTTTCACAACCAAAGGCACACCGCCAATCGCCTAAAACAAGACAAGCCTTTCACAACCAAAGGCACACCGCCAATCGCCTAAAACAAGACACGCCTTTCACAACCAAAGGCACACCACCGGTCCCCTAAAACAAGACATGCCTTTCACAACCAAAGGCACACCACCGGTCCCCTAAAACAAGACAAGCCTTTCACAACCAAAGGCACACCACCGGTCCCCTAAAACAAGACACGCCTTTCACAACCAAAGGCACACCTCCGGTTTCCTAAAACAAGACACGCCTTTCACAACCAAAGGCACACCACCGGTCCCCGAAGACAAGACACGCCTTTCACAACCAAAGGCACACCACCGGTCCCCTAAGACAAGACACGCCTTTCAAAACCAAAGGACACCACCGGTCCCCTAAGACAAGACACGCCTTTCACAGTCCCCTAAAACAAGACGCATTGCCAAATCTGGGATTGGGAGGTTCGAGTCCTGCCAGTTGGCACTGATAGGGACGAAGCTGCCAGCTCTCAGCCCCTAACCCTCATGTTCTTATGCGTTTCGCACAGCACGTCCACTCCACTGAAACACAACTTTACAGGGGTGAAACTTGCAACTTCGTAGGATCCCCCCCCTCCCCCAAAAAAAACCATGGTCCCCCATCCCAGCATACCCTTTTTGCAAGCTCCCGCTGCGACAGGTTTCGGGCCAGGAGCGCTGCAAATACGTGGCACCTCGGGTTGCATCGGGAGCAAACGGGGCCGTTGGAATAGTGCACGGGGGAGCCCGGGCCACTCCCAAGATCCACAAAGTACGAAAGTCCACAACATGGGTGTGACCCTTTTTTGGTAGCTTTCTGGAAACGAAAAGGAAAGAACCAACTTCTTGGGAGTTACCCTATTCCGAGACAAACCCACATGTCCGACAATGGCGCGGTGCGTCACTTCCGGCAAACGGCGCCCACTTTCGGTCCGTCCTTTTTCAAGCGGGCACTAAGGCAGGAAAATATTGGGGAGAGGGGGGCTTTGCTCACGATTTCTACCAATTAAGATTGGACCAAGCCCTACCCAATTTTATTAACTGACTACTGTTTGTTTTTTGACAGTCTATTGGTTTGGGGGGTCATACACATCTGCCGTTCGCTGGAGGTGGCCTGGGCTACGGCCACGGCCACTGTTGTGGTGACCCAGTGCCTCACCGTGTTGCACGTCTTGGATGGCCAACATGGGGAGTTCAAGGCGAAAGGGCGAAGGGGCGGTGTTCGGCGTGAAAATGGGTGGCGGGTTCGCGCTTATCGATGGAGATGGGTTTGGCTCAACATACAGAACCAGCAAAGTTGGCGGTGTTCCCCGTGGTTTCCTTTTCAAACCATCCTGGAAGGGTACCCTCAAATGACAGACTGCAGAATTATATAGTATTGTATTGACTAAGCCCATGGTTTCCACATGGTGTTTTCATATTTTGGCTGGGTGTGCCTTTGGCAAGTTTCTTTCCCGTGGCCTCTAGGCTGAGCAAATAAGGTCGAAATCCGGAAAAATAGGTGTTTGTCAAAATGAGGGTCCCCTACAACTGCCAGTGTCATCTTGGTTTGCCCTTTAAACACCAAGCAAAAGGAGGTCCACAAGTCAGAGTCTTCGTGTGCTCCGGAGTGGGCAGAGCGTCCCTCACGAGGGCTGCCTCTCAGAAAGACACCAGTGTATCCAAACTTGGATGAGATAAAGGGCCAAGCTACATGTACTGGTGTGTGAACTTGCTGTTGGCCCCCCTAGCCAAAGCAAACGCCAACACGTTTTTGCTAGACCAACCAGTATGGTTGAACATCAGGCCACTGTTGCAAGTCTTTACATGTGGATCAACTTATATATGTTGTGTGGTTGTTTTGTTGTGGTCGGGTTTTTTTGGGGGAAGACCTCCTGACTTCAACCTGGTTACAAACAACATGCAGCCGGCACATGAGCAACGGGGGGTTAATTTGGGCTTCCAGTGTCCAAAAGGCATTGGCAAAGTGAGTCGAAGGTATTGGTTGTGTTGTGCTACTCTCGGAGCTTACGTCATGCTTTTTGGAAGGACCATTTTAATGCACATTTTATGGCGAGCTTACTGATTCGAGAATATTCACAAGCTCACCATGGTAAAGATTCTTTACTGGGGGACCCCCTTCTTTCGGGTTGTTGGAAGTATTGTAACATTTGCAGATTTTAGCGGCCAACATTGCCCCAGATCAACCTTTTGATCCCCTTGAAACCGAGTGGGCAATTGGAGCGGGGAAGGGGGGTCCAGAAGTTCCTACGATCCCGGGCTTCAGGTGTTGGATTCCCGGGTGACAGGACCCTTCAAGACTTTCGCCGTATCGTTGCGCTTGGCCCTGGTGCCTTTAGCCTGGGGGGGGGGGACCTGAACATTTCCCGAAAAGCTCTGTGGTGATGAGTATGTGCGTGTCCGTGAGAGCGTGCGTGCAGGGGTGCGTTCGTGCGTGTGCGTGTGTTTGTGTTTGTGTTTGTGTGTGTGCGTGTTTGCCTGTGTGCATGCCTCTGTATGGGTGGGTGGTGGGCGGGCGGGCGGTCGTGTGTTTGTGTGGGCGTGTGTGCGTGTGTGTGTGTGTGTGTGTGTGTGTGTGTGTGTGGTTGAGTTTCTGTGTTCGTTCCCTGAGTGAGACTAACGCCAGGTGCTTCATGAAGCCTGAGGGACCACCCCCTCCCAAATTATCAGTCTAATCCGCAGAAAGGCGAGCTGAGACAGTCGAGGCCCAATGCGACATGCCAGGCATTGTTCTACGTCGAGGCGGTGGTGTCAGTATGCTCCTTCGCGATATCTAGCGGCATAGCTCCTGGGCCAAATTGATGTCCAGGCCCAGACACCCACTGCCCATTCTTCCTTTTCCCGAAAACATTGCAAAGGGTGCTTCCCGAAGAATCGCCAGCCAACTCCCACGTCCTTGCTTGCACCAGCCAACTTGCGCAGGTATGACTTGCACACACTTGCACGATCACATTGCACGAGCAAACTTGCATTGCACGATTGCACGGGAGATTGAAGTTGCCTTTTGAGGCAGCACGGGGATCGGCGTGGTCGATGCGCAAACACTGAGGGTGTTTGCTACTTTTTGAGCGCGCACGGCCCTTTGTGGGGATCGGTGTGGTCGATGTTCAAAAACTCTTCTCGAGGTAGGTGTGGCCAATGCCCAAAAATTGGTGGCTGTTGCTGCTTTTTCGCAAAATTGGTGCTCGCAGATGTTAGAAGGACATACATAAATTGCGCGTGCGCAGGGCAACATGCATGGCGTATCTTGCGCAGAGACAGCGCAGCAGTCAAAACAGCGGCCTGCGTGCAGCGCTCACGCTTGTCCTTTGTGTTTTATGTCTTGTGTTTTGTTTAGTTTGTTTGCAGTACACTAGGTGGGACTGTTTTTTGTGTTTGCACGCACTTGAATGTGAGAAAGCCACAATGCCCGTGTGTCTTGCCAAAACATGCACACCAAAAACAATGCTTCCGCTATTTTTTGCAGCAGCCGCAAGTTTCCCACGCTTATGAAACTACAGGAGTAGAGTGCCCTGTTTGTACCATGGTCACCTGGGGTTTGGGGCGCACCCGCGGTGTTTTCGAAAATTTTGGCGGTTCGGTTGGGATCCTTTGTCCTTGCCTTTGGGTTACGGCAGGGACCACAGGTCCTTATTGCGGATTCCTGTTTTCCGGCTTGTGAATCACCTTCATCTGCACAGGGAAGGCTCAACCTCATTTGACCTCGTTTGGACACCGCTTTGCCCAGTGCGTTCAGTGGGTTCCACCCATGTTTCTCGCTGCTGGGAAACAGGTTTCCTTCAAAGTCAAATTAGAACATGAAGGTTATAACCTCAGTCTTGGCTAGCCGGTAACTCCTTGGTCCCCCTGCCTTGACTTGCTGTGTGGACACTTCGACCCCCCCCCCCCCCGGACCTACCCGGCTCGCCCAGATAGCTGCGGCCGCACATGCGCAGAGTCACCTGCTCCACGGCCTGGACAAGACTTTGGACTGCTGGTGCCGCCAGATTTTGACCTACCCCGACTTCATGGTTGGATCCCCGGCCGAGAAACGGTGCCAGTCTCACCCACTTCGATGGTCGGCACTTAGCTCAGTGGCGGTGACCTGCAAAGGAAGAACCTGCGGTAGCCAGGGAATGAGAAGTGGAATGTCCCCGGCCAAATCATCCCTTTCGGGAATCCCTAGGTTCGGTTCATTCCCAAAACCCCTGGACTGCAACCAGGTTTTACCTGGAAGTACTGCGACTATCTTAAATTAACTAATTATGGATCACAATATGAAGTCTTACTTTTTGCGTACCTTATAGGTTTGGGCCAAAGGAAAACGAACAACTCACCCAAGACTCCTGTTCACCCCTCTTGGTGCTTGGCTGGCTTGGGTTCATGGTAGGACTCCGAACGAAAAACCAAAAAAAGCTCACCCATGACTTTGTTTTGAGTGTTTGTGGTATGCTGTTTAGCCACCGTTGGTTTCTTTTCATAGTGGGAATTCCGGCCATGCTTGTGCGAAAGCCATGTTTGTCGGTGGGATTGTTATCAGGTTGAAAGCAACCTTTTCCATCCTGTGGCTTTTGCATTTGCGACAAGGCTACTTGAACGATACATACCAACGTCACCTGCTTCATGCGGCGTCTTTAAAATTAGTCTGCAAATGTGATGTTCATTTGAGAAGAATGCACATATTACTAGAAGCCCGACCGAAGCGTCGTCCCTTCCTTCTAAATGTATGTAGGGGCCATTCCCCAGACATGTTAAAGCGCTTTTGTGGCTTGACACGCAGAGCAACGTGGAAGCCACCTATGCGGGTGCCCCGCTTACCATCCATTTTGGACCTCAGCCACAGATCGATCTTTGCGTTTTTCCCTTTCTTTGAAGACCCACCCTTCAGTGAACCCCACGGGTCAACCCGTCAATGCCTTAGTGGGAAAGCCCAAGGACTGCAACATGGCCGTCAGTTCATATGGATAGTACAGGATGAATGTCGACTCTCTGGCAAGAAACAGGCCCCAGTTTAAGTTACCCTCCCACCAAACAACATGGAACCTGACAGGGGGTCCCTTCAACAGGAAAATGGTCTTTCAGGACACCCCTGTCATTCCATGTGAAAAGGGTGGGAGGCTAGATACCCTTGAACGGATGCCTTGCCTCAAATCTCGAATCCCAAGGAGTGGAGAGCTGGAACGCCATGCAGGCCCTCCTTAAGTGCGTGGGCCGCGAGCTAGCACCTTGGTCTTGCCAGAAAGAGAGCGCCAAGTTAAGGGCTGAAGGGCATGGACGTGAGACGGACCCCTGCCCGTAGACGCGGTAGACCTGCATTGCAGAATGGTTGTTCACTTTTTTCAGGCAAGTGGGGTGGGCACATTGAGTACTCAGAGACAGGCTGCCGGTCTGGCTTTGAGAGGTGCTTCCCCCGAAAGTCACTCTCCGAGTTCCTGTGCCTTTAAGTTTGCGGGTTTGATATTTGCTTGGCCGACGGAAGTTCTGACTTCGGCCAATCAACTCTTGGTCGCTATGTTTGCAAGTGAGCCAGCGAGGGTTCTTCGGAAGCTGTAGGTATGGCTTGCTGCGGGTTTTATCGCGGCTTACACACGTGGATAGAACCATAGTTATAGCTAGGGTTAGCTATGGTTGCAATCTACTCAATGGCTTGGAAACATTCAAGTACAGCACGGCCGTCCAAATGTCGCATCTGTTTTCCAGCACAGGAGGAGACGGTCGGAGGCATAGAGCAACCCGATTTGTTTTGATGGATTCCACCCTTTAAATCCTTGGTTGTTTGCTGCGTTCTCTCACAAAATGAAAATGGAGTCCACCTGAAAAAAATGTCCTTTTGCTTAGCAGGTTTACTGGCCTGGGTAACCGCGTCAGCTTTGCAGCCTGGGGTTTCGCATCACTGCACGCAGCTTTTTAATCCTTAGCATCTGTGGCCGGAGCGCAGGACCAGATTCTCAGATGGGTCGCCTGAACAGAACTCATGATACATCCTCTAGCCATCCAGAGTCTTCTCGATGAGAAGACCTTCGAGCACGACTTTTGCCTCGGAACTCGGAGCTATGACATTTCGTTCTTCTGGATGAGCCATGGTAGTGCTCTATGTTGCCCTTGTAGGGATGTCGAATTAATATGGTGCCAGGTTAAGCGTGGATAAAGTTCTCGTGTTTCTAGCTCCGCCTTTAAGCATCCCCTGACCAAGAACAAACGCATGACATGGATCCAAAAGGTAGTGATTCAAACGACCCTCAGACATTTGGATTCCCATAATCATGAATCCCCACCAGGAAGAGCGAATGCGTGAGCGAATTTGCAACACCAGTCCGGTGGTAGAACGAGTGATTCGACTCGGGGCCCAAAAGGGCCACCCTGAATAGTTTGAGGAGCCACCATTGCCTGGGTAAAAGACAACACACAGTAGCAACTTCAAAAACAGCACACCCGTTGCCACTTACATTATCAACCCACTTAGAAAGTGGGTTAATTACATCTATGGCTATTAATTGGTTATCGCAGAATGGCTCCTCAACCATGATCATGTTCAGAACCACAATACGGCCATGCACTGAATCTTGGGGAAGGAGAGGGTAGGGGTCTAAAGACAGAAATGGCTGTGGGTCAAAACCAATGGTACCATTTTGGAGTAGGTGCACTACTCATTTTAGTCTCTTTTAGTGGGGATTGGGATGTTCACTGGGGGATAATCGGGATTTTGACCCATGGCCAAATGAAAAAAACAACGCCCAGGCCAGCAGCTTCCTGGCTCTCCAAGCACTGGGCTCTATCGGCTTGGTGCTGTTCCTCGCCAATGGCGTGGTCTTGCTCTTTCAGAGCCTCAGCCATGTCCTTGTTTCCCGTCTAGGTCCCCCAGTAGTGCCCTTTCTCACCCTTTTTTTGGGGAGCCCCTCTACAGAAAAAAGGTACCCTTAGTCTAACCTCTCTGCTGGAGGACCTATTGAGGGGGCATCACCTGCAAAGTCTAAGGGGGCATCGCTTCAAAGTCAATTGCTCGTTTTGCGCATGTGTCGTTCCGAGCTAACTGATCCAATGGCGGCCCTTTACTTAGGTATTTAAATCCTTGTGAATAGGAGGTTGTCAAGATTTGTCAAGTATATTTCCACCTTTCAACATCTTGCCAAACAAAAAAAGCACCGTGTTACAGTAGTTTCTCCATGTAGCTGTTGCGGAAACTGGCTGCTTCAGGGTAGCAGGCTTCGCGCCAGGAAATCTGTTCGAAACACAAACAAACCCTATTGAAACACGTCACATCCCGGACCAGTGGCGCCCTTTGATCCTTTTCTTGGAGGGTGTTGTGCTTTCAATTCAACCAACAAGGTGGACACTACCGATTGGCACCCATTGAGTCTGGGAAGTGCTCTCTTTTGTGGAATCGAAGGCAAGAGGAAACCAACTACTTGCCGAGGGTAGATTTCTTTTTGTTAGCGTGCTGATGTGGTCTCTGTCTAAAAGTTGGGTGTGGCAGATACTAAGGAACGAGGTGCCTGACGCGCTATTGCTCATCGAAGTACTTTCGTCGCTTCCCTTGCACCTTTGCCAGACTTAGCCTTTTTGCCTTTCGACTTGATTATGTTGTTTTCTTTTGTGCATTTTGCCCTTTTCAACCAGCAAACAATTCCCTGGACCCTCCAACTACCCTTGAAAAACCTGGACCCTTTGTGCAGTTGTTCCTTTCAATTAGTCAAAGGTTTTGCCCTCAAACTAGCCTGACGACCTTTGAATACTGGATATTGCCACAACATCAAGGGCAACGTTCCATGTGTCAGGGCAGTTTGAGGGCTTACCGGGATGTTTAACGTGGTGGCTTCTAGCTCATAACTGGGGTACCTGGGGCTAGTTCCTGACAGCCATAGTTCTAGCCGTACCCTGGCCAAAACATCCAAGTAGCTAGCTTTTGCACTTCGATGTTTGGGGGGGGGGAGCCTCACGCCTCACTTTTCGAGGCCCAATCTGCTGGGCCCAGGGCCAAAGAAGGCAAAATGCAGGTCACACAGATCGGGGTGGAAACTCTGGGATGTTAAATCTATCATCCACTTAGTTCGCGGGTTGCAACCCTGCTTTTCAGGGAACGAACCTCAGTTACCTTGCTATCATCGCGGTTATGACCTGCTTAAGTGGGTTGGCCATCCAAATGGGCTCTTGGTGTTCTCTTCCTTTTCTAAGAGCAAAGCCGTGTCGGGTCCGGCGGATACTCGGAGGCTCTTCCTTTTTCTGCTGAGCCTCCGGGTATCCGCGCACGGGGCAGCGCTCACGGAGAAGTGCCGCGCGATCCCGCCGTCCTTGAAAGCTGGACTTGGCAAAGCTTGTGCCCATGCGATTTCTCATTAAATCGGGGAAACCCCCAAAACATGTGGCTGCTTTTGGTCTTTTTCAATCACTTTCAAGCCATCCTGGGGAACCCCCAAAGAGGTCGCTTCCTTTTAGCGTCCTTTTCAATTCTTTTCCTTTTCCATCCGAGAAAGGGTACTTGCCCTGTAATAAACAGCGGAGGGGAATTTGGGAAGCTGGCAGCGCATTTGTTCGTGTTGTTTTAGACCTGTGTAATTTTGGTGTGTGTTTCTGCTGTTTGCGAGGGATGTGTGCCACTTTCTGTCTCTATTTGCTGTTCTCTATCGCCAGAAAACCACACAGCAAAACAGAACAAAAATCAAAATGCAACTCTAAGCCAGTCTTCTCCATTGGGTCAGCACTGCGCAAAAAACAGAAAACCCTACCAGAAAACTAAACAAGCAAAACACAAACAATCCTTTGCAAAGACTCTTTCTCGAAGTAGCCACTTACTGTGCCAACAGCTCTGGGAGAATGTGTTGCTTGGTTGTGTGTTTGTTATTTTGGTTTTGTTTATTTTGGTTTTCTCGAGGTGGTTTTTTGGTGTTGATTTTGGGAAGGCTCGATCCATGGAAAGACTGCTTGAGATTGTGTCCTTTTGTTGTTTTGTCGCGCCGTCTCGAGGGTTTTGATTTTGGGCAGGGCTGATCCAGTGGGCTTCTTGTTTGTTGAAATCATCTCCTGCTTAAAGTTACTGCTTTAGAAAATGAGTTGAGCTCTTGTTGAATTGACGGAGTTTAAATGTGCACGGATCTTGAGAAAGTTCTATTGGAAAGAACATCTTGTGTAAATTCTAATTTGCAACAGAACAATTCATATTGAATTTTGAATTTAACAGTATAAATTTTGCTTCGTTTCTAGAGTTTTCTGTAGACACCAGTCGAGATTTACTTACAATTAAATTCAAAAGGAGCTCAACATAAGCAAAACAACTGCAAACAACAGATACAGACTTGCATTCGGAAACAGCTCAAAATGTAGCAAACCGTGCACTGCCACAGTCCCCCCTTTTTGAGCAAAGCCGGCTTGTCTTTTTGGGTGGGTACCCTTTTTGGGTTTGCTTCTAGGAGAAGCCAAAAGTAAACCACCCATCATGTAGAGACAACGGCATATTGATTTATAGGCGACTTGAAAGGGGATTCGTAGGAAGGTTCGGACACGAAATGGTCCATAATGGCACCAAATAGTCACTACTAGTTTTTAGGTTGCTATGGCCCCCCCTCTGACTTTGAGCGCTGCTTTCTGGCGTTCCCTTTTGGTTTTTCTTTTTTGGCTTCTTCCCTTTTTTGTTTGCCGTTTTGCCCCCTAGGCGGTTTTCCTTCATTCCCCTTTTGCCAGCACGTGTTCGCTTTTTTTTCGCTTGTCACCTGGCTGAGGTTCGTGAACCAAATCCCCACCTCAGCGTCGATCGACCAGGACCGGCAGTATCTCGTGCGCTTTATTCAGGCCCCTCGCTTCAGATATGGCCATGTCGTCTCAACAGTTGGTTCCCCAAGCGGGAAGGGATAGCCCCCCCTCCCCAAAGCTCCTTTTTCGGGTCCATTAACAATTCTTTGCTTGGGGTTGCGTGCTTCCGTTTTGGGATGTATAGTAATTTGCCACCCAAAAAACGGGAATCCCAAAAAAACCAAAAAACTTGGAGGTACAGCGACTCACGGAGATTCTGACCCTTCCCATGGGCCCGATGATGCTCCTGGGGATGGACAAACTCCTGCACCACTTTGAAACCGTGGAAAACCATTGTTTGTTGATATGCTCAGGGCAAACATCACTCCAGGGTTTCTTTTGTGACGCAGGATTTCGTCCATCCACAGTAAGGCATAATTATGTTTTTGATACAAAGCATCTCTTTTGAGCTGAGGACAGCTCAGCTGGGTTCTTCGTGCGGGACGTGAAGCTGACGCAGGAAATGTTCATGAAGCAAGTTTACATCTTCGGGGTGCTGCTGTCAGCGTCGCTGAGCATTTTGCCCCGATTCCTCTTGAGAGCGTAGAACAAACGGGCTCCTGGCCAGGCAAAGGAGCAAACGGAGGCAAAATGCCCAGCAATACAAATCGTAGCCCTTTGGAAAGAAATTGTTTTGTCAATGACGCCTGGGGCCCGACGCATCGGGAAAGCATGAGTCGCATGAGCACCCTGGGGGCTCGGCAACATTTTCTGAGCTGTTCTCCGCAGACCTGCAACTCCCAAATATGCCTAACCGTATGTGTGTGGCTCAAAATTAAACAGGAGGGGCTAAACCGCAGGTTTTGGTACCCATGTTTCCACTTGCCGATCGGGCAACCCATTTTGGGTAATTTCCGGTTTTTTGGTTGCCACAGCCATAGGAAAAACTACCCGGTCTCTCCAGGGGTGCCTCCCGCTGAGAATTCCACGATCCTTTGCACCATGCTGAAGCGCTCGCCCGCAAACTGAACCGAACCGAATTTGTTGAACGGGTTCCCGAATTTTCTTTGATTTCACTTGCGTGACATGGAACCCAGACCGTTCAGGGTGCAGTTGGGTTCCACGTGCGACTTGTTTACTTGCCTTCAAGGGAGCTATCGGGAGCTTTCGCACATGCAGTACTTGACATTCTTATCTTGACTGTTCAAAATACATCCTAGACTTGCTTCCTGAGTTCACGGACTTCTTTTTTTTGGGGAAGACAATTTTGATAATTTCGTGGTAAACAACAAGTTTGGACGGTTTTTTGGCCAGTCTATTCAGGAAGTGAGTAGATGGTGGCTTCCCTTGTTGTGGCCTTCCGCGACGCATATTCGGGGAGAGAGCTGGCACCAACTCTGCCGCAAAGGATCGCTTCCGCGCCAAGGCCAACCGACTTGGAATGCGTTAACACCTCTCCAAAAGGAGAGGGAGTCATTTCTGGCTGTTTCCCAAAAACGGGACCCCCACCTGTGCTGTGCCATGCTGGCGAGCTGATCATGGACTGCTCGCAAGGAGCGTTTCCACCATGGCAAAGCGATAATTTGGTTGGCCCCCGTGAACCAAGGGGGTCCCGTTTCAGCGAACAGCCGGGATGTTATCTCAAACTTGGTGCCATTGCCTTCGCAGGATCACCTGATTTTTTTCTTCTTTTTTTAAATAGGCGCAGGTCGAACCCTTGCGCTGCATGTTTTGACCAGGGCTCCTGGACCGAAAGCCGATTAATCACATCGTACGTCAAATGAAGACTATTCTCAGGATCCTTACGTCCCAGCACTTCCTAGTTTTGACATGTTTGGAGAAGATCACAGCAAGATTTCATGGATCATTGCTTCATTGATATGCAAGCCTGCAAAGGGCATACCGAACAACTGAAAACTGGACATGCGTACCAGGGCATGTGGAGAGGAATTAGAGGCCCGCAGCCCGCTTTCGCAAATCCTGCGCTTCAAGTTTTTTGGAAGATCATTTTAGTGGACAGAAGGTTTAGACTTGATGGCGAATCCTCTCAGAAAATTAGCTAGAGCAATAGTGTCATCCAGTGGCATTGTCATAGCAAAGGGATGTTTCGACTTTTTGTTGGCTGTTTCACTCAAGTGAGCTAGAGCAAGCATTAACATCATGTGGCAAGTCCAGGGGCCTTCCTTGAGAATTGGTGGACCCTAAATGGGTTCTGACAAATGGGTCCCTTTGGGACGCGAACAATACCTGATTATCCAGTGGCCATCGGAGCCCATTTATTCGAACCCGTGTGGGGTCCCCTGATTTCAATTCAGCGCCTACAAGTCCCTCGCGGCCAGTGCCCACCATGAAGCCGGGTCTGCTGCAGCACAGAATTTCAACTTTTTGAACTTGAAGCGAGCCTCCGGATGTATGAACCAAGAACACCGGGAAGGAAAAGGGCCGGCCAGCTCCAGACATCAAGCAATTGAAGCCCTCATGGAGAGGAAGCTTTCGCAGGATCAGTCAAACTGAAGGATCGTTCGATTTTCAGACCCACCCGATGAGTTCTTTGGGTGCATACAAGCGGCTGGAAAGCTTTGCTTGGATTCCCAAGGGAGGAAAAGCTGCGGTTTCGATGGCTTCCACCAAAAATATGTTCGCAGCTGGACAAAACAAGAGGGTCTATGTGGCAAGGCTTGACTCCTTACTTGGTGTGTTATAAAACCATTTTCCACGCGTCCCTCGTTGGGAATCCAAAGTTCCACCAAGTCGCGCAGCGCCAGCCAGCCAGGGCATCGAGACCAAGGGTCTTAGACTCGTTGAAAGCGGAGAAAGCGATCTCGAAGTCGATTTGGCTTCGTTTGTCTCAAACAAAACCACCAACATGGCCTTTTTGTCCGTGGCCATGGTATCTACAACCATCCGAAAAGGGTAGTGAGCCAAAGACAGACCCATGTTGACTTTGGAAGCCAGACCCCAGTCAGAGGACGGCTGCCAGATCATTTCCTTACAAGAACCCTCGGTCCATGGATTTCCGGCAAATGGATTCTACCCCAAGCAGACCTCCGGTCACTGGCTGGCCCCAGACGCTTGCGTTTAGGGAAATGCCTGGAAGTTGGTCGTTTGTCGGCTGAAATGGTCAGGCACTCCACAAATTGACATACAACCTCAAATTGGGTCTTCCAATAGCAGATGTTTCTAGAACCGTTTCTAGGTTTCTCTGCACCGGTTCCTTTAGTTCCAGGTAAATCTGCACAGTAAATACCTCCCACGTGGCAAGGGAAACGGACATGTAAGCAATCCCAGTTGTGGACAAAAGCACGAGGCGCTTTTGCGGCGTCTCATGTTGCGCTAGTTTTGGGGCCGTCCCTGTCTTCAGCATAGACAGGGTGGCTGGCCGCCGAGAAGAGGCAGAGAGCTTCGCTATGGACAGATTGTTCTGTTGTTCAAAGCCGACCTTTTGATCTTTTGATTTTGCAATGTTGGTCCATATTTAGTCATGGTCTCGAAAGGAGAGCCTTTTATTTCTGTGTTTGCGACTGAGGTTGAGAATCAGCCAAGTATATCCTATCACCGCCCTAACGTTACTAACATATTTAGATGTCAGTTTGGTACCGTTCTTCAAGATGTGTCAAAGAGAGCGGCAAAGGAAAGCATCAATTGGGCTTACAAATTTATCCCACCATCCAACCCCCCCCCCCTCCCATGCCCTCCTTCCTTGGTTTCCGATATGACCCTAAAGCTCCAGAGACAAGGCCAACTTGCTGGTTCTCAGCATGGAGGGGAATGACCCCTCTAAAACCCATTCTCCATTGCAGTTTCAAGGGGTCCCATTCGGCTGCCCGAAACCCCACGCCAAAGTCGACCCAATTTCTTTCCTGACTCCAGTAGTTCAGTGGTTCAGCAGCCTTTTGGTTTGATGTCTTTACGAAAAGTTGTCAACCCAAACAAATACATGGTCCCTTTCTACCTTTCGAGCCATGGGGTGACACGATCTCCAGGCTGTTACTGTGGTGGACACTGACCCGCGCTTCGAGATCGTTGGGGCCCGGCGCCAAGAACCGCTCCCCTACATGTTGAGGAGCTCAGGAGCTCTCAACAAACAAGTCTTTGGGGGGTGGATCGCCCTACCAGCATCATGTAAAGGGTTGGGGCGGTTGGGGCGGGGGGGTCCCTGCAAGTAAACTACTGCTATGACTGACAGTGGCCCCATTCGGAGGCACCCACGCCCCAGGGTTGATTCCCCATTCGGGTACGGGCTCGTCAAGGGATTTGCCCCTGGCGTCGGTCTTCCTTTGCTTCCCTTCAAACCAGCCGGAAAAGGGTACCCTCAAAAATAAAAATACACCTGTGATTTTCACCCATGTCTCTTCAAAACCACCTTGATTCTCATGTGTTTACTCCAATTTATGAGGAGGGGAGGCTAGAATTACTAGATTGTTGTCTTGAAATGAGGTGGACCCCCTTATCTACCAGAAAGAAACCCATGATTTGACACCCTAAACAAAGTGCTTGTGACAGCTGTTGGCTTACAGCCAACTGTGCCAGTGACTCGTGGACATGTCCTCGGCTTGCGATGATCTGCCGTGGGGTGGAAATTTGGGTGCGGGTCAAAATGAAACGATCAGGGGACCACAGGTTTCAGTCCTTGGTTCCATTTAATTTTACCAGGGCTTCAGTTTGGGTGCCTATTTTTGACCCACTGCTATTTGAGAACGGCAGATGTGTCAAAACAGGTTGCCGGAGGTTAGTTTTAGGCGGACGTGAGAGCTCATGTCCACATGACAGAAAGTTGGGACTCTTCTAAACGAGCCGCTGGAAGCTTCCAAGTTTGCAAGTGGTTCAACCTGAATTTACTCCAAGAAACCAAACGGTTGTTGGGATCCCAGTGAGTTTGTAATCTAGTTGCTTTTGATTAGAGAGTGTCCCACGTCGCATGTAAGAGGGCGTTCTTTCCCCAAACGCGCCGGAGCCGGTTTTGGTCCATGTGCACGCTTGTTTAAAGGCTCAAAGCAAGGATCTTGAGCCCATTGCTATTTGCGACATCAAGCTGAAACAATGAGGGCGTGCGCAGGTAACACAGAGAGCATAGGGCCCTTCGGCACCCCAAGTCCTGCAAGCAAGCAGACATCACAAGCAGTTTTTCTCTGGATGTGAGGGGTTTTCATCCTGTTTGATGTAGGTCTTCTTCAACACTCGTCGATTTTCTACAAAGCTCGAAAGTGAAGAGTCAGATCCAATCGGGACTCCAATTGGTTTTGGGGGGCATCCTTTAGCAAACCTCTTTGAACCTTTGGGTTTTCCGATAGGTCTCCGGACGCCGGATCTGGCCCCTTGCCATGCCATGTGTGAAGATCAGCCTCAGAGGGCGGACGCTGCAGCTGGACTTCGGGAGCGATGCGCGCGTGGCGGCGGTGAAGGAGCGGGTGGCCAAAGATGCTGACCTGCAGCCGAGCCTCGGTGTCGAGCGATTCCCATGTCTCTCCCGCACCCTTTGCCTGCATCTCTGATTAGTAGTGCCGGGAGAATGAGATAAAGAGATGACCAATTATTTTCCATTGTTTCTCTTCTCCTTTCGCTCACCTTTGGTAGCGAGGAGGGGTAAAGAGATGAAGAGAAGTGCTCTATCACTTCCCCTTGTCATTTGCGCTCCAGTCTTGTAGCTGGTGTCGCAGGGGAAGGGCTATCTTCTACCATGGCTTACCACAGGTAATCAATCGACTGTGGGGCGTAAAGAAGGAAGAGACAGAGAAGTTCCTTTTCCCACGGCATATCAAGCTCTGCAGGTACCTGCAAATCCTTCATGCCAGGTTTTGGAAGTATGGCAAACATTGCAGCATGGCTGTTCAGCAAGTTCAGCAGCACCCTGTTCCCCTTTTTGTTTGCTATCTAAGAATGGTCAATCCAGTTGTTTCCCTTTTACCCGCCCTCTCTCACGCTATCCCCTGAAGGGGAAAAGAGAAGGACACCTACTATTATTTGTGGGGTCCCCAGATTTTGACACACGCACACCTGACTTCCTGAGTGACTTTAGTCACTTTTTGGGTTTGGACCATTTTAGTGGCTTGCACAAACATTTTGACTTGTTTGGCGATGTTTTTTTTCTTTGCTTTTTTCTTCTGAAGTGAGACACAGAGAGACATACATTTGCCTATTTTGTCGCGAGCTCACCGATTTGGGGGTAGAACGAGCCGTGACAATGGTCCTTACCTGGCGATCCAATTCTCAACTCAGCTTTTGGAATCCTAGCAAAATTTGCAGCAAGCCATTCTTCACAGAATTTCAGCAAAGTTCACAGAACTACATTCTTCACACACGCCCAGGAAACCTACGTTCTTGTGTTTGGTCTGGGCCATGCCTTTGGGGGCCCAGGTGGCGCGTGGACGTTCTGCGCTCCGGTCAGCTCCTGTCGTCAGAGGAGGCCATCGGAGAGCAATTGGAGGTAGAGATCCGGCAGGGCCCCGTGAGCCACTTGGAGCCACGGGCCGGTGCTTTCCATATTCTAACAGTAATCTCCCAACGGAGGTAGCTCAATCCTGATGGTTATACCAGCCATATCCCAATGGATCCCAGCCTAGGTGCGAACCGCGGAGTTATAACAGCAATATCCCACCGAGCCGTGCTGGTCATAACAGCAATCTCCCAATGACGTGAGGTAGGTCGGTGCTAATGGTTATAGCAGCACTATCCTGCCCAATGGATCCCAGCCCTAATAGTGGCAAGCTACTTGCCTTTTGGTTTTTAGAGGGGTTCCCTTGGCTACTACGGGACCCACTGCGCTAGTTATCAGCTATGACGATGAGAAGAACTTAGTCAGCTTCTTGGACAGTATGGGTTTGGATCTGGGCTGAGGGCTCCTCATCTCTTTTGCTGGATTTTGGACCCAATAGGCCCAATAGTGAGTCTCTTGTAAGTGGGGTGATTTGTCGCGGTAAGCCTAGGACAGGCCCCAGAGAGAGGGCCAGAGAGGGGTCATCGTTCAAACATGGTTCAGCCTAAGCAAGCTTTGATGAGGCTTCAGTCAGTGGTTCCCCGTATTGCCCCCTTGTGGTGTTCAACATCCCCTTTGTGAGACGATGTTTGAAGGGAAGTGCACCCTGAACTGGGGCTTGGGAGGAACGCGAACCGTTCCCACAACGAACTGTTCCCACAACCAGATAGGCTTTGGCGCCAATCTTCCCAATCCTTTTGGAGCCATTCCTGTTGGCTTCCCTTGAATCACAAGCCAAAATGTGTTTGCCAGCTTTGGCCCCTCCCCCCCCCCCCCAAGTTATTTTGGTTGGTTCTCCAACCCTTTTTTGCCTCGTGGGGCGCGGATTTCCAAGACTGAACAAACCATTGGCGTAAAAAAACATGTCTTTGCAAGCACCGGTGCCCATTGGGTGTGTCATGCTTCGATGTTTTAACCGGTGAACTCAGGGAGTGCTATGATACCGATGGGGTTGCAAGTGATACAATCGTTTGTGGTCGGAACCCCCCTCAGGTATTCCCAAAGGGGTCCCATTTTAAACGACCATGTCACAAGCCAAAAGAAGGTACGTCAACAACCGGAAATTACCTAGAAATTATTGCCCTCCATTTCACTCATGTCTACCGCCACAGGGGGCAATTTCAATTGAAATCCCACCGCTAAAGTCATCGACTCTTAGTTTAAGGAAATCCAGTGGCCGGCTGCCTGTGTTACCTGAATCAATTGATCAACTTTTTTTGTGGGGAAAGCCAAGTTTGGCCCCATCCCCTAAAATCCTTAAAACATCCTCAAAGCGAAACACAACAAATTGCTTTCCAAACGCTTCAGAGGAACCGGGTCCCAGCAGAGATTTCGAGAAAGGGGCCCACGATGTTCCAATTGTCCCAACAGGAATCCAGTCCCCTATTTGGCTCTCCGAAAATCTCCCAAGGGGGGACAACACTGGATGGTTCTTTTTGGGCAATACGGATCTTTCAACAGGTCGTGGTTCTGGAACTTTGCCAGATTCCTATTTTCAGGTACCCTGAGTTGGTGTTTTGAAATGGCGGTTTGGGGGTTTGAACCCCTCCAAACCATCAATTTTCCCAACCACAAGTTTGATGGGAAGCTGATACTCAGCTCCCCATGGCCCATGCCTTTTCGAGGAAGCATCACTGTGGACGCGGGGCTGCTCAACTCCATCTCCAGCGAGTCCCTGCAACGGTCCCACTTCCAACATCTCAGGGAAGACCTCGGAGACAGCTCAAAGCACCGCTTCCAGGCGCGTGGTGGAGACGTCCCCGGGTGTGGGAAAACCCGTGTGGGACCATGAAGGTGAAGTTTCGAGGCCGTTTTCATGGACTCAAAAGAACCCCACTTGGAAAGGACAGGCCAACTCGAGGTTGCTTTAAAGTGGCACCGGAGGTGCAAAAGCCAATCCGGAAAGCGTTAAAGCATTCTGTGCCATTGCCATATCTTCACTGTCCGTGGCATGATTTTAGCCTTGTCCTTTCCTTCTCTTCTGATTTACTGTTGGGGGGTAGTCTGCAATAAGCGTGCTTCGGCCAACATACCACGACTTTTCCACTTACGTTGGAATCTTCCCCCCCCCCAAAAAAAAAAAAGAAGAAAAAGAACCTTCCTTGTTCTACCTGTTTTTTTTGGTGCAAGGGAGCTGGAGAGGAAAGAGTTGGCCTTAGGAGATCGCCCTGACCATCACCGATTGGCACCAGAACATGCCCAAGGAGGTCACCGAGACGCTGGTGGACTTCCTGTCGTCCAGGCCGAATCGTTTCGCTCGAGGTGAAACTTGGGCAAGATCACCTGGGCGTGGGTCAAAAATAGATACCCCAAGTAACACCCTGGTAAATGGACACAAGGACTGAAATCTGCGGTTCGCCTAGTGGTTTAATTTGGACCCATACCCACTTCACGAGTGGTTGGCAGGGTTCCACTTTTCCACCCCAAGATAGACTTAAACCCAGGGGCTCTCTTTTTGGGAGTAATGAACCATCCCTGGGTTTAAGTCTACCCTGCGATAGTCAGAAAGTGGAACCCTAGTTGTTGGACTTTTGAGCCAAGGAAGTGAGCGAATCTTGCATTTCTTCCTGGACCAGTCCAAAACTTCCATGAACACTTGGACAAATCCATGTTGCATCCCAAACCAGAAAGCGACACTCAAAGGAAGGCGGTTGCGAAATAGACCCTGAGCGTCTACCATACCCGAGCTTGCCAGACCCAGAGGAACTTGAGAGGCCCAAATGACTGTCGACCTCCCTACAAATTTTCAGAAAGAGGCTGCACTCCCATTCAAAGCTCTCGCTCTCTGAGGTGCTAAAAACGTTTTGTGGGGCAGCCCGCCCACTCAGGAAGTTCAGTTGAGCAGTACCCAAAACACCATTGGCAATTTCGGCCCGGGGTTGTGCTTCCTGGCTTATTGAGCCTTCCCTGGCGTGGGTAGGCCTTTGAGGGGGGCTATGCTCAAGCCTTAGGGATCCGTTCAAGGAGCCCCTCCATGAGCGGCTTCAATAAGGGCCAAAGCAGAAGTTCCCGGAAAATCGCATTGAAGCCACCTCAGGGCCCCGCCCGGCTTCCAGAAACGGCCTCCCAGAAACTGCCAGAGGACAGACGACCCGAAGAGCCTGTGCCTGGTGCATCTGGATTTCCACGGCAAGATGCCAGAGGCAGAGCTCTCGTCTCGGTTGGTTTAAGTTGGTGCGAGAGATGCAGGGAACGAGAGATGCCAATTCTCCTGGGTCCTTTCCATTTCGCATTCCCTGAGCACCAGTGTTCAGGGGTGCCCTTTCAGTTTGGCATAAAGGGATTGCACAAAAAGCCATCTGGGGTGTCGCCCTGTTTTATTTTGGCACATAGTTACGGCATGGAAGTAAGTTGTGCTGGAAGATCCATGTTAAGGTGGGCTTTTAACGGTCTATGCCTGGGCAAGGATGCCAGTTGTGAGTTTAGACTCTTCTTTTGTAGAACTTGAGATCGGAGGCCTTCACTGGTCGGGACAATCTTTCTGGAGGGTTCCTAAACGCCACCTGGCGCCAAATTTGAGCGATGGGGCAGCGTGATGTTGGGAGAAGTGTGGGGAGCTCGCGGCTGAACCTTCTGTTGCGAAAAGGTTTTGTTTGAATCCAGTGTGCTTTTTTGGGGGGCAGCCGAAAGCAAGATGCGGGAAATGAAGCAGAAGCCAGGGTCAAGCGAGGGCAAGGGGGCGGTACCGCGGTACCACAAAGGGCCATTCCACAGTCATGTTCTGTTGGGGTGCGCGTGCTAAATCTTTCATATTTGTTTATGTGTTGTTCTATTCCTCCACAGGGAGGCCAACGAGCCGGCATGTGTCTTGTTCAGGCCTTCTGTTTAGCACCATGCCCTCTAAAGTCCTCAAACATGACATCCTTAAAGTGACATCCTTCAATTTCCCTCTAAATTGCTGCATCCATCCTTCAAATTACCCTTCAAATTGCTTTATGTCCTATTTCCCCCTTTTTTCCAGCGCCCAAGTCCCTGTTCTTCAGGGCATTTCTGCCGAGGTCCTTGCCGCATTGCGGGGGAACCGCTTCTTCGAATCCCAGGCATCTTCCGTGGAGGTGCGATGGGATGTGTACAGAAGTGGGTATGGGTCAAAATTGAACCAGGGAGCGCAGGTTTTTGTTTAATCCTTGGTTCCATTTACCAGAACAACCCATTTTTGGGGGTTCCCTATTTTAAGACACCCCCCAAATGGGTTTTGGTTCATGTTTCCATTTAACAGGGCAACCCATGTTGGGATTGCTCTATTTTTGACCCACAAGCGAGGGGTTCTCTCGCCAGAGCTCAGGTGGTCGAGCTGAGTTTAGAGGGCGTGGATCCATCGGTGGACTTCCTGCCTTTGTTCCCCAACTTGCGGAGCCTTCGCATGTACGGATCCCAGTTGAGCAGGGTTCACCCGGCTATTCTTGTTTTTTGGGTCGCTTTTGCAACATGGTTTTCCGTCGAAACACAATCAATACGTACCCTTTTCTGTTGCTTTATGGGTTGCTGGGGTTCTTTTAAGCAACCAAGGAACTTCCCTTTTGTGGAGCGTGTGCTTTTTGCTCCCCATGGATTTTCGCTGAGGTACAAGCCGGAGTTTCCACCCCACGATGCAGATCATTACAGCCTCAGGCTACTTGCATTGAACTCCCAAGGCCTGCAGGACGTGGCTCGGCTTCAAGTCGCCGGGACGTGTTGCTCGGCTTGTCTCGCTCACTTTGTATGGCTTTTCAGGGTCTGTGGTTTCGAAGGGAACCGGGGGGAAGCCGCCATCAGGGGTCCCAACTTTTTTAATACGCGCCACCTTACCAAAAGGCAAATGCAGTGGACTCGGCCTCGGGGGCGCGCTGGCGGTGTGTTTGGTCACAAGAGTTTGAGCTGTGTGTCAATCTCATCCTACTTTGGTACTCACTGGCAAGAACGAAAAGAACTTCCTGTGGTCCGGAGAGACCATTGGTAGCAAATGAACAGATTCTCCAGCAAACTTCCAAAAGGGCAAGTTAGGCCTTTTGATCAGCGCTACCAGTTTTCGTGGCTCCACAATCTGCATGGGGGTGCTGGGTCCGAGTTTAGATTTTGAATGCATCCCAGTGGGTATTGTCTGGTTTTGGTCATGGAGAATCGGATTGTGCGTTTCACTCAAAAAAAACAAGCAACCACTTCTATTGCCGTTCAAGGCTGGGTCCCTCGTCAATGTTAGATTTTGGGTTCGCAAAGTTCTGTCAAAAGCCTGGGGAGGACAATTTTCCGAGATCTGTCTATTTCCTGGATTGGGTGATATGCATTTTGACATGCTGTTTCTTTTGGTGGGGTGGCGTTTGGCCTTTTTTTTGAGTTGGTGCCGTCTGGCTTTTTTCTGCATGTTCCATTTCAGCCAGCAACACGTTGACTTGCTCGTAAGGTTTCCCGATTTGGACAAGTGAGGTGGCGATGGTGCGAATGAACAGCACACGCGGTGTGTTTGATCACGTCATGAGGAGATTAGCCGGCGACTTCGGCCCGAGTTTAGTAGCTGCCATCTCTTCAGAGGAACCAACCCTCCTGCCCTCCCCCCATACCCCCATTTCCTCAAGAAAGGCTACCAAAACTAGGGCTGAAGTTGCAGGGAACCAGGGGGAGGTGTTTCAGGAGGATGGTTGGATCCTGTTTTGCCCTGTGTGTCAGGAGGGATCAAGTCGGAACCCCCTCCTCTAAGAAGGCTCTGAGAAGCTTTCCTAGGGTTGGAAGGGTTTAGTTTTCTTCCAAGTGTGGGCTGTATGCGTTCCTGTCTTCACGCATGTGCAATTACAATGGGGGAGCCTCTTATTTAAAATCAACAATTATTTTTTAAAAAAAATGGGGACACCCACATTACTCCGCAGCTTGGGCTCACGATATTCAATCCACTGACGAAGCATCTGTTCAGAGCTACCTTCACTTCCTCCAAGACTGCGGGAACCCTAAAACTTATTGATTCCCTATTGATTCCCTCTTTTGGGCCTTCCCTTCAACCACAAAAAAAAAGTGTGGCCGCTTTCTGGTCGGGGGTCCGGTCCGCTTATTAGCGGTCGCCCAGGAGCAGGCCAGGGCTACCAGAGCAGCGAGTCGGTGTCCACCACGCTGTGGGTGGTCAGCGGCATGTCGGGGGTGCTCTCCGCGATGACGGAGCTGGGGGAAGCGCTGCGCACCGTGAGGACGGAATCCAGGCGCCTGCCTATGGATCATGGCCCTGGGCAAGTGGATAACCATGGATATTGTGAAAAGGGAAATGGTCTTCTAGGACCCTGTCAGGTTCTATGTTAGTTGGTGGGAGGGTAAATATATTTGTTGACTGGGGGAGTGTTGTCACCTTGCTGGCATGGTTATTGTACTTGCTTAGCGTAGCTTGAACTTCCTTGAGTTCCTGGACTAGGGTCACTTGTTGGGTCTCGACCATTCTTGTGGCCACATCACAGAAAGTTTGTTTTTGTTTGCTCATCCACCCAGGACGTGAGGCCTTGCTTCATAGGACTGTCCCAGTTGTCCAACACGAATCGGCCTGATGTAATCTTTGCATTGACCTCGAGGTGAGACTTGACCTCCAGCGGCTTTACGATCAATGGGCACAACCAGCGCTTGTAGGGCACCTTTTGTAAGTGCCCTTTGATTCATTGCAAAAACTTCGCAGTTTATCATGTTGTTCAGTTCTTTGATATGATTTGGTTCAGTTGATTTTTCGGTGTATCCAGATACATCCAGTTTTTGCCACCACATCCTGGAAGCTTGCTCGATTCACCGGGGGGTCGACACGTATTCAACTCACGGCGTCTCCCACCTGGCCGAACATTTGGGCGGACTTAGTCTCGCTCCCTGAGTTTCTGGACGTTGGACACTTGTTGGGAAGACTTAGTGGCAAGCAAACAGTTTGCACCTTCTTTGCCCAATCCACTTAGGAAGTGAGTAGTACTTGGTTCCGTAGCAATCCAAGTTTTGTCAAAGTTAGAAACTGCTGACTTGTTCCTAGCCTCGCTGGTTCTCAGGGGTCATTCCAAACCCCCAATGTGATTCCGTACTGAGAACCAGCAAGTAGGGAACCAATGGCCTGAAGCAACCATCCCTGCTTTTCATTTGCCGGGTCGGATCGGCTTCCTTTTGGATCGGCTTTTTTTGGAGGATAATTGCTTCTACTATACTGCTGCTCAGAAGGGAATGAGGCAATGACACCTACAAACCATCCCCCGTGGTTTCCTTTAAGGGAATCCCCGGGTTCATCCCCTCGTTCCCTGCTGAGCACCGGCAAGTCTATCTTATTTTGAGCCGTGGGCTAAGGGAGGGCCACTTCCTGCGCCGCTTGGGCAAGCTCAACATCCATGTGGATGCTGACGCCGAGGGTCGCTGCCTTGGTTTGCCAGGAAGTTAAGGGCTTTGAGAGCGTCCCCAAACCACTGCCAAGCCCAACCAAGTTTCTTCCCCCTTGTTGGGTGTCCTTCATGTTTCCCTTGGAAAGCAGTGACAAAGTGACGTTTGTTGCGGCCTAAGTCTGACCCAGAAACTGGCACAATTTATTTTCATTAGGGGACAGTCCCAACAAGGAGGTGCGGCAGTACGTTTGAGTTTTACACGAATCTGGCCCTGTACTTGCAGGTTTTGCCTGTGTCTTATTCCGACCGCAGGCATTTTCTTGTGGGATCTCGGGAGCCGCCTCTTTGGAGTTCCATGCTGGGCAAAAGATGATTGAGACCACGATCGTGACCGAATTGGATAGGTGAATGACGCTGCAATCTGCTTGAATGCTCCACCTGACCCGCTTGGTTCAACTAGCCGGGCGCAACTTGAGCCAACATTTCATTGCCAGGCGTAGTTTACATGTTGCAACAGTTTTCCTACGTTTTTGTTTTTCCGTCTCAACCAGCAACAAAACACGCTTGTTGCAGGGCGGCCACTCGCCCGGCCCTGGTTTGGGAACAAGTTGTTCGGCACGGCGTGTTTCGCGCCATGTTGGAGTGAAAGGCATGTCCATGAAATCTCTGAGAGGCTTGCTCATTGTTGAGTGCGCCTTGTAACTGGAGACGCGCCTCACGCTTTTGTCTCAAGCTGGGGGTGAAGCGGTGCCCCTGTGTTTGATGGTTTTAGCTGGAAACCAAAAGGAAACGCATGTCAGAGGGTCTGGAATTTGGGGACACCGCCATGAGACTTTAAGATAAGCTTGTCTCAGATGGGAACAGGTGGGATTTCTTATGTTTTCTCTTCAAGGCCGCCCAAACAGGTACCCTAAAGAAAGATGCCCCACATGTGTTGCATGTTAGTGGTTTCATATCAAAAGGAAACCGCACATATCAACAGTTCTGGGTTGCTCACAGTCAATCCTTAGGACTTATGCCGGATGGCGGTGGTTTGCCTTGTGGTCTTCCACTACGTTCGTTGAGCAACAGCGGAATCCAGTTGTTCCCTGCTTGTGTAGGTTCCCCACTGTGAATAGTCAATTCCGCCAAGGCTTCCTTTTCATCTAACAGGGTCGCTGCGGCATTTTGAACCATCAATTCTCAAAGTTGATTCTCCACTCCTAAACCAGTACCTTCCAGTTGCTTAAGAATATGTCTAGTTTTCCCTTGTTGGTGTTAAAGGGAATCTATCACTGAAAATATATGTTTGCCAGGGGGCGTAAGCAAAGGCTACCCGAATTGCGGCCCCTCCGTCAGCCGCTAGGCTTCGGAGCCGTCCGCGCAGCGGCGGGGGCAGCGCTGAACCAGGGCCTTGATGAGGAGCAGCAGAAGAAGAGGACTTGAGACGAAAAGCGCCCCGGGACGGCGGGGGGGGGGGTACAAGGGCGGCCCATTTTTTGTGCAACCCCCAAAACACAACAGACATGACAAGAGGGGGGGGGGGGACGAGGGCAGGAGCTCTGGCCTGCTGCATGCAAGGGGGGGGGGGGGGTTTTGGTGGACCCTGCACGCCGCGTGCTGCTTTCGAAAAGGAAGCCAAGAGTGTGTGTTGCCTGCAAAGGAGCTTTCGATTCCAAAAGCCGTAGCTTCTGGAGTTTCATGCTAAGTTGCAGGAGTGTGACTTCCTTTTAGTTTGCTGGGCTCCCCTATTAAGATGAAATCATCTGTACATTGGAATCCAATTCTTTGTCTAGAGTCACCGGGCAGCTGGGATTTTCAACTTCCCTTTGTTTCCTATTTTTCCAGGGTGGTCGAAGAGAGATACCCTTTCTCCCACAATGATAGCGGACAAGGGGCCTTTTAAAGAGGATGGTCATCTTCCAACACCATCCTGTCCACTTTTATGGAAAGAGGGGGATTTGGTTTGAATTATGTTTGTTTTTAAGACACCTAATCGCCGGCGTCACTCGGCCACTCCCCGATGTTTTGGCTGAGCAACCGACAATATTCTCAAACCGACCATAGTCTCAAATCCTAGGTATTGGACTTGATCCTTGTTTGAAAGATCATTTAACTGGTAAACACTTTGCTGGGCCATTCCACTCAAGCTCGTATTTGCAGGCCTTAAAAGCCTGAGTATGGGTCAAGCTTTTTCAATCAGGAGGTAGCGGTTCCTTTCTTGGCTTCGGAGTTAAGAGCGAGGTTTACCAACGCAACGGGACGAGTCATGGTAATTTTTAGTTGGGTAGGACGCATCTCAAGCCAGCTGAATATTTGTTTGTTTGTTTGTCGGTCAGTCTGTTTGTCCATCGACCTATCTATACAGATAGATAGATGCATTCCATGTTGAAACGAGCCTTCGCCGGTAGGGAAACCATCGGGCATTTAGGCCCTAGATGGCCACCATTGCTTCAAACAACTCAAGTGCCCTTTGTTGACCATGCTGGAGCATACTCCAAATGCAGTCGAGTGGTTAGGTCCCCCTTTGCGAAGACGAACATGAAACTTGCTTCTCCCACCTGACGCCAGGAAAAAGGTCCTCACAAACATCCGCTCCACGCGTGCAGCACGCAACCCCCACGAGACCTTGATGTGCCTCCTCGAAGTCTTGCCCTTGTCGCTGGGCTTGGCTTCTCGCCAGCTCTAAACCGGAGGACTTTAGCAAAGGGCTCCTTAAAAGATACATTTTGCCCATTTGAAACATGGCAAGCCTTTTCCACCAAAAGAAAAAGAATCCACCACGTACAAGGCAATGTTCAGGTGTATAATGTAAGGATCCCTGTGGCGATTCGCCGGCATACCAACTTCGACCTTAGCATGTCGACGGACTCACGACATATCCCACTCAACGTCTAACGCTTAGCACTGGTCCAACCATCCACGAGGTTTCCTTTGACAGACCAACCCAGGGAGCAAAGTGTGTGTGGTTCCAAGTCTTGGGAGCAACTCTGTTAAGTTCGGGGGGGTCCTATTTGGTTTGCGGTTAAGCCGATGGGCGATTTTATCCGGATTCGAATGGTTTAAACTGTACTGAAGACATGGTTTGAGGCGGGTGACCAGAGTTCCGAGGCCTGTCAGGCGCGGTGCTTATTAGCGACCCCACCTCGTGCGCATTTGAGGTCGGGTTGGTGGTCTACTTGCCGTTTAATTTGTTGATTTATGCGGGTTGGCCTTGTTTGACGAATTGCGTTGAACCGCAGGTGCCTTTGTCTCTCTGGTGCAATACAAAATGTTTCAGCTTTCATATTCCTGCAAGCCTGGAAGCGCAGCAGCCTAGAGCATATAATATGTTGTGATTATGTACCTGGCATTGTTCCAAGGTTTATGACGTAGAGCCCGCTTGTAAGGGTGCCCAGCTCAATTTAGGCCTTTCCCCTCAGCTTTGTGTGGGTGTCCCATCAAACTCCTCAAACCCTTGCATGCTCTTGACATTGCCTCTCTGCGAATGGCACTCCTATACTGTCCGAACAGCTCGCGGGCGCACCGTTTGATGCTCATCTCATGGGTGTGTGTGTGTGTGTGCGCGTGGTTTGCTGAATGCGGTGCTGTGTTGCACTGGTGGGACGCTCAACAATGTGCGAGATGTGCGCCGAGATTGCAACCATGCTTGGACCTGGCAGGGACTGCATGTTTGAAACCATGTGGATGCTCTGTCGATGTGCGAGGATACCATTTGCAACTGCAGCTGCATGCCAAATGAAGCTAACATGTGGGTAGACTGCCACACCTGACTTTCAAAAGCAAACTGTTCGAACTGTGAAACTTTCAGCGGTGTATTTTTGTTGTTCCCCTTTCTCATGTTTTTTTTTTTTTTTTTTTTTTTTTGGGGGGGGGGGGGAAGGGGGATGGGTTCCCGGTAAAATCCACCAACACAAAATTGCCGTGCCCTTTTTTCCCCATGGCCGCTGGGCTTGCAAGTTTTTAGCCACCAACTACCAACTAAATCTAAATAGTTACCTCTGGGTTTAGAACCGGTAGCCTACGTGTTCTGTTTGGGACATTGCGAGACTCAGCAAATTTCCCGCAAATACCAGCAACCTCACTAATTTCACCATGGCAGGGGACTTACCGGGCTAACCACATTGCCGCCAGAATGCGAGGGGCCGGCCGCAGATCGTCCCCTGTTTGGCCAAGCAAAACCAAGGATTCCCTGCCAGGTTTCAGGTGACATTCTCCATTGCAGAACATCCTTTGCGGGTCCTTTTACCTGGGCGTCGTTTTCTTGTGAAGTGGATCTGGAGACGCTTTTGGGGGTTGATTGGTCATTGAGTTCCCTTCAACAACCTTGGTGGCTCCCAGCCATCCCCTTAGCTTTCTAATTAGCCTTTTAGTGTTAAGTAGTTTCCATTTAAGCCACTAAAAGTTCGTCACTGTCACTTTTCGCGGGGGATCAGAAAACGGGCCCAGAAACGGGCTACCGCTGGATCCCAGGCCACCTCCGAAGGCACCCGCCTGCTGGAGCCCGGGGCCTGCCTCGCCGGCGCCGTGCTCACCGCGAAGATCGTGGTGTCCGAAGCGCCGTTCCAACGGCTGGCGGTGGAGTGCAGCGCTTGGGCTTCGTCGAGGGAAACGGTCTGGGGGTTATCAAAGTCAGAACATGTGGTTTCCCTTTCACCCACCAATCAGGGAGTGACTTTGATCATGGTAAGAGAATGAGGCCAGGGAAAGGAAACGCGGATGGGAAAGTTTGGGGAAGAAAATCAGGGGCCAAATTCATCAAACATCACACCCTCCCACCAGGTTTAACCTGGGAACGAATCCAGGGGCCGGAATCAATAATTTCCCTCCCACCAACTAGCCAGGGAACAAATCCAGGGGCCGAAATAATGTTGATTTCCCTCCCAGTAATTAACACATGCAAAGACCCTGACCTTCGGGGGGGGGGGGGTCGTGCTTAAAGCATTTATGTTTTAAAGGGACCCCCTGTTCAGGTTTCATGTTACTTGGCGGGAGGATAATTCTAGGTTACCACGATCATGACTCGAATATGGATGTACAGTACCCCACCGTATCCCACCATTCTATGCCAATGATTTTGGCCTCCCAATAGTAGATAACGCATTGCTGTTGGAAACCAGCAGGGGCCAACGTAGATGGGTAATTATTGTTATTCAGGACAGACGTACGGAGTTGACTGCTTTATTTCTCCTTCAGGTATGCCAAACTTGCCATAAGGCAGCAAAAGGACCAAGCTTCCCAAAACTTGAGAAGTCCTTGCGACCTTGGTGCTGGGAAGGAAACCAAGACTCAGTTGTCAGATGACCTTTGAACCTTCTGCGTTGCCCCTGTAGGCTCAGTCTGAGCCAAGGTCGCAGGGGCTGTTGTCTCCAGGTCCTTTAGGCATGTTAGATGAGGGAACCGTCGGGGGGGGGGGGGTTTAGCTCCCAATGGACGAAGCTTGGAAGGGGCAGATGCAGGAGCCTGAATGTTCAATGGCGCCCGTTGCCCTCCGTGTTGCTTTCAGAGCCCTCAAAAGGGTTCTCCTTTTCTACCAGGGTCGCTGACAACTGGGTGTCCACCGACCAACAAAAGCACACAATATTTTTCGTCGGCAATCTTCCCGGCTTTTTTTGAAGAGGAGAAAAACATAAACATGCCAAGTTGATCAAGTTGTATGTTTGCAACTTGGGGAGGCCCGGGGTATATCATTAAGGATTCACACCTATATCATTGAGTGTGAACATTCGCACCGAAGGGATCCAAATCTCAAAGTTGGAAGGTTCGCAAACATACGCGAAGTGGTCTATGAAGGTTGCTGGAGGGTGCTAGGGAGGGTCATCAGCCCCTTAGGAATTTCAACAATCAGCAAGAAGCCCTCTTTCCTGAAATCCATGACAGTAGGCCGTTCAAGGTTTTATGGTCCATTTGGGGACCGGCAATCAGCAAGTTGAAACAGAAAATCAGAGCACGAGCCACAACTGTCCTACATCCTTGACGGGAGCGGCATTCTTTGACCATGCCTCATATGGGTGTGGGTCAAAATTAAACCACCAGGGGACCGCAGGTTTTTGTCCAAGTTTCCATTTACAAGGGTTCCATTTGGGGTACATATTTTTGACCCACAGCCATATGTTCTTTCGTTGACATATTGGCCTCAGGTAACATGGCTGGAGATGTGGTTGCACCTTGGCTGTGAGGAGAGTGACGGGGAACTCGTGGATAAATCTAAGTCCAGACTCCCAGTGCTGCCCCTTGTTTCTTCGTTTTTGGAGGAGGTTGCCCTTTAAGACCAAATGCGCAAAAAGTATTCCCGTGACCACTGGGTGTTTGTGTATCTAACCCTTCCTTGCTAACCTAGTCCTCACACCGTTCCCCCACATTCTCGATGGAACGGCATCAGGAGAGATTGCATTGCAAATGAGAACCTCTTTGAGATAGTGCCAACCGAACATCTGGTTTGAGAAGGGCTCAGCCAGCGGAAGGAACCGGTAACGACGCCCAAGAAGCCTTCAGGGACTTTGATGTGACGGTTCGCGAGCTTAAGGTTTTTTTTTCTTGTGGGTTCCCCTGGGTCCGTGAAAGATAGGGTTCCATGTGCTTTACGGTTCTTGTGGGATGGTACCTGGGTCGCGTCACAGCCAATCACGCCGATGAAATCATGGGCCCCTTTACTGTCACTGTTGTTCACCACCTCCCCAGAAAGCAAAAAGGTCAAAAGGCAAAACTCTGAAAAAAAGCCGCGTTCTTTGGTGTTGGTCTTACTTATGTTCCCAATTAAGTGTAATTGTATTGGGTCAAATCCTGGGCAAAGAAGGGTACCAAAACCGATGTCCTCTACACTTAGTTTCCTTTACCGGTTTCTGGCCGAGGAGTTTTCCGTGTAAAGTGATGAAGTAATCATAGCTGGATGGCTTGAAATCCCATTCAACGGTAATTTTCATGGACAGGGATTGCCAACGATTTTCCACAATCATGCCACCAGTCGATTTTGTTTGTTGTTGGGTACGCTGCGTAATTTGATTGGCATCATTGTGTCATCAGATACTGTTTTTTGTTGTTGCCCGGCTATTCAGCGCACAATTTTCCACTTTGTCCTACTTACTTCCCCAGAATTAGCTCCGCGTTTTCCCGAAAGCATGGCGAAGGGTTCTTCCGCTGGGTTCACTTGAGTTGTTCTCATGAGAGTCATTACAAGGTGTCATTGCAAGGAATCATCATCATGAAAGTCAATGCAAGGAGTCATTGCAAGGAGTCATTGCAAGGAGTCATTGCAAGGAGTCATTGCAAGGAGTCATTGCAAGGAGTCATTGCAAGGAGTTATTGCAAGGAGTCATTGCAAGGAGTCATTGCAAGGAGTCATTGCAAGGAGTCATTGCAAGGAGTCATTGCAAGGAGTCATTGCAAGGAGTCATTGCAAGGAGTCATTGCAAGGAGTCAGGAGTCATTGCAAGGAGTCATTGCAAGGAGTCATTGCAAGGAGTCATTGCAAGGAGTCATTGCAAGGAGTCATTGCAAGGAGTCATTGCAAGGAGTCATTGCAAGGAGTCATTGCAAGGAGTCATTGCAAGGAGTCATTGCAAGGAGTCATTGCAAGGAGTCATTGCAAGGAGTCATTGCAAGGAGTCATTGCAAGGAGTCATTCAGTTGCAAGGAGTCATTGCAAGGAGTCATTGCAAGGAGTCATTGCAAGGAGTCATTGCAAGGAGTCAAGTGCAAGTTGCAAGTGCAAGGAGCCAAGTGCAAGTTGCAAGTGCAAGGAGTCAAGTGCAAGTTGCAAGTGCATGGAGTCAAGTGCAAGTTGCAAGTGCAAGGAGTCAAGTGCAAGTTGCAAGTGCAAGGAGTCAAGTGCAATTGACTTGCGAGGAGTTAAAATCTCTTCTTAGGGCGGCGGGGTAGTGCCGACGACACTACACGAAAATCGACCCTCTGCGGGGATCGGCGTGGTCGAGGTGCAAAAACCCATGGTTTTTTGCGATTTCTGCGGTGCTCGCGCGACCCTCTGCGGGGATCGGCCCATGGTTTTTTGCGATTTCTAAAGTTCCCGCGCGACCCTCTGCGGGGATCGGCGTGGTCGAGGTGCAAAAAACCATGTTTTTTTTTGCGATTTCTGCGGTGCTCGCGCGACCCTCTGCGGGGATCGGCGTGGTCGAGGTGCAAAAACTCGAGGTTTTTTGCGATTTCTGCGGTGCTCGCGCAACCCTCTGCGGGAATCGGCGTGGTCGAGGTGCAAAAACTCGAGGTTTTTTGCGACTTTTGTTGTTCGAACTGGTCCTCGGGAGTTGTCTCGTGGTTCGCGCGCCTGCTCCCGGAACCGGCAGGTCGCGGGTTCGATTCCTCCCTGGTCCGCGGGCGGGCGTCGCAAGATGCAACTTGCATTTTAAAGCAACTTGCGCAGAGCAACTTGCGCAGAGCAAGTTGCACAGAGCAACTTGCGCAGACCAACTTGCACCGACCAGTGTGCGCAAAGCGCCTTGCCTAGAGCAACTTGCGCAGAGCAACTTACGCAGAGCAACTTGCACAGAGCAACTTGCACAGCGCAGCTTGTACAGAGCAACTTGCAGGGAGCGCAATTTGCACAGAGCAACTTGCAGGGAGCCACTTGCAGGGGCCAACTTGCCGGAGCAACTTGCGCGGAGCAACTTGCGCAGAGCAACTTGCACAGTGCAACTTGCGTAGAGCAACTTGCGCAGACCAACTTGCACCGACCAGTTTGCGCAGAGCACCTTGCCTGGTGCTGTCCCGCGCTTGCTTCACAAATGCTTCGTGGAGGGAAAAAGAACGCATCCTGCAGCGTTGGGCCGGCCTCGCTTGCGATGTTATGCTTTCGGGCCAACCGTGGTCTAGTTGTGTTTTGTTTTTTTGGCATCCCTTTGTTTTCCACTAACCAGGCAAAAGAGATATGTGTTTTTTTTGCTGGGGTCCTAATTGCAGCCTAGAATAGTTTGGCAGTTTCGCCACTCAAGACAAAATCAACCAACCAAATTGCACTTTCCAATTCTTCGTCCATGGCCTTCGCCTTTTCGCGACTCCCCACTTTTTTCGCATCCGGACCCCCGTTTTATCTCGCAGGTGCTAGTGAGGCAGTGAGGGAATGAACCTGGACATTCCCAAGAAGGAGGAAACCATGGGGGATGGTTTATCTCGGGTCATTCCAATTCTCATTCCCTGCTGAGCCCCCTCCCGTCTGTTCGCATCCCCGAAACGGGAACCCCCGCTTTTGGTGGACCCCGAGCTCGGGGCTTTCGGTCGGTTCTCTGAGATCTCCTTGGGCCTGGGCCCGGAGAGCACCGCGGGCGAGCTGCAGGACCAAGTGCTCGCCACTTGCCCCGAGCCGGAGAGCGGCGCCTCAAAACGAGGGGGGGGCCTGGGGTTCCTCGCGGTTTCCAGTAAAAACCACATTCCTTAACTTTGTTGCCCAGTGGGTTGCTTCCTTTTTTCAACTTTCTTTTGGGTAAGGGTTCCCCTTTAAACTCAACCAAGAAAACTAGGGTGCCCCGTTTTTCCCATGTAGATTGGGCATCTGAGTTAAAGAGTCAGCTTCCATCTAGTTGGTTTGGATTGGAGGTTTGGTGGTGAAGGGGTGGTTCCCCATGTACCCTTCACAAGAACTAGGGGTCATGTTGGGCAAACTTGGAGAGTTATGGCCTGTGTTTGTTCCTGTGTTCCTTCCAATGTGTTTCATAGCCTTGAGTAGAGACCTTTCTGGATGTTCAAGCCAGTTATGAAGCAGGCTAGACCCGGGCTTCTTATATATCCCGCTCCGAACCACTGTCATAACCCACCTTGGCAGGTTGAGCATCCAAATTTGCGAAATGGATACTTTCCCTTGGATGTCACTTCAAAAACCAATCCTAAAAAGGGTAGCCTCAAAACACAACACACCCAACTTCAGCTGTAACCCCAAAAGCTTCTCTGACAAAACCCAACCCCCGTGATGCCCTGGAGATTCGTGTCAGGCCAAGATGGGATGGCAGGGCGCTCTGCTCTTCTTCGAGGGCAAGGAGATGCAAAGGCCATCCAATTCCGACAAAAACATGTTTCCTGGTGGGGCCCTTGAAGCCATGTTGAAGACTGATTTTGTGAACTTGGCTATGGATGAAACTGGTGTCCTTGGGGTGTAACTCTACCTGCAGCACCCTGGACGACCAATCAAACTGACCCGCGATCGTTCGCCATCCTGTCTTCGCGTTCTTTCACAGGTCCATGTCTTTGCGGCACTACGAGCTGCTCACCATCAAGGAGCCTCGTTTCATGCGCGGAAAGCCGTGGCGGGGGAAGACGCTTGTGGGGAAAGATTGCGGCCTTTTCAGATGGTTTTCAAGGCCAACCCTCATGATTAAAATGCCTTTTTGGCTACCGCTTCGAGCCTGAGCTGGGAAACTGTGACCTTCCTTCTACCCAACAAAGGCACCAAAATCCGTTTGTCCAATTGGAGCTTTTTGTGGTGGTCCAGGAAGAGAAGGACTTGGTGATGACGCGGGTGATCTTCAGGCGAGGGGGTTGCAAGTCGGGCGACGCGGGTCGAGTGCTTTGGGCGCTCTCCTCAATTGAGTTCCTGGAAGTGTGTGTTGAGTTTTTGTTTGAAAGACAATTTCGGTGGCAAGCAGAAAGTTTGCACTTCTTGCGGCTAATCCACGCTGGAAGTTTGAGTTTCAACTGTACACCCATTTGTTCTGTGAGTTTCACCTTCTAAATCCCCATTTGTTGTGTGGGACCCAAAAGTGGTTTCCCTTTATCAGCGGTTCCCATCAGGCTTTCATTCGAGGAATCTCTTTGTTGCTCAAGGCGAATCGACCTTTTGACCTTTTGATTTTGCAATTGTAATCCATATTTCATCATGGTCCCAAAAGCCTAACCTTTTATTTCTTGATCCCTGAGGCTTTAAGGGGCAACTGAGATCTTGTGCCAGTGGACCATGTTGATTCTCGCCTGTTGTAGAGGGCTCCCGAGAGGAGATTCACCTTGGATAGGGGTTGAGGAGTCAATGTTAATCTGCAGGGAAGGACGGTCCGGTTTTTGGCTTCAGAACCTGAGTGAATTTATTGGCGACCCATGTTAGTTCCCATTTGGGTATGTGTCGCAGCCCAGTTGGAATCTTCCGACATGATTGGCGGCTCATGCTGGTTGCCTGTCGAAACCGGACAGATCGCAAGATCCTTCACTTGGGTTCCCCTTGGTAACAGTTTCCCAAGACATACTAATCATAGGCAATCGAATTGGCCCCATCACCTTGAGGAGCCCAGGTTTCATGTTGGTTTCCCAAGAAGGTTCCCAGCTTTCTCTTGCACGCGTGCGATTGGTCAACTACTTAAATCCTGCAGGCCCCAAGCGCCTTCAAATAACAAGCAGGCAGCAGGCTGATTATGTTGCCAGACGGTTTCCTTCAGGTTCTCTGTAAGCAAGTGAAAACGTGCTGCGCGGGGTCTGAGTCTACTCCGGTAAACATCACCTTTCGGTGCAGTTGAAGTGACAGTGTTGGTTTCTTTGTGTGATGCTTGATTGAAGACAAGCGCCCCCCCTCCCCGCCCTCCCCAGTTTTTTGCACATGCTTCTATTTTGAAGAGTCTCGCAGAGAATTCCCAGATGTTGACCCCTAAATCATGTTGTTGTTTTTTTTGTGTTGGGAGCTGGGTTTTCAGATGTTGTATCCCTTTCAAGCTAGGTTTGCAGAGAGATTGCAAGGAAAGCCTAGAGCTCCTTTTTTGGGTCCAAATCACAATTGTGACCCATACTGCCTATAGTCCCCGAAGGGGCACGGTCAGGAATACCCTCAGCCCTACCAAAGCCTCCAAGATTTTCACCACCTACACGGCGCAAGAGAGCGTGGTGCTGCAGATTCTGGAAGGCCTGCGCCCAGATACATCCATCGATGTTGCTGTCAGTTTCGGTGAAACGAGCAAAAGAAGAAAGCAATCCACACAATCTAAACTATGCGGGCGCCCAGGGACTCAAAGAGAGGGCTCCAATATGTTTCCATGTCCCAAAAAAGGTCAAACACAAGAGGATGTTCTTTTGATTCCGAGGACCTCTATGTAGCAGCCAGTTCAACATGGGGAGCTTCAAAATGGGAGAGTTTCAAGGTTTTCCTTTTGAACCCCTAGAACCCACCAAAACGGGGTGCCCAACCAAAAAACACGACCATTTGGAAAGCGCACACACGCATGCTAGCTGAAATCACAAGGCTACGCGTCCTTGAAAAGGCCGGCAGTTTTGGGTTGCTTTAAGGAAGCTGGTCGTTGGAGTCAACCTTGGCGGTTTTTCCCTGACACCCTGGTTTGGGGATCACGGTTGTCGTTGGGAAACATTTTACATTTTTGCTTATTGTGGTTTAGTGGGAAATCCCCACTTAGCTGCTAAAGTTTATTTTTTTGCTCCCCTTCCAACGTCAACCAAGGGATAGGGAAGCCAACTTGGACAGGAGAGATGCCCTTGGCTGGCCAGAACATTCCAGTGGCCTCCTGGCTTGATCACACTGGCACCCCTCAGTTGTAGCCCATGTACCGGGAAGTCTCCTGCATGTGAGCGTACTCAACCTTCCATTTGCTGAATTGTCCACTGTTGGTTTTGAAGGGAAGCTGCCACTTCATGTGTGCAGGGGGCTTAAACAAATCGAAGAGATGTGAGCTGCTGTAACTCAATCTATTGGTTGGGTATGCCACCTGATGGTGCACGAAAGAACTGAGAGCTGCTACCTGAAAAGTCAGTGGAGGGTTTTGGACAGGCCTGTGGCCAAATGTTTTACCGTGGCAAAAAAAGGCCGCTTCGGCCTGGTGAGGGTCTTGACTCTTGAAACGGATCTTAAGTCGGAAGGGTTCATGGGACCCATGACCGCTTGGAGGAGTTTTGGCCATGGTCATTCGGAGTTTTTGTGAAAAAAAAGACGCAACTGCATCATTTCAGACAAAATCATCGGCAACAGCGTCAAAAGTTTTGCGAAGCCGAGCCTTTGGCCCTTTGGCTTAGTCAAGATTCCCTCTTCCGGAAAATGGTAATCAGCCCCTAAAACCGGGTTCCGAGATGTTTCTACCTGAGTGGGCAACCGTTTCCCTTGTTGCTTCCCATGGAATCAAACTCGAATCCCTTTTTTCAGTTTCGGGAAGTGGGACTTTTGCTTCATGTTGGCGCCACAAACCCCTAAAACATGACACCCATATATTTTACTTGTCCCAAAAACCAAAAGGGATGGAGACCTGTTGGACCCACTAAGGCAAAAGTCGGCCCAACATAGAAGGGGGTTGCTTTGTCCACAGGTCCGTACCCATTGATTACACAGTCTACTTCCCACCTGCGCAATGGGCCTGACCGAGGCTGAGCTCCGCTTGGATGGCATCGCGCCATGCCCCAGTGGAAGCTCTGCTTAGCACTTAAGGGTTGCATGGGCCTTAAGACAGCAGAAGGTCACGTGCCAAAGAAGGTCTTTACCTCACTTGAGTTGCTGGACCTGGTGCTTCCTGGGAGAAAAAAAAGCGTTTGCGTAAACAGAGTAAAGGAGTTTACCCCACCAGGGAAAGAATCCTAAGTGGATTCCGGCACATGGCTCCCTGAGTTTGGAGACTTTGGTGAGACATGTCTCCTTTAGTGGTTGAGGCACTTCCCGATGTTCTGTTTGGAGCTTAGGTATCCTAGCAAACAGGGAGGTGCAGGCCTTCAATGGCTTCCATTGGGAAAACCTTCTGGATTCCCTGACCCACTTGAAAGGGTGGCCTCGTTTCTCAAATAAACGCGCACACACACACACACACACCTTTGTGGCTCCCAGCCATCTTAGCTTTTTAGCCTTTTCGTGTCTAGTGGTAGTTTCCATTTAACCCACTAAAAGTTAAACTTTTAGCGGGGGATCTGAGGGCAGCCCAGACAAGTCAGGACTGGCTCTCATTGAGGTCACCTTTGACCTTGACGCGCCTTGACTATCTTGGGATGAGACGCTTGCTAGGCGTGTGCTAGCAGCGCGGGGAGGGCTGCAATGTTTCCATGGGATGTGTGGAGTGCATTCACTGACAGTGCCAAGGCAGCTCTGTGTTTGTGCCCCACAAGGTCGTACCCACAATATGAGGGTTGTTCACAAATGACATGCCTTGTGTTGGACCCGTTTGTGACCCGCAAAAAAGGGAACCCTTTCTTTTGAGCGACGCTCAGACGGTATCACCATCCCAGGGGCAAACGAGCTCACCCATGATGTTTGTTGTTTGTTTGCGCTAACTGGGAGGGTCCCTCATTTCCGCTTTGAGAATTACAATAGCTTGTCCAGATGGAAGACAACACTGAATGGGGCCTCGACAATGGCATTTCAGGGCGGGGGTTCCTTTTCGCACCCTTCAGCAACGATTTTGTTATTGTGTCATTCTCCTTGGAAACTATCTCCAACTCAAATGCCATTAGTTTGGGGCTTGCTTTGGGGATAATCACCAGACAGATTGACCCCCCCCCCAACCCCAACCCCCCCCCCCGCACCCCCAAAGGAGGGCTTCTTTCCCCAGATCATCGCCAGTCCTCCCCCGGGCGGCCCCCCCTCCCACCTCTCCGGGCGCCCCCGGGCGCTCCTTCGAGGCCAACAGCACGTTGCACGTCACCGCCCTGGACCACGGCTCGGGGGCTCGCTGTGAGTCCACCTTGACGTGCGAGACGCGGCCTCGGGCGGCTCGGCACGGCTTGCCCGGCGAGGCTACGGCCTGTAGGTGCCAGTTGCTTCATGGCTAATGTTGTCCCCGCATTAATAAACCGCGGTGTGTTAGTATGGGGGTGTTCCCCTCCAAAAGTGATAAATCCCCACTAAAACGAGGGACACCCCCATATTGATAAGCTGCGGTTTATTAATCAGGGGTGAACATCATGTGGTAAAGGGTCTTTGGACTTTCACTGTTTGGTTGAAACCGTGGGCTTTCCATTGAACCCACAAAAAGCTAAGCTTTCTTTGTGGAGGGGTCAACAGCAACCAAGCTGCAATTTGCGTGGGTCTTTGACCTTTACCCACTGCCCTGAGTTGATGGACTTTGAACTTTTTTGGGAAGACCATGCTAGTGGCAAACAACAAGTTTGGGCTTTTGTTCGAAGCCCACTCAGGAAGCGAGTTTAACTTGTTAGGAAAAGGTTGATTTTTCCGACAAACACGCCAAAGGTGAAGCTTGTGCAGGGGTCAATTGCCTTTTGGCTTGTAGCCTGTTGTCCTCATGTTTCCTTTCATTTAGCATGTGGGTTACAACTATGTGTCTATAAGGGCCTAACCCCACTTACATCTATTGTTACGACATCTTATGTTTTCTGTGTTGGCTATACATCCAAAGCTGGCAAGGAACGCCTTGTTGTTGTTAGTCTCTGCGGGTGTCTCCAAAACAAGGGGACCTTCTCTTTATTGCTAGACAACATGTTCTTGACATGTTGCCCTTTTGACCGGCAAAGAACTCAAATAGCGCCCAAAAGCACCAAAAGGCTGGCACTTCGGAAGGAAACCACGCCAGCCAAATTTAGTTCCTTGTTTTGTTGTCGAAGCCCAGGTGGACGTTGAAGAGTTGAAGCGGATGGTGTCGCAGTCAGAGGCGTACTGGGCGCAGACCGCGGCCTTGAAGGCAGAGGTGTTGGTGGAACTTTCGGTTTGGAGAACCTGGGTTTCGCCTTTCTTTGAGAAAACCAGGGTTGTAGGGCTACCTTCCCCATTCTTTCCAGGGATCCTTCTTTCTAAAACACCGCCAAAAACTCTGGGGAAACAGCTGTTTTTGATAAGAACGATGGTTGAAAAGAATGAGGAATCAACCCCTAGAGGTTTGGCTTTTCTTTGAGAAAACCAGGGTGTTTCCCGCTTGGGTTTCTTTCTGAGACCACGGCAGGCACACGAGTCCTCTACCCATAAACCATGCTCCAGGGAGAATGGGGTATATACCCCTGAATCCGCATCCCAAAAGTCAACGCCCCCAATACAACATGTTCAACCCATTTTATTCTTGGAAGGGGACTACCCACTGACTGCGGTGTGTTGCTTGGTGGTAACCTACTCACCTTCTTTGCACATCCGGGTTTCCCCTGCTGGCCCGCCAAAGAAGGCTTAGTTTTGCACGTTGTGGTCTCCACGAGTACGGGTGCCATGTGGATATGTGTTTGAAAAGTTTACTCGCAACATAGCATATGTTGATTCCCCTGTTGCATATATATATATATGTATGTATGTATGTATGTATATATATATATACACATGTATGCATATATATATATATAGATGTGTGTGTGTATGTATGTGTGTGTATGACATGTTCATATACACATCTATATACGTGTATTTATACCCATGTAAACACATATATATATATATATATATATACCCAAGATGTTTTCTTTCCAAGGAGACCCCAAGTCGCACCATCCTTCGGTTTCCTTGGCCGCCAGGCCAGGAGCGAAGTCTTCACCAAGTGCGCCCAGCGCCTCTTGCGGCAAAAGGCACCGGAGGTGATGGAGATCCTGGCGTGGCTGGAGGCGGCTCGACCATGGATGTGTTTTTTGTTTGTCCAGGTCCCCCAGCTAGGTGCCCTTGAACCCGTTTCTTTCCTGAGGGAGGGTTCCCCTACTAAAATAGCCTAAAGAAAAAAGGGCACCCTTATTCTGACCTCTCTACTGGAGGATCCCCCAAGATCAGCTTCATTGGTGGTTTGGGGATTAAGGAACCCTGGTTGCTTTTGACACCAAATGGGAAAGGTAGCGCACAACATCCAAACCGCCAATCCAAACTGAGAGATTCCTCGACACCCCGTGTTGAGTGGGGTGAAAGGTAAACCACAAGGACACCACCAAATTTGGGCTCTGATTCTGGGACACGCTGAGCTGGGTCCATTACGGTGGCTGTATTTTTGAGGGGGCCAGCAGGGTTGGGCAACAATTTTAACCCCCAATCCTCCCTCCAGGACTTCCTGTTCCGTTACAGTTGTCCACTCGGTGGCAAAGATTTGCTGTACACCCCAAGTTTGGGGTTGAACATTGATCAAGATGTCCATGTCCTTTGGTTGCAGAGTGAGACTCCGTCGAAAGACGCTTTGCAGCTTGCTTGGTAAGGAAAGTTGGACTTCGAGCTATGGGAAGTTACCCAGAAAACGTTCAGAATCTGGAAGTTTTGACGAAGAGCAGGGCATTTTTGGGGGACGGCAGCGCCAGTCGGATACGAATTCGACAGCTCAGCATCTGCACTCGCGGGAAAACCCGAGCCTTTTTGTTCTCGAGCGTTTCGATAATTTTGTGGGCAGAAGCGTGAAATCCAAACTTTCAGGTTGCAGAGTGAGCCTCGCACAGGAGGCGCGCGATGCAAACGAGGAGGAGTACAAGGCGCAGCTGAAGATATTAGAGGACTTGGAGCCAGCGCTTGTCGATGCGCAGCTGGATTGAGAACTGACCCCCTCTTCAACACCCTGGTGAAGTGCAGAGGCGCCTTTCAAGAACAAGGACGCCTGAAGAGTACCAGAGTTGCCCCGGTTCTGATCCCTACTCCAGTCATCCACAGCGCCTTGAAACTAGCAGAAGGCGCCAACCAGACACGGGCCCCGTTCCCATCGAGGGCCAGTTTCCGAGAAGCCAGATGCAGAGAATTCGTCTGAGCCCGACATCAACTAGAACCTACCCTGTTCCCTTTGTTTGGCCATGGCCCATCGCCCCACACAATCTTCCTGCAGCTGGCTCCAATCACTTTGAAATGCCGCGGTCGAAAAGAAGGCGTGAGCGGTGGCGCAGGTTGGGGCGGTTTGATTTCTTCGTCCCAGCACCTTGCTAAATGACCTGAAAGGCCAAGAACAGAGGCCCAAACCCACCAAACCGAAGACGAGAAGGATGAGCCTAAGCAGCTGGGTGGCGGTGTACAGGCACCAGGCCTTTTTTGCATGATGGCAGTCTTTCCGACACAGCGATGGAAAGAGGACCGCTTGCATCTTCAAGCGCACGCCATGACGGGAACCATCGGCCCGGCAAAGGGGGCTACCTCGGGTACGCCAATTCCAACTAAGATTATCACTCAATGACCTATTGCCAAGTGGCTTGAACATCACAGCTGGAATTATTGCTTCCCGCTGGGCAGAGGCGATTTTTCAAAGTCGGAGTGTTCCACGTTGGGCTGGCAGGCGTGTGCTCAAATCAGAAGCGCCACATTTAAGTCAGTGTCCTTTTGGGGTAATGGTTCAGGTTATCTATAATTCAAAAAGAACTCCTTTGGCAAGAGGGGCGGTTCAGGCCCTCAAGCTGAATCAGAATGTGTTTTGTATGATCTTTGGAGGAGGCCAGGAATACTTAGTCCATCGCCGACCATGGGACACTGTGCCCTCTGGCTTTTATCCTTGGGACCAACGTGACAATAGCCCAACGAAGACAAGAAAAGCAAGCATGGGGTGTTGGATTGCTATCATTTCGTAAAGAAACTAGGGCATGCATCATCTCCTTGGTCAGGTTGTTTCCCAGGGCACCTGGATCAGGATCTTTCCCTCTCAAGTCCAGGTGAATCACGGTCTGTAGATTGGTGGCGAGGCCAAAAAGACCACTGCCATCCAAAGCAACGCAATGCATCTCACTTGCTGTAAGACACTGGGGCAGGGTTGGGATCCACGTAAGTGCGTGAGATGAAGCAAATCAGAGCATGCAATCGGGTAGCTTTAGTCCGAGTCCAATGACCAAGGTCCTTACCCTGGAAGATATCGTGGAGGAGATTATCCAGGAGGAGATCGTTGATGAGACGGATGTTTACGCCACGGCACTCAGCGGACCTCGCACGAAACCAGTCCGGGCAAACCTGTGCCGTGCAAAGTGGGTTTGCGACATCATGTGACTAGTCCCTACAAGGGACATCAAAGGACTCGTGTCCCCGAGGTTTCCCACCCCCGGCTTGCCTTCTGGTTTGCCACGGGGTCTTTTGTTAAACCCCCGTCACTCGTCATGAGGCAGGACGGCCACATTGCCAGTGCCGACCATAGGACTGGTCACCAGCGCCAACCAAAGGCACCAGCACTCCCTTTTTCATTCCTCCACCCCCAAAAAAGAGTCGGTCGAAGCACTCCAAACGGATGGGTGCCATTCGATTAGATGGAATACACCCCCTTTAAAGATAACCGACAACCCGGAATAAGACCTAACTGCGCGCAACTGACATATTACGTATTTGGGTCTGGGGTTCAGCTTGTAGCTTGGGTCAAATCAATTAGTTCAGCTGTCAATCATGAGTACCCGACATGTGTTCCGCACTAACATCAGCACACCCCGCATGATTTCCGACATGGGTGGTGGTCCAGTGCGTCAACCCCCAAGCAGGTTCCCTGGACCGAGGTCTCAGAGCTTCCTTCCGCCATTCTAGGGGTAGCTTCCTCATTCTTTCCAGGGATCCTTCTTTCTAGAAAACCTCCGGAAAACGGATCCGGTTTTTGGAAAGAACGATTGAAAAGAATGGAAAAGGAATCCACCCCTAGAGCCATCTTGGATGGTTCTCCAAGGTGGACGTGGACCGAAGGCTGAAGATCAATGACCGAGACACCACCAATTTCAACTTAGGCCGGGGAAGTTGGACCTGACTAGGTCCGCCAGCAATTGGTGCCCGTCTTGAACCCGTTTCTTTTTGGGGGGGAATGTTCCCCTACCAAAATAGACCACAGAAAAAAGGGGACCCTTATTCTAACCTCTCTACTGGAGGACCTAATTGAACAAGGGAATCACTGACCTGTCTAGTGGCAGGCTCTAGACTTGTTGAAGGTAGGAGTTCTACTAGACCGCATGTAGAATTTGTCTGAACCAGACTTGAACCTTTTGAGGATTTTGGATGTCTTGTGAGGGTTTCCTCCTGTTATTAACAGTAGTCGGATGTTTGCTACCCTTAGGACTGGGATTTTTTGTTGGGGGAGTCCCCTCAGGCACTCGGTACGTGCAACCGACTTGGCAAGTTGAACACTCTATTCGCGGGGAGGGGGGGGGGTCCCTTAGGAGTAGCTGCATTTTGTGAGATCCTGAAATTACTTTTGGAGGTGGGACATTTTGATGATGCTTGAACCACATGATGTGTGAGCCACTTGGAGGGACATGTTAATCTCTTTCACCTTTGATCACGTCCATACAAGTTGCCGTGTGGCGCTGTTCCTCGAAGGGTCTGATCTCTACAGCGAAGCTTTTGGGAATCTCCAAAGAACCTAAATCTGAGTGCTAGTTAGGCCTGTATCTCTACGGGCTCTGGGATTCCACCTACAGTTTCCCTTCGGGCGGGTGGTTTTGGTGCCGTGGCAGGTGTCTTCAATCCTATTTGGCGGTCAAAGGGCGACAAGCTGGGCTTGGAAGAGGTGGGGAGTTGGGAGGGATGGGGCGGGCAACAAAAAGACAAGATCCTAGCAAATGGCAACTTCCTTAAATGGCACTCACCAGGGACACTACGCCATTTTGACAATTTGCGCTAGTCTTTTTTGATCATTGCTGTCGTTTGTTGCGTGTTTCACTGCGGTGTTCACTTTCAAAGCAGCTAAAGTTTGAGCTCTGCCAGGTTCTATGTCCCAGACATTTTGTGCGTGTACCCTTGACATGCCGATGTCTTGGTCTACCTTGCAGTTTCCTCATCCTTCTGAGGGAATCGCCTGCCACCAAAGTACTTGAAGAGCTTCATCCAGTCCTGCTTGACACATGCTGGGAGCTTGTTCAATTGCTTGCAGATTGCAAGTTCACATGTTTTAGGTCCGTGCATCCACTGTGTATAGCTCAGCATGGCATCACATGAGTTACATACCAGCTTCAATTGCCGTCATTTGCAGCGTGGGATGTTGAAGGCCGAGAGACCCGCGAGGAGCACTTGGTGACGCCTCATGTTCAAACGCACAAACTGGCCTTTATTATAAGACGTCACTTCCCTGCCAACCACCGAAAAGTTAGATTTTTGCAGGTCTAAGTCTGGCCCAGTGGAATGCTTGGATGTCCTCGGCACTTGCATTTTTTGAGCGCGCAGGTCAATGCCATCTCTGCCCACCTTCTACGTACAGCCTTTGCTGCAGGCTCCGCCAGATTCGGCTTACATGCCCTGTGCTGGGCCCATTTGTTCGTTTCAGTTGCATTCACAAAAGCCTGCTTTGCTGGTTGGTCAGTTGGGGCAACAAGGAAGGTCGTTAATTTGACAACCGAACAGGGTTGGGTAAATTGCTGCTTGAGCAACCAAGCAATCCCCTAGAAACAGGAAACCAAAGGAGGCCGTTTTGAAGCAACGGGTGTTTAGTGAAGCCAAACATATGTTGAACATGTTTCAACCAAGGGCTGCCGCAAGGCAACAATTTATACGAGGGGTTCGCATCAGGTACATCCAACTAACGCCCTGAAGGGCTGACTTCTGATAGAGTCGAAGCAATTTGTGCAGATTCGGGGCTTGATCAATATTCCATTTAGGGGCCCAAAGACAATGCGTAGCTTTTCCCATGTGAAATATCATCATCTTTGTGGTTTTCCCCGACCGTCATTCCATGCAAAGGACCTTTTGATCATTGCCTGACGGGCTTCGGCTCATGGCCCATTCTTGTCCATGGGTCCGATGGAAGGTTCACGCATTAATAGGGCAAAAGGTGCCCAACACAAATGCCAGATGGCCCTGCAACGTGGAACTCAAGAAGAGGAAGGATATTCCTCACAAATCTTCTATTTCCCCATTTCCTGGACTTCCTGGACTTTTCCCTTGGGAAGCACGTTGTGGGAAGCAACGAGTCTGGATTTTGATCAGTCCACTCTGGAAGTGTCAGTTGAGTCCACTCTGGTTGTCGAAAACAGGAATCCATTGACGAGTTCGTTTTGCCGCTCACCAGGCGGCGAGTGCGCCTTGAAGTATGAAACGGTCCACTGGCTGGTGGGTGAGGCGGATGCTGGAGGCTTAGAACTTTGAGGTCCGAGAGTCTCGCGGGGCGATCGTTTGAAAAGCGGTACGGGTTAATGCTTGGCTTTGGGCGGCATGTTTGGCTTTATGTTGGGCGGCATGTTTGGGTTTTTGCTGACTGGCATGTTTGGGTTTATGTTGGGCGGCAGGTTTGGACCAATAAACGGGCACCCTCCCACCAATTAGCATGGAACCTGACGTTCAGGAGATCCTGGTTTGGACCATTATCCTGGTGGGTTGGTGGGTTGGTGGGTTGGTGGGTTGGTGGGTTGGTGGGTTGGTGGGTTGGTGGGTTGGTGGGTTGGTGGGTTGGTGGGTTGGTGGGTTGGTGGGTTGGTGGGTTGGTGGGTTGGTGGGTTGGTGGGTGAGTTGGTTGGTTGGTTGGTTGGTTGGTTGGTGGGTGGGTGGGTGGGTGGGTGGGTTGGTTGAAAAACGGGGCATCCTTAAAGCACCATCAAAGCATCGCCCAAGATCATGAACTTCTCACGGACAGCGGCTGTTGGCCTGGAGCCTTCCAAACAAGACTGGCCGGGAGACCCAGGAGCGGGCGAGACCTGAAGCAGGTTCTGGCAGGGGTCTTTTTCTTTAGGATATGCAGAACATGTGGAACATATACCTACCCCACCCCCAAACTTCACGTTCAGATCTAGTTTTCAATCGCCTTATCATCACGTTCAGATGTAGTTATTCAACCGCCTTACAATAGGCGTTTGAAAACTAGATCTGAACGTGAAGTTTGGGGGTAGGGGTGGGACATTTGGAAGGGGCCAATTTGATGTGCGAATTTCTTGTTGGTGGGGTGCTCTGCGGGATGACGCTTTTGGGGGGCCTGTTTGGCACAGGTCTTTGTCAGACCTCGGCGCATAGGGTACCAGACATCTAGGGTGGGGAATGGCCTCGTTGCCAAAGTGTTCTTTGGGCAAAACACCTCTTCACCGACCTGAAACTTCCCTCAAGTCTCTGAGGTTCTCCTTTCGTTTGCTTCTACATGGTTGCAACTGGTGCAAATCTTTGGGTAGCCATAGCAGGTTCACCTGTTGCCGTTTTTCCATTTGCGACCTGAGTTGCGTGTGAGTGTTACACCTGAGGTCTCTCTGGACCCATGGTCCAACACAGGGCTTCCTTGGGGTTCGCTTCGCCCGCGGATTTGTCGACCCTTGTGAGCCTTCTAAATTTACCCTAAACATGGTTAAATGCCCGGGACGAATTGTTAAATGCCCTCTTCCAGAAACAGCTGTAGCTCATATCAGCCACTTTTGTTTGCGAGGGCCTGGAGTTTGGGCTGCCTGGCGCCTCCACGTTTAGCCTGGATAAGAGCCACTCATGCAGATGGACTATCTCAAAATGGGGACCCCCCCAAAAAAACGGGTTGTTTCATTTTTGACTTCCCTTCAACACCAACCAAGCACACGGCATCTTGATCATGGCGTCTCGACAGGCTCTACCGTCGAGGGCAAGCCACAGAACGGTGCACCTTGATTCTGCAAGGCGCACGTTTGACTGGGACTTTTCATTTGTCTCGAAAGTGGGGGAACCACCCAAAAGTTGTGGTGACCTCCCTTTGGTTTTCGCTTAACACCGCCGCACCAAGGGGGACCCCTCAACAAAAAGCCACACACATTGTTCTGGGAGCTTGGAGTTGTTGGATCCAGTCAGGTGTTTGGACCAGAGTCAACTGTTGGAGAATGAGGAGGTGGCAAGCCTAAAGCAAGTGTGGATGGGGTTTGCTACATGAGGTTCACATCAATGTCCCATTCGAGATGTTCAAAGTGGAGGTACCTCTTGGTAGCCGCCTAGAAATTATTCTCAGCTGGGTGTCTATTGTTCATGGGAGAAAGTAAAGGCAAGGGAAATGATTAAGAAGTGCTTGATGTTTGATATATATATATATGTTTCCTGGATTTGTTTATATAACAGCCATCCAACAGACTCCTGGCCAGAGCTATCAACCTCATTGCAGCCCCTCCAACAGCTCCGAACAAGAGCCAAACTTTCGGCCTTTTTGGGGCAACCAGTGGGGCGGGTAGCGTTAGGAGGGGTCCAGGCAGCCAGAGGCTGAAAATGAAGGATGACATTGGTTCGCTTTTGTGTTTTTCGTTTGGAGGGTGCATTTAGTTTAGGACAAAGTGAGGTACCCATTTACATCTGGTTTTGAGTTTGCAATTTTTTAAGGGAACAACTTTGGTCCCTTGTTGCATCTCGTTTTGGGTTTACGTTTTTAGGTGAAAGAAGGTGGGTGCCGTTCCGGGGTGACCTGTGGGGGGGAAACATAACAAGAACCCAACAAAAGATGTAAATCACATGTAAAACAATGTAAACACGATGTAAAATAGCTCATCAATTGCAAAACACTGCCCAAAAGAACCTGTCAATGCCTCTTTGGGGGGTTGAGCCCCTAGCCTACCAAAATGTAAAAATCAATGCAAATGTCAGCCTAAACGGAAGCCTGGCCCCAAAGAAATAGTTTGCCAAGCGCCCCAACGGTCACGGCGGCTTGCCGAGGTTGCAAGCGCGCACACCACACACCGTGCTATGTCAAGCGTTTGCTTTCACAAACACGGCCAACTGCAAAGGCTCGATTCAGCATGCGGAAAGCATGTAAACTGAAGAACACGTGTGACAAACATGCAAGGGAAGCCTAACAAAGCCAGACCCCGGATGCAGATAAGAATGTAAAAGAAATGGTTTTCACCCAAAAGCTGTGGACCTGAACGTGTCCTAAGGGTAACGGAGGGGAATCCCAACAGTGCCTGGAGTTTCGCCATCAACTCCGCTGGCACTGCCAACATGTTCTTGCGGTTCTTTCTCGTTTGCTTTGGGTTTTGACCTGAAGCTGAAAAGCGTTCAAGTTGGGTTTGTTTGTTTTGTTTTGTGTTTATTTTATTATTATTATTTTGCGGGGGAGGGGCGGGCAACGAAGTCCCTAGACTGCCAGTGGAGCATTGCCTGGAGGCTTATTCTCCATGGCCACTGGGTGGGACGTCTCTGGGTTTTTGGGCTTTTGGGGGACACCATGTTCTCACCCAGTGGGCGCACTTTGCACTTTGCTTGGTGGCTCTGGTGGCCCAAAAAGTGTGCACTTGCTTTGGCTGACTGGCCAAATGTGTGTCAGCAAGCAAGTTGGTTAGATCTTTGAGGGCCAATCCACTCAGGAAGTGAGATAAGCATTACTTTGGCAGCGAAAAGGCGCTTGGACCGAACCAGTTTTCGGGTCGAACCTTTCTCTGGGAAGTTCAAAGGCAAAGGGCAGGAGATCATCTTAGCGACCTCACCCATGGAGTAAAGCGTTCGCCGCTGAATCATCAGTGTTGGACCGCATCTTTGTCCATGGGGAATGAAAGGATTTGGTCTCTGAACATTTTCTCAGATTGGTTTTGGCAACCCGGCAATGAACTCTGAGATGTGTGGTCTATTAAAGGGCTCCATCTCCAGGGATGATTGCACCTGCTGATGTTTGTGTTGTTCGTGCACGCTTCCTTCCAATTACGAACCAAACTCTGCAACTCTGCATGTCGTGCAGTTTTCAGTGTGCAAATGGAGATGGAACCCTTGCCTCGAGTCAAAGCAGCGCGAACTTGATCCACACAGGAGGCCCCGCAAGGGGCGGTGTTTTTTGGCCCCGTTTTTGGAGGAAAGGGAGGGGGGGGGGGCGGTTCGGCTGCTGCAGGCCGGTTGGGGGCCATCGTGGGCCACGAGTCCTTCAAGACGGAGAACGGAGCGTCCCTCGTACGGGAGCTGGCGGTCAATGCTTCCTTTTTTTAAGGATGCCCAGGATAACCAAAGAAAATTTGGAGGTTGCCCCATTTTGAGGGTTTCTGTTTCTCTAGATGCAAATATGTGGATGTTCAACCCACAGGTACGTTATCATGGGTTGAGCATCCAGGGAGCCAGGAAACTCAGAAATGTACCATAGTTGCCATAGTTTGGCAGTTTATGGTTTCCCTACCCTCTCCCACCAATCACGGAAGTTAACAGAAGACGACTGCCCTCCTGGGGCATCCCATGTCCACTTCCACGATTGTTAGAAGGGGGAATATTTTGCTAATACTTAGGTGTTGTCCAACCCACCTCAGGTACTGGTAGATTGTAAGCATGGTAATCTACATACCTCGCGTGTCTGGAGAAATCATGATGTCATGACCTTACACACCAGCAGGTTGAGGCCGCTCCCACGATGAGTCATTTCGCAAGAAGTTCCCCATATTGTCAATTGTGAATGACTCTCATTCAAAATCCTTCCCTTGGGTAACGAACAGAGTTGCCCCGCTCGGCAATGTGCTACACGGAAATTTGGGCTGGACTCCCAACTCTCACTCTTGAACAGCCCAGGTGTTTGCAAAACCGGTGCCTGAAAGGATACAAGTTCAGTCGAGAAAATTCATCCGAATCCCAGCTGATTTAGACAACCTTGTGAAGCTGGGGGTTTGTGGATGCCTCCTTCAAGGAACCCAGCGCACAAGTGGAGCCGACCCTTCCCGTCCAAGTTGTAACAAGCCGCTGGTTGCGAAACTGGAGCCTTCAACGGGCACCCTCAAGGCCACTGGCTTTCCTTTCAGCTTCCCTTGAAAACCACCCAAAAAAGGTATCCCCATAAACACACCAATTGGCTTTGGGTCCTCACAGCAGGCTTTGGGGATGGGTCCGGGTTCTCCATGTTCGGTCTGGGCCTATGGTCAGCGTGCAGTAGCTGAGGGCCATGGGCCCGAATCAGTTCTTGGAGGATTGCCCGGTTCTTTTCTAGCGGAGGTCCCTTTCAGGGCTCAACATGGAGCCACATATGAACCTCATCTGCAAAATGTGATGTTTGGTGTTTCCTAGGGCTCGGCCAAGCAATCAAAATAAACAATGCAGAAGAGGGCAAGTCCCTTTCTGTCCCCTGACCACCGGGTAAGGAGCACGCTCGCCCAAGCATCACCACCTCCTAAAGATCGGTGCTCAAACATGGCCAAGCTGAAACGCCGGAGGCTCGAACCTGGCCAAGGCAGAAGCAGTTCAAGCACTTGCCTAGCCCAGAATCCCGCCATGGCGAAAAAGACTACGCGAGATGGCGCAGAGAAACCGAAAGAAGGAAAGAATACGCGAGATATTACGGTGCGACAGCTGTCTGGGAAGGAATGCTCATTCAGAGTGCTGCGAGACATGACAGTCCGTGAGTTGAAAATCGCCCTGCATGGGTGGCTCTCCTGCGAAGATGAAGCAAAGCGCGACGTGAGCTCGGTGGAAGTGGTTGTTGGAGACCAGCCCTTGTTGAACGACCAGGAGATGCTGTCAGAGGACATGGGCCCAGTTCTGGCTTTCTTTAGCGTAAAACCGGTGACGTGCTCAAGCTTCCAAGCCTCCCGCAACAAGTGTGAAGATTTGCGCGTGGTGGATATTCCACAAGGAGAAGGAAGGGTTGAAGAAGGGGCTTTCATGCACTGTGGCTTTTTGGCAAGCGTGACCATCCCCAACTCCGTGACTGTGATAGGAGATGGTGCCTTCCAAGGTTGCAGCTCATTGGCAAACGTGACCATTCCCCACTCAGTCACTAGTATTGGAGGAAGTGCCTTCCGAGATTGCCGCTCATTGGCAAACGTGACCATTCCCCACTCGGTCACTCGTATTGGAGGAAGTGCCTTCCGTGATTGCCGCTCATTGGCAAACGTGACCATTTCCGACTCTGTGACTGAGATTGGAGAAAGTACCTTCCAGGATTGCTGCTCATTGGCAGACATGACCATTCCCAACTCAGTCAATCGTATTCCGAGAGGTGCCTTCCGAGGTTGCAGCTCATTGAAAAGCGTGACCATTTTCGAGTCTGTCACTGAGATTGGAGGAAGTGCCTTCCAGAATTGCCGCTCACTAGCAAACGTGACCATCCCCAACTCCGTGACTGTGATAGGAGCTAGTGCTTTTGAAGGTTGCAGCTCGTTGGCTAACATAACCATCCCCGACTCAGTCACTCGGATTGGAAGTTATGCCTTTCAAGGTTGCAGCTCATTGGAAATCGGAAGACGAGAGGGGGCACCTTCTTTGGGATCCCACTGAGCAAAGTTTGCAGAACCAATTAGATGATATGTCCACTTGTTGTGAGCTTCTGCTTCTGCCTCGCAGCCGGCATGAATTCCAGAAAGCAAGTATGGACTGAAGCTGCTTTGCAGTGCTTCACAGAACAAGCAGCCTGGCCCTTGCCTTATAAATCTGTCACCATGGGGTATGATGCTTGCAAATTGCTAGAGACAGACACGTTGCAAAATGGATCGCTTGAACATGCTTGATTGGGAACTGTGCATGGCAACTGTTCCCCTGAATTTTCCACAGGTTCACTGGAGCTTACGTGAGCCAGTGGTCAAAATACCGGACTGCGGTTGTTTTGTTTTTTGGTTTGGGTGGGGGGGAATGAGGGAAGGCCACGGTACCGTTTGTCCAAGCTGGAGCACGCCAATTGTTTTGCAGGAAAGAAGGAACCGCGAAGATGTGCAAGAGAGGTCCGCAGTCCGCAGCAGTCAAGATTCACCATTCTAGGGGTGGATTCCCCATTCTTTTCAACCATCGTTCCTTTCAAAAACCAGCCATTTCCCTGGGATTCCGGAGGTTTTCTAGAAAGAAGGATCCCTGGTACCACTAGAATCATTTGTTCATGCGAAGGACCAAGTTGGAGGTCACTATCACCTTGATTTTCAACCAAATTCGGGCGGTCAGGATGAGGTTCCGTGGGCAGGGCTGCGGACGTTTGTTGTCCAGCTCCAGCTCCCGATTTTCGCGATATTTCCGACGAGGAACCACCCGGCTTAAGCGTTGGACTGGCAAGGCGGGTCTCCAGGAATGATTTTCGTAGAGCATGGCACACAAACCGGCAATCTGGAGTTGCAAAGCGGCCCAGAAATGGATTAGCAATCTGAAGTAGCAAAATTTAGCATAAACAAACAGCAATAAGATATAGTGCAACTTAGTAACAAATATAGTACGCATTTGTAATAAAACACAGATTGTCGACTGTTGGTCCCTAGGTATTTATTTGTTTTGTTGTTTTTACTATGTAAACACATACTTATTTTCGGAAATTGATTGTCAATTTGGATTAGTAGATTTTAAGCAGCAAATTGTAAAACATAGTATGCAAATCGGTTCGCCAAGCAGAAAATGGTCCGCCCGAGCGAGGTTACATGCTAGTCGGTGGGAGGGTAGCATTTGTGTGTCAATCTTTGGGAAAGTAAAGTGCTATTAAAAGAGCCGCCGCAGATTTCAGAAAGCTGCAACTTGTCAACATCAACAATTACAGGCAGCTGGAAAGGACACAGAATCCCGTTGTTCAAGTTCGGTTCTTTGGTTGCAGACTGCGGGACTCCATTGAGTGCTCCCCACAATTGGCAACATTTGCTACATCGGGGCACAACTTGCTTTCAAACCCAGGCGCCTGGTTGCCTTCAATGGCAATCTAAGAGTTTCCCAAATCGACAAAGGGCTTGGTTGAAATTTCACGGGTTTCCTCACTTTGGGTGCGGACGGCTGAGGTTTTCGGTGCTGGCAAGGCGCAGGGGCTGGAAGGGCAAGTGGTACTAGAACGCTCCTTTACTTGGGGATCTGATGGGATCCGCCTTACTTCAGGTATATATAATATGATTGCAGATTAGGGCCCGCTGCCTTCTTCTCAGAATGCTTCAATATCCAGGCTTTCCGTGACACCCAGGAATCCTGGAGCTTTTTGCTGTGACATTCAGGAATCCTACTCCAAGAAGTGCCCACTTTGGTATCTGGGGGCTCCAATTTTCCCGAAACGTGTTAAGGCCTGGTAGGCTCAGTAGGCAACACGGGGGATTCTTCTAGGCTTCACATGTTCCCTGCAGGGCTCCCTATACTTCCCTAAACATTTGTTGGGCCAATTGAAAGTGAGTTTCCTTGCGGAGTGATGTTTTAAGGGCAAATCTCGAAAGCTCAGCGTTGGTGCTTTGGTGCTGCCTTGTTGACGCGGACCTCCAGAGATCCTATGTTTCCCTAGTCTGGGCGGATTTCAACTTCAATTCACTTCCCAGTTTCTGGGCTTGAAGAAACTTTCTTTGTAGATCATGTCCGTGGCAAACGGCAAGTTTGGACAATTTGTTTATCCACTGAAACAGTGATCCTACCAACACAGTTTTTTATCTGAGAGGTTTGGGCGGAACACTCGACTAGATGTGTGCCCTGGCTTGACTGGACTGGAATCCTGGTCCTTTCCCACAACTGGACTGGAATCCTGGTCCTTTCCCCCATCGGCAGCGTGATTGGTAGTCTTCCAGAACCCCCTGTCCGCTTCCAAGGGTTGCGGCGCTACCAGACGACCAGGTTGTGGACATTTGGTTTGTTTTCTCGTGTCCCATCTCCAGGCCAATTTGAGAGGGTCTTTGAGGAGCACGGGAGTTGACAAATGAACCACTTCAGGTTGCGCCACTCAGCCAGCATGGCGCATCCCTTTGCCGCTTTCTGCGGGGTTGGTCGGCTTGGCTTGGATCAGGTCCGCGGATTTTTGCCAGTCTACGGTTCATTTGGGCCTCTTTCGATTCGGCTGAGACTCCACCAATACCAGGACACTCACTGAGTTTCCCATGTCCTGCGCAGTAAGCGAATATTTCGACTACTGACCGGACCTCAAACCAATTCGGAAAAAGCTTGCGGGGCCCGGTGAACCTCTACTTTCTATGATACCTAAGGCATCCGATTCAATAAAGCTCATATCAGGTAACCCTTATTTGGTGGTTTGGATTGGTGGTTTGGATTGGTGGTTTGGATTGGTGGTTTGGGGGTTTCAACCCCTGGTTCTTGAAGAGGGTACATGGCAAAGCACCCCCCGAAAAATCTCCAAACCTCCAAACCACCAAACTGAACCGCGAAAGAGGGGTAAGCTGATCGGAAGGCCCCGAGTTGCCGCAGGGATGCCCTGATGCTGGACCAGTTCCTGCCAGACTTCGACGCGTTCCTGAGTACTCCCAAGGTCTGGCAAGCTAAATGGGCTTATCTTAGGCGATGCCCTTTTTGCGGCTGGCTTTGAAGGGAAACCAAAAGGGAACCACGCGAAATGCTGGCAAGGTTGCTACAACTGGACTGCTGTCTTGTTGATTGGGGAGCCCCTAAATTAGCTGGTTTCCTTTCGGGCTTCGGTCAAGCCAAAAGCGGATTCCCCTGAAAAAGGGACACCTGGCGCTCCAAACATCCTGACCTTTTTTGGTACGCTGACCTTAAGACCCCAAATGGGTCGAATTTGAAAGGAGAGTCGAGCTCACCGATTCGGGGGCACAACGAGCGAGTAGCCACGATGCGGTCAAAGCCAAAAAAGTTCCATGGGGAGCCATTGCAAGTGGAACTCGAAAGCAAACGAAAGCTTGGTGTTCAACAGGTCTCCAAAGAACTACTCCTCTTTGTCGAAGGGGCCCTCCGTGATGGATTTCGAGGGGAAGATATAGCGACAAGCAAATTTAACACTATTTCCAAAATCTGCAATAACAATGGGGTCGCAGTCCAAGAGGTTTCTTCAGTTGGTTTGAGGTGATTTGGCCAATCGATGGCTTTCAATCCAGCGGCAACTCAGGAGGTTTGAGCAGTTTCAACTCCGCCCTTTGAAAACCCGGACTTATGTAGCTTACTGTTCTCTTTGCTTTCCCCTTCAACAAGCCAACAGTCAGTAAAGTTTTAACGTGTCAATATTTCACATTTCCTTCACCTACCTGATTTTCCCTTGTTTTCCGGAGGTTGTCCTCGCGTTTTATCCCTCTTCGTGGATCGAGTTTTCACGTGGAGCTCCGCTCGTGCGGAAGGGTCGACCGACCGCCCGGCCAGGTGCGGGTCCTGTCGATCAGGAAGGAGCTCTTCCTCCGCGCTCAGGCGGGTCCTGCCAGAGGGCGCTGACCAAACGAAGCTGCCTGCAAGCTCGCCGATTCGGGGAAAATTCGTTGACCCCAGATCAACAAAGCCCTGGTTGATTTTGATTGGGCGTGTCCCCTTTTAGCGGGGATTCAGACGACTTTTGGAGGAATAACATGACGAGGGAAAGCCATGAAGGTGCTTGACTTGGGGATTGCCTAATTCGGCGTTTGGAATCTTGGCATTTTTGCAGATAACATTCATGGTTGTTGTTGGGAAACATTTTACATTTTTGCTTATTGTGGTTTAGTTGGAAATCCCCACTTAACTGCTAAAAAATAAATTTTTGCTCCCCTTCCAACGTCAACCAATCATTGACCATGATGTTTCAATGCGCAGCATCGCTGCCAACAGTGTTTGGGGCATCCACCCCCCCAAGTGGGCAAGTCCCTTTCGGTTTCCCTTCAAAGACCACCCAAAAAGAGGTAACCCCCCCGCCTCCCCGCCTCACCTCCCCGCCCCCCAACTTTTCTTGAAAGTCACCCTCTTGGCCAGAGAACCTGGGAATACTCTTTGCAAATCTGTCCAGTAGATCGGCGAGAGTGTTGAACCAGCTTCCCTAGAGCATTTCCGTGCTTCGATAATCTCATCCCCCTATTAATAAATACGGGTCCCCCCCCCCCCAATTCTAAAAAAGTCCTCCCAAAAATATATTTGTCTTTAAATTGGGTTTTTTGGGGTTGGGGTTTTTGCTTTTCCAACAATGTGAGGGTTCACATAGGATTTGGAGGAAATGGATTGAATTGTAAGGTCCGCGAGTAAGCGGTTTAATAAGGAAATGTTATGTATCATTCTATTTGTTTTTCAGTTTACTGGTTGTTGGAGAACAGCCAGGACAGGGGGAAGGGGTAGATGCAGATCAAACATTCAGTTTTTCTTGGTCTAATTCATACATGTGTTTTCTCAAGCATTTCCTTGATGACAAGGCCGAGTCGAAGAAGGCTGCAGGGAGTGAACAGACAGTCCAGCCGCAACAGGTTGCCCAAGCCAGCACGGGAGGCATGAAGAGGCAGGCTTCATTTGAAACCCGCCGAAACAACCTTTTGGGGAACCCACCTTTTTAAAAGTGGGGCTGGAAGCTTGTTAAAAGTGCCCCCTAATAAGGATTCCAAGACTTTAGTAAGGGCTTAGTATTGGCTCAATTAAAAATCAAT